AGCAAACAACGATTTATCTCTTAATTCAGTGTTTCTTGCGTAAAAACCTCCTGGCGATGGAGCAAAAGAAGAAGGATCTCGGACAAAGCGTGAAACGCTGTTCGACTCAGCAAGTTGATAGTCGATAAGTTTTACAACGTCGTTCCTCGAGATGCTACCGCGCATCGTCGTTAATGGCCATTTATATTAATAGCGAAAACGCGTGGAACAATGAGCCATCTAGTCGCATGGCAATTGAAAAATGGCATCATTGTGAAAGATCGCAAATTCTCATTATTCGTGGCGCGCGCGTGCTCGCCAACTGTTTGATGGTCGCAAGCGTGACTCGCACTTCGCTACTTTCACCCATGGCAAACAGAAATCAAAGACGAAGCTCCCGTCCAGAATAGATGGCCAATCGATGGACGAGCGAGCGTTTGTTTTTCTTCCTTGTAACAATATTAGCTTCGCATTTGTATTACAATCGCGAGACTGAGCAGGAATTGAATGTAATATCGTCTGCGGCCAACGCGAAACTGTGCGCAAACAAACGAACGCTGATCGTCACTGCCAAGAGGAAAGGAAAACGTAGCGCGGCCGAGCGTGGGCGTCCACTTCGCTGCAGCTTCCGTGTCTGATTCGATCGCGGAGCTCTCGCCCTCCTCTTCTCCCTATTCGCTTAATTAGATCCTGTGCGTTTGTCTCGCGCCTGCTGTTTTAGCGCGAGCTCGAGGCCAAGTCCCTTGCGCGATTCCAGCGGGATGAGCATTGACAATGGGCAAGACAGAGAACAGCGCTCGAGACTTTTATCGCCGTTGGTAGCTTTCTAGTCGCTTGCTTCGAGTGCAGAGTCCGTAGTGCTTTCCGTGAGACTTTCCGAAAAGGTGCACCGCGGAAGCTTACCTCGCGCGAATTCGACAGCGCACTGTTTTTCCAGAGCGAAAAGCCTAGACAATTATTGACCTAAAACAGGCTCGTTACAAAATTCATTACACATACGTTTACCCGGTGGAAGCGATTGACGTTAAAATTTCCCGTAATGCTCCTCGATAATTCATGAAAAAGCGGCTCGCCCAGGCTCGTCAGTGCAACGCTGATTTTTACGCTTCGCTCGCGCATATCCTCTGGCTCCGCGGCGGCATGAGAAGCATATACACGCTGCTGCTGAACTGTCGCTGCTTGCCCGTTCGATGATTTACATCCCAATTTATTCGTCTTTATGCGCTGACGAAAAAGACGAAGGATGCAACGAGCGCTCGCCGAGACGAATGTGCGTATGGAAATCCATCGACCGTCCGGGATGCGAGCTCGGGCCGCAGGCCTGATCGATTCCCCCTACAGCTCGATTTGGGCATTAGTTATTTACGCCCGTGCATCGCTCCCGTCAAAATTAAAGAGTCAAGCGTTGTCGCCCGCTCGACGAAACTCACCTCTCTGCAGCTTCAATGATCGGGATAAATTACTGCCCCGGCCGCGGTTCATTTGCATTTCGCGCGCAAATTCCATCGACTTGGCTATTTCCGGCGCAAATCTTCCATCGCTTTGCTCTTCATTTTTATCTCTCGCGCTTTACGGCGGTAGCGTCAATAAAAACTTTACAACCCGGCAAACACGTGTGGTTCACCGTTATCTAATGTTAATCTCTACACATAGGCAGCTCTCTCTTCTTGCAATGTATATATATATATATATACTTTACGAATTAAAAATAAAAAAATGTAAGAAACGTGCGTTGTATAGTGGGTCCAGCTGCTGGCGAACTCGAGATCCTTGAAAATTTTCGTCGAATCTATCGCGTAGTTTCCTTATAATAGAGCTATTCCGTCAAAAGTAGGCGGGGCCGAGAGGAGAGAGGGGGGAATGCAGATGACGAGGTGCGATAATAACGAAACGTACGTAAAGTTTTGCATAATACTCGTTGCTGGAGTTCGTTCTCTCTTTTTCTGCGTTTGTATGCTGGCAGCTCGGCGCGCATGCCGCTACATTATTTTCCCAGCTTATGCGAATGAAGCCGTCATTACGCCGATAAGAAAACTCGAGTGTGTGTACATACACTCGCCCGTAAGCAGCGTTAAGCCGAGGAAAAAATGCAAACATAGAGTCGCGCTCGATGTCTAACACGACAGACACACACGGCCGCGTTTGTTCGCTACTTGCAACAAAAAATCTTCGCGCGGTCGACGATCTTTCGGCATCCTTTTGATTTCTATAAGAACGATTCCAGTTTCAAGGCTTTTTAAGTAATAAGGACAGTTTTCAATAAGCATTGGAGCACCAAGACGACTATTACGATTGTTATATATATTACGTCACTTGCAGATCGATCAAATTTTGATTTATCACATTATATATCAATGCCTCGAAGCCGGAAAGTCTACATTGCTGGCTTTTCATTTGCCTGACAGTGATATCACAATGATCACGATGAATAATTGTTTTGTTTTCCTTGTTTTCCTCGCAAAATGCAAAATAAATAGTTTTTCTAGCAATAGCATATACCAGTGACAGTTTCTTCAGATAAAACTCTTCATTCTCATTCACATAGCGAAGTTTTCCTTGGCAAATGAGAAACGCTAATTGAAAATTAGCCCTACATCAACCAATTACGCAACCCCATCAAAGACTACGAATCCATTTGAAAAAACTGCGGGCGTAAGCGTCACGAAAGGTCCTGCTGGTTGACGTAACGGAAAGAGTATTAAGCGTATAAGTAGAAAGAAGGGCGCAGGCATGGATAGTGGTGTTAAGCCCGTGGGCTGCGGATCGTGCGCGTTACTAGCCGCGCAGTGCGGATCCTAATCTAGGTAGTTACGTCGATTCACTGATGGGTTTTCGCGTCTCGGTTAGCATCAATCATCGATGATTATTACAAACGTCGAGCCACTGACTTTGCATAACGGATGGTTGCCGACACCCGTTTTGCATTTCGGTTTCGAGAGTGTGGGTGGATACAGATATGTAGCAATCAATTTTATTTTTTTCGAAAAAACAAATATCGATGCACCGATGCGTCATCGGACGGACAGGGCAGCTGCAATTGACATTTTTTTCGTGAATCAAATCGATTGTGACTCACAGTCGTGAAGGCCGATAATTCTAATGAAACAAAGTTCACCCGAGAAAAGTGATAGCTTCGCGCGCGGCGCAGAAGGTGGTGGCGGGACGAGTCACGCAGCCGAGTCGCACCATACATCATCAAAAATTTATGAAGCTCCATAACCCTCTCGGCGGGCGGCGCTCTTTTTTTCTTTTTTTTTTTTTTTTGGGCGCGACGCTTCAAATGAATAAATCAGCCGCTGCGCGCGCGCCTGCGTCTCTATAGCTCGTCGTTGGCCAGCCACCGGTCCGTCATGGCTGCGGCCTGAGATTCCGTATAGCCGCGGCGTCTTTATGAGCATTCTTGGGGGAAGCCAACTCTCCCGTGTCCCACTAATGCTTTTCCTACATCTGCGCGCAGCTACTAACTGCGATTGCGTAACACCGTCTGGCCAGCTTCGTTAGTCGCGGCAGCGCCAATCATCCCTTCTTGATTATGCGGCAAAACTTGCATGCACTTTTTCCGAAAGGACGCTAACGAACACTCTTTGTTCAATTTCTGCTATTTGAATATGCAACGTCTCGTTGAAGAATATTCTTTTCACTATTCAATGAGCTACAACTGTACGAGCTACAAAAGAATTCTTTGGATTATTTGAAATTCTAAGATCAAGTTATTCAGTCGCTCCAGTACAGCAATTAAATGTGACATTCATCAATGTAAAACGACATATATACCTTATGTCTATGTAATTCTCCTACCGATTTTTAAAAAGTAAAGCGTACATCGATTAGTTACATGGTATAACAAAAAAATTCATAAAGTTCTATTCTTCAGAGACTTGTTTCGCTGTTAAACGATACATAGAGCATTTTAATTAAGTGGAAATAAAACTATCGTCGTTCGAAGACACTAAAAAAAATGAAAGTGAGTTTTTACGAGCGTCTGCTTCGTCAAACAATCGGTGTCCGAATTACGCCACGACGTGGAAAAGAAGTCTTGACGTAAAATGCTTCATCAATAGAGAGAGAGCGTATAATCCATCTATTCGCGTCGACGCTGCGGTCGGGCGCGGGATTAATGGGCCATGTGGCAACAGGTCGCTCGATAAAAGATCAACGGAAGACCAATAAAAATTAATCGCTCCGCAATTATTATCGAGCCAGTCGGCAGCAGCAGCCCGAGATGTAATAAATAATATAGTCAACCCTTTCTTCCGAAGCATTTGCTACGATTATTGTTCTTGGAAAAAACAAAGCATCGATTTCCATCCGAGATACACGCGATCATATTCGTTGAACTGAATATCGCATAAATGATGTTTTTTAAATCGATTTGATGACAACAAAAAGCTGCTCCAAAGTAAAGCAAAAAACAAGTTACATCTCCGACTCGAGCATGATTACAGTAATTGTAGAGATTTTTTTCTTTTTAACCGTGTGGCGTTTTTAGCACGCGCATTAGAACGGAATTTGATTCGTTGTTTTGTATCGACAACAAGACGCATTTAAATATTCAATAGATCGCGTACGCGCACGGCCATTATGACGCTGAATGCTTATTAAATTATTGAGCAGGACAGAGCGAGGAGCGCGCAGCGTAACATTATGACGCGTAGCATACACATCTGCGCAAGTTTAATCCGGTCAATAATTCAAATTGAAAAATTGGCGGGGCGCGCGAGCACTGCGGAGAGAAAAAATTGAATCGCGCGCGCACGTTTGGTAATCCGAAGCAGCAGCAGCAGCAGCAGCGGACGGTCTCCTGGTAAATAATTGCTGGAATAACATCCGCGATAAAACAAAGCGTTCGGTGGTCTTTCGTTCGCACCTCTTGGCTGCGGGCTAACGGAAAATAAAACAAGCGACCTCGTCGATCAGTCAAATTGAAAAGTCAGCGTCTATCTGTCGTATTTTTCTCAAGGCGGGCGCAATTCGGCGTGAAAAGAAAACAAAAACAAAAATGAAAAAACGCGAGGACTCACCTTCACAAGCAGATGAATCGGCTGACTGACGCTGAGTGGCTTGCCTCGCCGAGTCTTGCCGCCTCCGCCGCCCAAACACTTTATCCACGGCATGCTTCGACTCGTCCTTTTCTCCTTTTTCTCCTTTTCTCTGATGCAGCTCTTATCCTCTCTCTCTCTCTCTCTCTCTCTCTCTCTCGCTTTCGATTCTCACGCGCCAAGCTCAGGTGTAATTCCAAACTCCGGATATTATTTTGGAGCAGCTTGGGAGCGTCCCTGATTGAATTGTCTTCCGCGAAGCTCAGTCGGCGTCATGGCTGTAGCCGAGGTATTCAGCTGTTGCGGTCGAGTGTAATGGCACCGCAGCGGGCCGAGCGGGCGCGAACAACTAACTGCATCATTCGATTGCCCTTGATACGCTATTTATTCAGCCGTTTGCATCCGACTGTTATTGTCTTCTCTCTCCATGATTCACCGGATAGTTGTTGCAGATGCATGACTCGATTCGAAAAATGTCTTAACGGGTTACCGATCGCAAAAAAGTCTCTGTCACTGTCCATCGCCCATCTCGCAGCCTATAAGATCACCGATGATACCAATTTCATTCGCAACGATCATGTGCTTGTTATCTAAGCTTCTCGGCCGCAGTTGCGCGCGAGCGGGCAAATTTGAATAATTCCGTGCTCCCTCTCTTTCTCTCTCTCTCTCTCTCTCTCTCTTTAGTGTGTTTATTCGTCACTTGTGTAATAAGGCGCGAATCTGGGTCACGGTGCTGCGATTGTCGTCATCTCTGCCTTTTATTTTCGTTATCGCTCGCCTACAAAAGCGTTTTATTCTTTCTTTAAAATTCAAAGTCTTATCGTTTAGCGCCGGCCAAGTGTCGCGATAGCAGTCTGTTCGACGATCTGGCCTACAACCGCCGATCGGAAGCAGAACGAAGCGAGCAACAAACAATAAAAAGAGTCGAGAGTGAAACTCAATGTAGACGGAGGCGGCGGCGGCGAAGAAACGCGCAAGCTCTCCCACGACCTGCTCGTCCCGCGGTCTAGCGTCGACTGACAGAAAATACCGGCCGGGAAGCAAACAGCGCCGGTGGCGGTGGCAGTGCTGCGGCGGCGCCGCTCGAGCCTCGGCTCTGCGTGCGTGCGCGCCGCGCGTCTCTCTCGATCTCCGTGCTCTTTCGGCTTCGTTTAAAGGGACGCGAAGGCTCGCTGCAACGGTCTTTCCCCCGATCGGCCTTGCCCGCCTCGTCGCTACCTGCTGTTTTCGTACTTCTATTATGATTCTGGGCCCCGGCCCAAGTGTGAAAAATCTCTGTGGGCGGATTCGTTGTTTTCCGCCCTTGTCAACACGGGCGCGCTATTACTCTCGTCGATCAGACAGTCGTTCAATGTCTAAATATTTGCAGCGGCTTTCCAATGCTCTTCGATCAAACAAAACTGCGCGGAGCGATCTCTGCCAAGCGGACCGCCGAGAAATGTCGACGGAGTAATTGAAAATTGAATTTGTCAGGGTCTCAAAGAAGCGCCGCTCGCGAGTTGTATTTTCCGTGAAAAAAAAGGGACGCGTGCGCGTGCATAAGAGGTCGAGTTTTTCGTGCCAGTTGGCTGTTGACGCTGCATGTCTTTCTCTCGGTCTCTCCGCTTCCGCCTGTCCCGCGGGAGTTGTCCCTCTCGTCTGCAGTCGCCTCTGTGCGCGAGCTGCGGAATTCTTTGAGAATTTCGCGAGCGACTGAGTAGCGGCTATTCGTAAAAACGATGAGAGACAGGCGCCCTCCAATGGAATTAAGATGCGACAGCCCCCCCCCCCCCATCCGCGCTTCTGTATAATCCTGGCTGCAGGGGCCACAACTCTCTCGCGCTCGCTCGCTACGCGCAGTATAAGTGATGTTTTCGCTCGATAGGCCTTTCCTTTTTTTTGTCGCGCGCTTAATTTATTGAGCCGCGCGTTGGACGGCGTTAATTGCAATTACGCAACCGCTGCCGAAGTACAAGCACACTCTTACTAACGCTACGTACCATTATATTTTGTTACAAAATAGTTGGAATTGTTTTCTTTTATTGCGGTCTTTCGCAGTCCGAAAGGATCGGCAGTCAAGTTTCGGAAAACCAAGCATTAATTTCTTAATATTCGACTCGCGGGCAAAATAGCCGAAACTGCTGACATGAAAACTTTAAATGAGATGCAGCGCTACTTTAAATATCTCATTTATCACCGAGAAACTGTCATCTTGAGCCGTTGATCTCAACTCGTACGTTTAAAGCGCATCAAACGGGAGGCAAAAACTGTGTACATGAATAATGTTAACTGACGCTTAACTACCGTGCAAAAGCTGCAAGTAGAAAAAAAATAAACGGAGAACCAGCCGTGAAGCGTAGCGTAGAATATGCGAGTTGAAATCATCGAACTCTCCTCTCCACCCACACGTGTGCAAATGGACGCGCATGAGAGGTGATACGAGCAGAAATATCATCGAGATCAGCTCTGAACGACCACACGCGCGCTGCATACTCGACGAGGTATATTTATACATGTAGAGCACTCTGCGTCCGCTCCGAGAAATTCAGGAATAGATCGAACCTGACATTGACATCAATTGCTCACTCATTTGCTTATTCCACGAGATAAATTATTTGAACGGATGGCATGGTGGTAATTTCAACCTTTTTTTCTCTCGGATGTTTTTACTTGCTCGCGACAATTTTTCACCGACTCCACATATTTATTCCTCGCGTGTACAAACATCTGGAGAGCTTGAGTTATAAATACAAAAGTTGTGATTGCTGAGGCGTGTTATATGAATGACGACGACTCGCGTCATCGAAAACGAGTAACATGGTAACTTTTTTCTGTTTTTCCTTTTTAAATTAAACTGATGAGATATGAATGCATCGTCTGGAAAGATGCTTTTTTTTATTAAACGATGAATTGGAATATTCTCGCATGGAGTAATATCGCCGGAAAGTGTCGTTTCCTGAATTAATTTTACTGACGAACGAAAAATTCGCGTAAATTAGAAAATCCTTTTATGAATAGTCAAAAATGTTACATGCCTACTATTTAATGCATTCCAATGTATGAGAAATAGCTATCCTTACTTTCCAATTTGACGTAGACATGAACTAGAACGCAAAAAGCTCGGTGAATTTGGCGTATTTATTATGCGATTAGGAGATTTAAATGAAAGTGAAAATTGTAACGAGATATAAAGTCCATAATTTATTCCCATTTGCTATTTCTGTAGTAACTCTTGGCGCGCAGCCCGCGAGTTCGATGAATATTGGATACTCCGTGTAAAAGGCTCATACAGACGCAAACGTTTGTTCGTCTATTCTACTTTACAAAACATTGAATCTGACTATTACTACAGTCCGACTAAAAAATTGATCAAATTTTTGAGGGAGACCGATAAAAGAAGCTTCAAGGGGCGTAACTAAAAATTTGTTACGATGATCTCGCAATTTCAACTTTCACATTGGTCTGCAGAAAGGTTAAATTGAAATGATTGTATTGGAAACACCTAGGTGTGACGAATTGTGCAGCAGAGAGTATTACATTGGCGTTGCAATAAATCAAGTGGAACAAAGGACAAAATACGCGACGGTGTCACGTGTCGCGGAAGCCATCTACGAGCAACGTTCAAAAAAATTCGGTCAGCTTCCGCTTCATGATTGGATATATCATGAAATTCCCAGCCCCACATAAACTAAGAGTGTAGGTGTACTACGTAACTGCTCGCAAATCGCTCCACCGATTTTCCCGAATTCGCGACGCACCAATAGTTTTTTCGCGGCACAACTCGTACCCGTGTTTGCATTCCATTTTGTCTTTTTTTTCTTTTTTCTTTTTTCTTTTTCCATTTACGTTCACAGATTAAAGAAAATCAATAACTCTAAAGCTTGGCGGGCAACGTGCAAAAACAATTGCATACGTTTACAGAGAAGGTCCGCGACGCGGAAAAAAATGTCGCGCGTATGAAAATCGACGTGCGATATCCGAGTTCCGGAGGTGAGCGCTGAAAGAATCATAACAAGTTCGCGCTGGCTGCGATCGAAGCCTTCATGATTTTCAGCAATAATAAATGCGAAGAGCTCAAGTTTTCACTGTAAGTTAGTCAGCTAAAAAACGAGGATATAAAACAAGTCAGATTGTTCCTGCTTGCAAAGATAACATTCTAGACCGTTGAGGGAAAAGCAGCGGAATTGCTTAAGCACACCTACATCGGGGCAATAAAACGATCGGTGTGGCATGTAAGCGAGAGTCGAGGCAGGCCGCAGTACCAAACTAAAGCAGTCGGACGGCGCGCGGGCATGGGCAACCTCCCGCGCGCGATAGCCCCGAGCAATAAAAGAGCTGCAAGACAATTAATTGGCTGCTCTGCTGGCCGTGAAAAAGACATAAGGCAGGTACGCGCCGTGAGCAGATAATTTTATCGGCCGTAAAGCTGTTCGTAAAGCGAGATCCTCGCTCCGCGCGCGTCATTTTTTGCGGGCGCGATATGTAAACGCGTCGACGACGCGCGGGTACCGCGCACTCGATTTAGCACCAGCGTGTACGGGGACGGTGCTGCAACGTCGCCGGACTCGGACGCGAGCGAGGCGCGAGCCGAGTGGCAGCCTGGCGGCGCCTGAGTACCGATGCGGGCATCGGTTTGCAGGTCTTGATGCCAGTGAATCAAGACGGTCGACTCGCGCGATCTACGATCGCGGCAGCGCGGGCCAGAGGAGCTCTCGATCGCGGCGGAGTTGCGAGGGCAAAATTGAACGCAATCGATCGCGCGCCTTCTATCTCGACCTTTCACTGCGAGCACAGAACAGAACGTGCGCATCCCCTGTAATCTTCTACCGCGGCATGGTACGAGGAACCGCGGGCAGCACAAAGAGCTGACTTAATAATGTTTCAATGCGCAATCTCCGCGACGGACTGGTCCCGCCTCTATACTCCCAGGTGATACCTGTAATTTCAGCGCTCTGTACACCCTCGGTGCGCGCTAGTTTGTACGAGTGTGTGTGTGTGTGTGGGTGTGTCTGTAGCTGGCCAGATTGGGACTGCGCATTTGAAAGCGATAGGTTTTTTAAGCGATATCACGCAGAGGAACGTTAATGATCGGCTTATGCGTGCTGCCCCTTCAATATCAGGATTCTACGAGAGCGCAGGGTTTTTTCGTAGAAAAGCTGATTTCTGGAACTTTCGAGCCTCGGATACAGTTTTACAACATTTGCACGCTATAAACTATAGTTAGCTTCTTATCGCGATAACTTATAGGCATAGCCACTTCAGTGCAATTCTCTGGAAACGAATCAATCAAGAGCTACCATAGAGTTATTGCCTACTTCCATTCGGAGAAGCTGGCGCCATTCTGACCCTTCAATAGTTCGATTAAATTCTGATGAATGCCAGGGAGAAAAAGGAAAGCAATTACGCAGCGTCTGCAGCCCGCTGCCTGCTTCGACTGACCGGCTCTCGCGAACAAATGCGCGCCTATCCATCGCGTAGACGCAATTGAGAACGCATCGAAACCGAGAGTCGCCGACAGGCAGCTAGCTCGTTTGCTCTGGCGCGGCCAATTTCCAAAGGCGCGTTGCGCACTTTTCATTCTCGCCGCATGTTCACGGCCACTTTTCCGAACGGTCTCCCCATTCGACGGCACCTGGACTTCCCGTGGCGCGGCCGCATCTGTGGCCGCCGAGTCTGTGTGGCTCGACTCATTGTTACGTCCGCACGGCTCGCAATTGAGTAGTCAACCAGCCGATCTTTCATCTGCTCGGAAACTGATAGTCTGCACTGGCACTCTCCGATATTTATGGTGCTGGCTTCCTCGTGAAAAGCTCGTTCGGAGTAACGTACTTTTTTTCATAGCGCGCCTACAAAGGAACGCTTGCGAACTCAGCGAGGCAACGAATCGCCGAGAAATTAAGAGAAACTCGCGTCACGAGTAAACACCCGCGCGATCGCTTCGAAATTCAATGGGGCAGTTCGCGATGCCGCGACGGTCCGTCGAAAATCACTGAGCGAGCGTATCGAACGCGCTGACGGCGCGCGATCGGCAATTACTGTCGCTCATGCGTCATTCATGAAACGCCACGCCGACGCGCCGAAAACCGTCGAGCGCGAGCTCGTGCGAAAATAAAAAAATCGGAGCGCGATCGCGCGGCCAGAGCACGCGAAGCGTGTACTTTACGTGCGCGACTGCGCCTGGGGAATTTCAAGCGCTCGCGGCCGTCGGATTTGCTGCGCGCGCGTAAAATTTCTGTCAATCGCGCGTGATCGCGCCGCGAATAGCTGACTCTCTCCCGGAGAATGGGGCTCGCGGCCGCTGGCGAGCAGGATGCGTTGGAGCCAGGCGATTTCTCGCGCGTTCGGCTGGGGCGCTGTCGAATCGGAACTCTCGCCGTCAACGGCTTGGAGATGGTCAATAAAGCGGTGCGCGCTCGCGTATGCGTGGACGCGGTCTCTCGACGTCCGCGAAGCAAAATATCGTCGCTCGTTGCACTTCCCAGCAAACCGCGCGGACTCATTGGCCTTCCTTATCGCGCACTCAGAGAGCACGGACGGCTCGCGGCAATTCCCATCGAAATAAATCCACGCAAGATAGCCGACACTCGGTGTGCTGCTTGTAGCTTCTTTAATTCCATTATATCCCCGGTCATTCGTTTTCTTATCAGATCGTAAATCGATGCGTGCCGGATTGCCTCTCAGACGTGTCTGAAGTCTCAATCGCGTCGGGCGCACGCGCGACGCACGCGGAAATGGCCACGCAGCGGCGATCTATATACGTATGAGCCTAACAAGCCCCCCGCGAGGCTCGGCTCAAGCTCCGCGGCTCAGCCTCTCGCAGCTCGGAGTTTTATCAATTTTCCTCGGCGCAACCGGTTTCTCGCCGACGGAAGCGACTCGTGCTGCGCAACTCTGCAGCAGGATCAGAGGAGCGTCCGAGGATAAGTCGTGCCTGGCGCTGGCATTTCTTTTCCTTGTCTTTTTGCCGACTATCAGCGCGCGCCAAGAAATTATCGAGTGAATTATTGTCTCGGGCGGCATAATGGATGAATGGAACAAACGGTCCACTTGTTGCGAGTGCGTTGCGATATGAATTACGCGTACGGGCAGCGTGCTGTGGCCGTGGCTCGTTTGAATACCTAATGCTCGCGTTTGTAGCCGCGCGAAGGAACGCTTTCTTTCCGCGCGCGCGCGCTCTTACTCCAAATTTATAGACACTGCGCTGCCATTCAATTCAGCAGCTCGACTGCGGGTCCGGTCGGCGTGCGCAAGCTGGCCATCGGCCAAAGTTTACATCGCTCCGAAAGTGGGAGCTATAAGCTTCAAAGCGCGCGCGCGCACGTGCCAGCCCTAACGCCCGCGCGCGAGTGCAAAGTTTGCCCGCGCGGCGAAAGCTTTCGCGAGCTTTATATTTACGACGTTGCTCTCGGGCGCCGCAGCTGCCCCTGAATTATTTGCTGCTGGCTTTGATGTGCAGCAGCGCGCCTTACGGCGTTGAAGTGCCGCTCCCGGCACAATTATCGAGTCGTCAACTCGAAACTGGTCGTAAGATGCCGGGGATTGCTCGCGAACCGGAAGCCATCGCTGCGGCCGTAGGCGAGAAAGTCTGCAGCGCCGAGATCGTTTCACCCTCGTCTCGTCGACTAGAGCCTCTCGCCCTCCGCCGACTCGAGCGCGCCCGAGTGGCGTCGACGGGCATTGCTCTGCCGTCGCGCGAGTGCGTCTTCGTCCATTAGAAATGGATGTTGAGAAACGAGGCCGCGACGATAATGAACAGACGCGTACGCGCAGCGATGACCGTTCGTCGACCCCGTGCGAACATACGCGAGAGTGGCGATTTGGCTTGATGTAAGGCGTGGGCAGGCATTCTGACGCGCGCGCGCGCGCGCGCACCGATCGATATTAAATCGAGCCGACCAATTGATCCGAGACGGGAGTAGGCTTTTACGCGGCGCCGCGCCGCTCTAATTTGTTTGACTAAAGCCAGCGACCCATTGAGCGCTTTCTAGCCGCGAAATTCAATTACCGGCCCGCGGCCGTTAACTGCAACGGTTCGCAAGTGGCCGGGCGCGCCGACAGCGAGCTCTTTATCGCAACGCTGACGCGGGCTTCCAGTCGGATTGTACTCTGGCGTGCGAACGCGTCGACGTCGCGCGTAAACTCTTCGCGTGAATTTCACTGGCCGACGCCTCGTAAAAGAGGGCGATTCAAAGAGTGGCACGTCTCGCGGCACCATTGCTCATTGAAATTTTCACTAAGCCTTACACTCGCGGCCGCTGATATCGCATATTCGACTGTTATTTTCGATCGGCGAGCTTCGCTGTTGACGAGGATAATTGCTCCAGTGAGCTGAGAAAGCAGCGCACACCTGCCAAACGTCATTACCCGCGTTATTGTTTGTGCGTGCGCGAACTGTCTGGGCTCCGTTCTCCACTCCAGCCGGACAATATTGCTGCCTCCCCCTCCCCCTCTCCCAAGATAAACAGCGCGCTGTCACGCGGCTCGTCTCCGCGAGTTTACAATCTTGCCTAACACGACAGCGTCGGCCCACTGCTTCTCGTCCGCTTTTGCTTGTGCGCTTTATCGGTAGACCAATGCCAATGATACCAAGATATACCAAGCGATATCGCTACAGCCGAAAGCTCATTGTCGTGTCAAATTACGTCGGTGAGCGCTTTTCCATCCGCGCGCTTTAGTCATATATATACATGTGTGTAGTTGACACGCGGTGCACGTAGCTTCGCGTCAGCGAAAATCTGTACGATTGAAAATCACGTAGTCGAAAGTGCTAAAGCAGCGATTTCTATGCCGTTCCGACGGCAGCGTTTCTCCGAGTCTCATTCGTCATATCTACTCCATCGGCGTGTGCTTGCGCTCAAACATGCGTCCTTGGATTTAAACTTTTTGCTGGGAACACACGGCCAGTTTGAAGTTATCATTTACTTTTGAGATGAAATCTATAAAAATACGGTTTCTCACTCATGTATTTCTCTAGTGTTGTCGGTATTGAACATTAAAAAAAAGTGCATAAAAACCATAATAGCGCACTCAGCGTTCTCCGCGTAGTAAAAGCATCATTATCCGATAATTGCGCGGATACTGCTCATTTGAAAGAGCGTCAGAAGCGGCTACACTTATTCTCGAGAGCTTATTTTCTCTCCTACCGACTGCTGTTACTTTTATGCACGTCGTAATCACAACGAGCTTCGTTGTTTTTTCTTTTTCAAATGCCTCTTCACTCGCTTCTAAGCCACTGTCAGAACTTTCCTCTTCGGCACTTGTCGAACGAGCGATCAAGCTAAATAATCAGCTTACTGATGATTTCCTTGATAAATCAAAATGCATTTTTTTTTTAATTTAGACTATTCATATGTCATTTTTTTATGTAAGTGCTTTAAAAAATGTTCTGGATAAGTATTTTTTCAATAATCCCGCCTGCGGTATTGATCATTTTCATTTCCCAGTCAGTTGATAAAATAGATTGCTTCACTAACAACAGTTCGTATAACGGTGCCTATATATATGTATATATATATATTGAAAACCTAACCTTAATACGCTCTTAAAAATTCGACGCTACCTAGCCGAGCACGTGAACTTAACAGTGAGTACAAATAATTTTTTATTAAAATTATTAATGAAAAATTTTTGTATTTGAACCCATTAATAACTTAATGAATACTATGCGATATCTAATTACTAATGTTAATTGTCAATAGGATCGATATCTTTTTTTGTAGAAATGGCAAAGAAATCTAAAAAGCGTCAATTGGAAGCCGATGTCAACGTTGATGAAAAAATAGGCACTGACAATTCTGTTGACACCGGTTCATCAAAGAAGAAATTAAAAGTCATTCCAGAAAAATCTGGAAAGAAAAATAAATCAAGTTTTTTGAAACAAAATGATTTTAAAATCAAAGATATTCCTGAAAAGCATAAGCTAGAAAATGAAACCATTAAATTAGATGTCAAAGCATCAAACAATGTAGTGGATAAAAAATTAAAAAAAAAGAATAAAAAGAAGGCTAAAGAGGTATATATTTACGTTTAAATTTGAAAAATTGATCATTATTGAAAATAATAATAATTATAAGATATGTTTTTCAGCAAGAAAAGCTGGAAATGTCTGCAGATAACGAAACTGCACCATTGATTTCTAATGATAAAGAATCTACAAAATTAAAAAGGAAAGAACTTCTTCAAAAAAAAAGAGCAGAGTTTAAAGCAAAGCAAAAGCAATTAGGACATCGAGCAGGATTATCTGCAACTTTGTCCAAGTTATCTTTAGCAGACATGAAAAAGAGGATTGCAGATATTCAAAGCCGAGAAACTATTTCCAAAACTGCTATAAGAAGGCTAAGAATTTTAAAAAAAAAAGTACAAGTCCTAGAATCAGGTGGTTCTTCAGAGACTTCAACTGAAAAAGATGGCACATCGAAGGATATCTTAAAGGAAGATAAGAAGAATCAAATAAAAAAAAAGACAAACATAAAAGCGAAAGATGATGAAGTAGATCCAAATAAAAGCAATGATAAGAAAAATAAAAAAATTACAGACATAAAGAATAAAAAGAAACAGAAATTTGTAGCTAAAAATTTAAATGAAAATCTATTTATTGAAGATAGAATAGGTGATTCAGCTCATGACTCTTCAAATGATAGTAGTGAGGAAGAAAATGGATTAAATATTAAGAAAGTTACAAAAAATATTAAAAAAATAAAAAAGATAATGTCTAGCAACTCCAATATTGAAAAAGTCAATAAAAATGAGAGTAATTCTGATGAGGATGATGATGAAAATATAGATACAGATGATGATGAGTCTAAAAATGACAGCAGAGAAGAAACTAATGAATCAGATAATCAAGAAAGCAGTGACGAAAGTGATGATGATAATGAAAGTGAAAATACCAATGAAATTGTAAAAACTGATATATCTGTTACTAAAACGAAAAAAGTACAGAAAAAAAAATCCAATCAGGATGCAAACAAATTGAAATCTAATTCATCTGAAACAGATTCAAAACAAAAACGATATGTTCTTTTTGTTGGAAATATTGCATATAAGTAAGTAATAAATTATTTTATATTAATGTAAAATCAATTTGAATAGTAATAATGTATTAATAAAATATTTATTCTAGTGCAACCACTGTAGACTTAAAAAAGCACTTTTTAACAAAAGTGGAGAAAGTAAAAGATGTTCGTATACCTTTGGACTCAAGTACAAACAAGCCTCGTGGATTCGCATATGTTGAAGTAGAAAATAGTAAAGATTATGAGGTAAGCAAAAGAAAGTAATAGTAAAATAGATAACTATAAATGTTTTTCAGTGTTTTTTATTGGCACTTATTTTTTTTATTACAGAAAGCTTTGTCTTTACACCATACCTTCATTAATGGTAGACAAATTAAAGTTGAATACACTGCATCAGGATCCAAGAAAGCCAGCAGAAATCCCGAAGTGATCCATAAAAATAAGAAGCTTCATGCTCTTCGTAAGGATGGAAAATTAGTTGGAAGTAAAAAGTTTTCTAATAAACGTAGTTTTAGAAGAAATTTCAAAAATAATCCCAATAAAGGATTTGGTAAAAGTAAGCAAAAGGCCTTTTAAACTACGTGCAATTTCACCAAATATTATTCTATGACTTGAAATTTGTTTCTTAATTAAGTCATTTCATTGAATGTATCATTTTAATTGCAAGACTATACACTGGCTATTCAAATTATTTTTCAGTAAATAACTACATTTTTTATATTCGTTGATGTATCTGATTCATGAATTTGTTTATCTTGTATATATACTAAATGTAATTTCATGTACATACATGAACCGTAACATTTAAAAAAATAGAAGTATAATGGATAGATAAATATTACATTATTTTAATACATAAAATAGGTTATGGTCATGAATGAAGTAATTTCAAAAAATAAATTTGAAAATAAAAAGTTTCAGTGTGTAGTAAAATATTACATATGCAAATAAAAATATATCAAATGTATCGTTTTTGATTTTTTTGTATTTTTTCATTTATGTGTTTGAAAAAGTTAATTATATATTTAAATAACTTTTATTTAAATTAACAGTAAAAGTACATAAATCATAAATTGTTCTTAAAAAAAAATCAAAAGGAAGTTTACCCCTGGTGGGACTCGAACCCACAATCCCCGGTTTAGGAGACCGATGCCTTATCCATTAGGCCACAGGGGCTTGTGTGGCACGAGTCATTTAGTGTTGTAATAAGCCAGGATGCATTGACTTCATCTTGATCGATGTTGGAAACACCGAAGATGCGCGCAACTGTATAGATATGAAGTATAGACATATGCCACATCGCGCATGTGCATCGGTAATGTTTATTTTTTAAATATAACCTGCAGATAAAAATATTTGTTTTGCTCAATATTACCCGAAATCAATAATTTCATTTAAAATTTTTCCGAAATTATTTTTATATCATATCTCCGTACAGATAAATAAGTATGTATTTTCATATGAAGTTGTTTATTTTTTGATGCGCAATGGAAGTTATTAAGAAAACGAGAAAAACTAAGAAACGGAGGCATCGAAATGAAAGCGCGACTCAAGAGGATAATTGTGAAGAGTCCGAGGTAGAAATAGAATTAAAAATATAGCTTACTATTTTTTTAATCATTTTATTTTTGGTTCAGAGTTTCTGTGGCGAAAGTCGTAAAACGGTAAAAAATTTGGCATTTAAAGACATTATATTTAGCAATATTAAAAAAACTCAAGTTGTACAAACAGAAATATCCTGCATACACGGTATCTTTAACTTTGAATATTCTTTGTGGTTAAATGATAATGATAATCGCTAGAATTTAATTTAGAAAATACGGAACTTTTGACCGAGAAGGACGAAAAAATTAAAAACTTGACGGAACGGCTCCATTCGATGACAACCAAGCTTTACGAATCGAAAAATGCTAACACGATTTTAAAACAAGATTTTCAAAAAGCTCAAAAGGTATACTCACTGTTCGAAAAAATTTTGCGTCTTAAATGTAGCTGTTAGGTTGATGAGGTATTAACAAATACAACGAAAGTTGTTGTGCAGTGAAGTCGGGGAAAATGTGACGGTAGCTGGGTTATCAACTGAGCCTGGTGGATGGCGTGGCAGAGCTGAGCAGATTCAACAGTTGCAGCAGAAAGTTTCCGAGTTGCAACTTAGAGCGTCCGAAAGCGATGGCTTAGGAAGAAGATCTTTAGGTTTCAACACTGTTCACAGCATTGTGAAATAGTTTTCAATTATTTCGTAATGAACACAACGAGTGTTTGCAGAACGCAAGAGCTCGTCGAGCGTTCGTTTATTCGATCGAGAACGAAAGCAGCAGGTGGAAAATTTGACAAAAGCGTTGAAAGACAGCGAGGCCTCTTTCGATGACTGCAAGAAAAAATTGGAGGCAGCCAAAGCTAGAATATCGGTGTTGGAGCATGAGTTGAACTCGGCAAAAAAAACCATAACGTGTTTGAATGATAAAACGTCTCACGATAATCAACTTATTGATATATTACACGTAAGTTCAAACAGAACGAGCGACGGACGAAAAATTTTACGAATGATTCCTTTGATTCTACTTATCAGAAGCAACTGGAAGAGGCTGATGCGCGATCTGAGACCCGCGAGATTGAAATTAAAAGGCAAACTGATAAGTACGAGAGAGAAATGGTATTGTTGAAAAGTGAATTGGAAGCGTCGCAACTGCATATTAAGAATTTCAAGAATGAAATTGAGGAAAGAGAAGATGAGTTGAACAACTTACGGTAGCAATCCCCATTACCTTTAGCGATCTAAACTTGCGATGGAATATGCTAAATGTGACACGTCGATATGTTCAAGTTGTCAGAGTAAAGCAATGATCGATCAGAGTAAAAGGACTTGTCGCGAGATCTCGATCGAAAGTCCAAGAAGCAGTATTCGAGAGGCGCACGAGCAGATAGCCAAAGGCATAGCTGCCGAAGCCGAAAGAGAGCGATTGCTGGAGCTGGTGGCGCTTCTGAATCAGCGCTTAGATAAAGAGCGAGGCGATTACGAACAACTATCCGTGAGTAGTACGAAGCTCGTCTCATTGGGCCTGCACCGATAAGACATTTATACGAGGATTTCTGTGATAATCAAGGAATCCTTCAAAAGAGAGCGAAGTCGAGGCGCGAAACTGGAGATCAAGCTGCAGAAATTGGAATTGGAGCGCGCTGCTATGACGAGAGCGAAGAATGGCTCCTACAGATTTCGAGCAACCAAGCCGAACCTCACTGCGACTGCGACCGACAATTTGAGCGACCTCGAAGACATTCGCTTAAAGTTGGTCGATCAATTAGCTTACTTTATTCGCTATTTCGTCAAGCATTAAATTGATGTCCTCTAATGAAGGTTCGAGCTGCTGCAAGAGGAGTGCTTGACATTAAAAACACGATTAGCGACTGTGCAAAAAGATAAAGCTGCAGATCTCGCGACATTTAAAAAGATGCTTGATCAGACGAGAAAAATATTCAGAGACGCATGCAGGTAAATAGGTGTTGCATCGGGAAAAATAATGAGCGACTTAATTCATTGATAATCCTGATTTCAGAGGCAAATTGCCTGCGATGTAAGTGTTTAACGAGCTAAATAAATGTGACGTGGTTATCGCAAAAATTATACCTGCGAAAAAAAAAAAAAAAAAACTATCTGTCATCAAGTTCAGAGTACGATGATAACATATTTAGGGCAGCGAAGACGCGAAGAATGGGATTGCGCAAGACTCGTTGAACGTATTCAACCTGACTCACACTTCCTCTACAGCTGTGTAACGATCGTGGGTGAATCAATTGACGAATTTGAACAAGATATGCTTCTCGTGAACGAAATTTTTACGCGAGGGCGCGCGCGTCAGGGCCAACGAAGGATCGTTTTTGCGGAAGCTCGCTTCGATCCCAGATCAATCGATGGTCGAGGAGGCTTTTGTAAGCGGACCAGTTCACGAGCATAAGCGGGACGATTTGTCGATATTCAAGTGCATCAGTCATAGCTTTTTACATGGCGGCAAACAAATTCCCGGCCTGCTGTCATAAAAGGCACTAATACCGGCCCGCGATAGCGGCCATGAGCAGGCGAAGAGCGAGCGAGAGAAAGAGAGCAGTGCGTATTATGTAATGAAAATGTGCCACCGATAAGATGCAGCCCGCGTCTTCTTGCTCTCCCTCTCCCCCGTGGCGTCGTACTAACGCGCGCGCAGGCTCGTTTTCGTTTTACATAACGCTGCCGCTTCGTCGCCTCGAGAGGCCCGTAAATTCATCGTCCTACCTCGCTCGGAGCTTCCCGCTGCACACGCGCACGCCGATACGCCTGCCACGGGCAGCCCTTCGCTTGCTCTAGCACTGTGGCAGTTTCCACACGCGGAGCTTGAGCAATACCCAACACTTTTGCGCAAGGTGAACATCGCTTTCCACGCTATTTACTGCTGCTGCTGCTGCTGCTACTGCCGCGCCGACCACGGTTACAACTGGCCCGGTTGATTGAACTGCGCGAGCGAGGAGGACGAAGAAAACAAATAATCAAACACGAGGGGGCGAGAGAGTCAGAGAACTTTGCTCTGGAGGCCCCGCTTCATCCTGCGAGATATTTCTTATTTGCTCGATAACCAGGTTGCTGCCGTTGCCGCAGCTGCGGCTCGCAGCGGGGAGATGGCGTTGCTCCAAATTCGTTCCAACTGCAATACTTCGACTTTCAAAGAAGCCTTCGTGCATACACTCTGCGCTATTTTTTTTCCCCTCTCATCGACTTTTCGAGCCGCTCATTTGAATAGCCCGACAATACTACGCTAAAATTGTCCATTCTACAAGCTACTCCTTTGTCGAGGCTATTTTAATTTTTGGAGGCCCTGTCATTAGCATCACAACGAGGCTCTAAACGCCTGTTAATGCAACTCGTTACGCCGGAAAGCGTGTGAAACTATTCGGTACGTAGAGAGCGTGGAGAAATATGTGAAAATCGGGAAAACTCTTGTTCAACAACGGACGGCTACGAATAAGAAATCGAGCCTGTCGGTGGGCACTTTAGAAAAATATCCGCAAGGCTTTCGCAGCGGCGCGTGCGAGTAAGCGCCTCGGTTTCCCCAAATCTTTCCCACCGCAGCTCCTCTCGCGGAATAGCCCGCGAGGCGTGGGTAGGAGGAGCCAGCTCACCGCCGATTCTCGGCACTGGCGGAAGAAAAGCCGAAAGCGCAGAAAAATCGGGGGCAGCATCTGGCAGCTGAGCAGAGCTGGCGTAGCCGTCGACCTCGCGGCATCGATAAACGGTTGGTCAAACGGGCAGCTAGGAGTAGCACTCGGCGTCGCGATGCAGAGAGAGAGAGAGAGAGAGAGAGAGAGAGAGAGAGAGCGAGAGAAAGAGAGCGAGTCGTGCGTGTAGTTGCGGTGCGGCTATGCGGCTTAGCGCACACAGGTGTCGCGGCCGCGGGGCTGATAAGAAATGCGCCCGGCTCGCGTGACGTCATCTGTCGCAGGCAGGTATATGAGTCGACGCCGAGGCCTCGTCCACGTCACTCGTTGCTCCGTCGCTCTCCTGCCCGCGTTCGTCGTCCGCCTCTCCTCCGATTGTTTTCTTATTTTTTTTTTTTTTTTCGACCGGAGCAGCAGCCCCCTGCCGACATCACCTTCAGCGGCCACTCGTCACCCAGCGGCAGCGGCGGCAACGGCCACGGGACTGCGCCGGCATGACGCACCTGAGTAGCCCGGGGTGAGTGAATTATTGGGACAGTGCATGGCCGAGTGCTCGAACGCGTATAGACGCTCGCTAGTCGAGGCTGCAGTCGATCGTCGCGACAGATTGCGCTCGGCGTTGTGACTTGGCGTTCGTGCGAGTGTGCAATTGTATTTCGCGGTAACGACTCGGACTGAGTGCAGGGTCATTCAAGTGGCAACGAGCAATCTTCGCGTCTTTGGCCAATCGCAAGTAAAATCGGGAGAGCAGCGGTAAACGGCAACGCGAGCGCGTACTTTTCCATTTTCGGCGATAGGTGCAAAGCAAGCTGTCGCGGGTCTGCGGGGACAGCGGTGCGCGCGAAAATCGAAGTAAACTCCGGCCGATTTGGGTTTCGTCGCGCGCTCGCGTAAAGCAAAGAGGACACAGCCGGCCGGCGCGCAATAGCTCTCGTCGCCGTCGTCGCCAGCCGGCGAGCAGCACCGCGGCAAATGGCGCGCATTGTACATTATCTGGAAAAACCAGGCGTCGATTTCGCGCGACGACGCGGAGCGCGAAGCGAAGACGACGTCGCCGTGAAATTGGAATACGCCTCATTCATGTGCAAATAGCGCTCTCGAGAGACGCCGATACACATTCAGCGCCTCTCGTGTCCCGGCGTTACGTAAGCTTCCTCCTCGAGCATAGACTCGGGGCTCGCGCCTCTGCCGATTTCACGCGTCGTGCTCTTTTCCGTCTGCTTGCCGGCCTCTCGTCGGCAGCTCGACTCTCCGATGGGGGCCCATGGGCGCGCGCTGCCCATTTCGCCAGCGCGCCGCGGTCTATCACCTGGCCGATTTATCTGTGTGGTCGTGTGGCACGAGTCCGCGCGTTTTCGGGCGTCGGCGAACCTGCCGCTGCGACACCCGTCGGACTTCCACACAACGACCGCGTGAGCTTATCGCCTGGCCGCGCCGCTCGCAGCGCACACACGCGCGATAACGATTTACCATTATATCTTCCCTTCCGAAAAGCTCGACTCGCTTCTCCGCACGACCTATCGCTCGTGAGCCATATATACCTGCACGCCTATGATTGGGTAACGGAATAGCTCGCGCTTGCGAACAATCGCGTCGCTTCCCCGAATAGAGCAGCGTTTACCGCGACGCATAAACATGTAAAAAAGAAAACGGAAAAAATAAAACAACTCGCTTTAACGAATACGCGAACAGCAGCGACGGTCGTTGCTTCGCTAGGCGAGGCGTCCGCTTGCATTGCAAAAAGCTCCGATATTTAGGCAGTTGCTCGCTCTAATACAGCTGGAAAAATCAACTGCGCAAACAGCGCCTGCGCGCGCGCGCACTTCTGCGCGGCTGTTTGTTTAAATTTTAGGGAGCGCCCGATAATAGATCGCGTGTAGGTGTAACCGATTGAAAAATCACTCCGAGCCTAATTTTTTTATTTTCTTTCCGTCCGCGAGGTGCGCTTTCTCGCAGCAGCAGGTCGGAGCCTCGTACCGCGTGTAATTACTTTGCACCCTGCTCGCCTGCAAGAAGCGAGACCCCCCCTCATTGTATTGCACGCTAAATACTCTTCAAACTCGGTTGACCAGTTGCAGACTCGTGTCTATTTAATTATTCCGTGTTTTGCCAACAAGTTTCGCAGCTCTGAAAGACACTATTAGAAAATAACACCTATTATCAGTCTTGATTTAGAAATGAGAATCGTAGTGAGATAAGATTTTCAACACAAGCGTAAAGGCACTTATGTAAATATGTAACTCATTCTGCGACGTTTGCGTTGAAGCTACCGTATTGGAATTTTACTCGATTATAAGACTTTTGACCGAATAATGCTATTGTAATCGTGCATGAAAGAATGATCGATGCGCCTTATCTGTTAACAGCGACATCGTGATTTGAATGCTCGAGATCGAAACAAACGAACGAGCGTCGGTTTCGAGTTGGTGGAACAGTCGGCGCGATTTCATCACGTACCGACATAAGCGTAAGTAGTCACTAATGCATGCAATAGAGCCGCGGGTGGGCGCTAACTGGCAGAGGAGCCGCGGCTCTCGCACCAGTCCGATAACAAGCTGAACGGGCGAAAAATCCTTCGCTCTCTCTCTCTCTCTCTCTCTCTCTCTCTCTCGGCGTGCCTTCAACCTGTTCTCGGCAATTTTCAGCGAATTCGTGAGCGAGATAGCGGCGCCGCGAGCGATAGGCAAATTACGCGCGACCCGTTCGTGACATGATTTTTTTTTGCTACGTTCTCTGCTCTTCAAACGCGCGCAGGTTGCGAGCGCTTTGTTCCGCTTTATCCACACGGACGAGACGACGACGACGACGACGAGGAGGAGCGGCGAGGAGGAGTGGTGAGGAAGAGGAGCCGGCGAAAACCGAGAGAAGAGAAGAGCGAATGCTATGAAGAGAGCTATCCATCGACAGTTTGGTAACAAATAACACTGTCATGGACCTGCTTTCTTTGTGGACGTCGCTTGATACACCGTGCGGACCTGGGAAATGGAGTGCATGCCCGCATGGCGGCAGCGAGCGAGCCGGCGAAGGAAAGAGAAAGCTTTGTTTATTACGATGCGTCCGCGCGTTTTTCAGCGAGCCGAGCGTGCGCCTGCAGTCGCCGGCTTTGAACTCGACTCCGAGAAAGCACCAGTTGGCAAGTTCAGGGCCCTGCGCTCGGCCGATCGCGGCGCAGGGCCGTTGAACCGCTGCTGCTCGATTAGAGCCGAGCGAGTGCTCTCGATACGCGCGCGCACCACCTACGGCCGACGCGCTAAACAGCGTAAAGCTCGTAAAAGTCCCGCGCGCGATTATTGCTCCGGTCTCCGGCGCGCAACGCGGCGCGCTCCTTTTTTTCAGATGGTTCTTTTGCGGCCTGCCAGCGCCACGCTCGGGTCACGCGTCGCTACCTTCGATTCGCTCGATTTGCTCGCAACTTCGCCGCTCGCAGAGGTAACGCAGAGCGCGCGATCAAAGTCATTTGAATTTTACCTTGACGAGAAAGCGCTTGGCGGCTCCAAGTCGAGCTACTTCTATTGGCCTCAGCGAGCGTTGCTGGCACCAGACAGCAAACACCAAGATTATTAACTCTGATAAGGCCTCTCAGCGATGTGTGCTACATGCACGAAAAACGCCGCGACAAATGCCATAAATTATTCTCCTTAATTATCACGCCGTGATAAATTACGCTCTTTCACGCTCGGATTGTCTCCGAGTGCTTGCTTTGTTTCTCTTTCGCTTTTTCCTGCCTCGCGAACTCGATTCAATTATCCGTATTTACCGTCTCTGTGAGCACCTTTTTACGTTCTTCGAAAATCCCAACTTGGTCGCAAGCATCAATTTTCGAAAAAAAAAAGAGAAACTCATTGAAGAGATAATGTAAGTCTTATGTTTAACGAGCATTGTGAAAGAATTTCCTTCTTGCTATCTAAGGGAATTGCTTTTATCTTAGAACAATCATATCTCTTATCGTACGATACCTTGATACCGCGAGAAAGAATATTATACTTGAATCGCGTTTAGAAGCTCAAGGTGTTTTATATTATTTTGATTCAGTGAGATTGTACAACATATCGTCGAGTGTTACTCATTTCCAAGCGATTTTCTAGCTCTGCATGATCGATAAAAATGCCGGCAAAACCGAGTAGAATGTAAGAAGCAGCGTCCGACAAATATTCCATAAGGAAGTGTTAAGCGTAGCTGAGCATTGTAAAGCTAGCTTATTTGAGAAAGTGCCATTGGGCGTAGGCACATCCGACAGGTGACTGAGCAACACTTCAATGCTCTACCTATGGCCTTGCGGTTTCCAAGTCGAGCGAAGAAAACAGGCGTATTTTATTCTAAAAATATTGTATTGCATGCGAAACTTGTCACATGAATGGCGCGCGCGCTTTCCTTGCATCAACCTCTGCGAATTTCTCTTTCTGTGCTCTTTATGTAATTCTTCATTTCTCATCATATTTTCCAGCCATCAAAACTATTCTAAACAAAATTGTTCATTGGAAGTAACGCGCGAATTACATGCGTTGCGATTTTTATCCTTATTTTCATTCGAATCTTCCCGCTTCGAATATGAGAGGTCGCCGCAGTCGATTAATTTAAAGATGGTTGAATCGCTATCGTCTGGTATTTATTGATAAACAAACATACGTATTATAAGCGTGTATATATACCTGCATGTAATATTTTATCAATTATGGCCTCATCCAGTCGCAGATCAAAGTGAGAATTATTTTATAAATTACATTAATATAATCGATCTCGTCAACTTGTTTGTCAAATATACAAATATTATTTTAATTTATTTCATTGACATCCGCTAGTTAAGTCGTGTTTTATTTTGTATTTCCACTCATTTGTTTCAATAATTGTTTGAATACCTTTTTTTCTGGAATATATTCAATGCATCATATTGTACAGCATTAAAGTAGGAGTTGGAGCAATAGTTTGTGAAGAAGCTATATTAAAAGGTGATATCACAATTGGCCCTCGTACTGTTGTCCATCCTCGAGCAAGTATTATTGCTGAAGCAGGCCCAATCATTATTGGAGAAGGAAATATAATTGAAGAAATGGCAACTATTATCAATAGGTATAGCTGAAAAAAGTTTGATAACTATGAAATTAAAATCATGATTCTTGTGAATTTAGGATACCATCCGATCAGAGTGTTACACCTGTTCAAATTATTGGAAACTATAATGTATTTGAATTAGATAGTACATGTGAAGCATCCAAAGTAGGAGATCACAATATTCTTGAATGCAAAGGTATTAGTGGGATCTGATCAACTTCCTATTACATATCTGATTAGTTTTACAAAAAAAATGTTTTTTTATAGCATTCGTAAGCAAAGAGGTAGAACTGACAAGTGGATGTATAATTGGAACAGCTTGTTCTTTGACAGAACAGGAAATTGTACCCGAAAACACAATTGTATATGGCAGCGAATGTCAGCGTAGAGAGATGAACGATAAACCATATGTAAGATAAACATATTCATTTCATTTCCAAGTAATTTAATTAATAAATATTTTATTTATAGTATATTTATGTTTCAGCCTCAAATTGGACAACTAGATTACCTTATGAAAATTTTACCAAATTACCATCACATTTACAAACCTAATATAAAACCAACCAAAAGTGAACCTTCTGTATAGATTTAGATTTAGATTTACAATTGTAATTTGTTATACTTATACTTATATTTTATACTTATTAAGTTTCCTATTAGATAATAACAAAAAAAAATTGTTTAAAATGCAACTCTATATCTTCTCCAAGAGTAATGCAGATATCTACCTTTCAATTCTACCAACTTGTCCGAGATGGCTCTGCTCGTCACATTTTTAAGAATAAATATGCATTTTCTTATTACAATATATTTTTATCGTAACATAATCTTATATTATTGATAATTTAAATAAATTATTTACAATTTTATTACAATTTAAGTATTTTTATGAAATTGAGTAATTTATTCTACATGTATTTATTTTGTGATATTTTATTTATAAATTACGTCTTTAATACCATCTATTGATCCATTATTTACAATTTACTTTATAAATTATAGTCCACAATATCCCAGTCAATTTTTTTCTACATTATATTTGTTTGTTAACGAGAAAACAAAATTAAATTATAGTTCACAATGAACCAGTCAATTTTTTTTCTACATTATATTTGTTTATTAACGAGAATAATAAATTAAATGGGCAATTTGCCAAATGAAAATAATTCGTCATAGTAGCACAACCAATCTAAAACTATGAAACGTAGCTGACTTTGTTGTAAGCCCCTTCTAATGGAAAGCGAAAAGAACGGGGAGTCAAGACAAGGGAGTTGTCACGCTTTGACATGTATGGAGGGTAAATCGTCATACTGATGATGGCATAACGGCAACAAAAACGTCAACTCTAGCGAAAATTTTAATGGCAAACGTTGAAACTGTGTATATTCGAGAAATGTTTCTATAAAAGGTGAATTCGGCAGTTTCTTAATTCTTTTGCGAATAATAATTAAGTAGTAATACACGAAATTGGTCGGACAACAATATTTGTTTCGACGGTACGTTCGAACAAGTAAGAAGTGCTGATAACACGTTAGTCGGAAGAAATGTGAGACAAGGAAGGTAAAGATGGGTGGAAATCAAGAATCGCGTGTTGTTTTCGGCAATTTCATAAACTGTGCGCGGCTCAGCGAGGCGCAGTAGTCGTCTTGACGCCATTGTTTGGAGGGCTTAATGCGCGCGCGACTCGTTTTACAATGGGTCGAGACTCATTAGCATAATCACGTCACAAAGTCGTCCGTTCGCTAGCTCGCTCGCTGGCTTCCTTCCCCCTTCGGATTTTACGGGTGGTTTGGCTGCTCTGTGTATCCATAAGCGGGGGGCGGCGCCGATTGCGCTGTTTACAGCCAGCCAAAGATCAGATTTACGGAGATATTCATTGTTTGCTATTGAATCGGCTGGATAGAGGGCAGGGGGCACCGTAATTTTTGCACACAGTGTTTTATCGTACGCGTTCGATCATCGCACGTTTAGCTACATGAATTTTGTCGCCGCTTGAGCAATGACCTGTAAATTGCTGCAGAGCCCATCGTTTGCATCTGCACGATGGCCTTTGTCAGTGATAATTGATGAGTAAACAACAGCATCGATTGCTGATAAAGTCTGAAATAATTTTGATGTGCGATACCGTAGGTGTATAGTTGTGTCACCCCTGCACTTTGAAAGCAGAGCCGTGAATATTGTGGATTTCGCAGCGGCAGCAGCAGCAGCAGCAGCAGCAAGGGACCCCGGCAACAATAGAAACGTTATGAGTGAAGGTGATGCGCGCTATTCGCCACGGCTGTCAGGCCACTCCTGCGTGCGCGCGTGCGTGTGTGTGTCTCGCCACTCTTTGACGCGCGTTCGTTGCAGCGATTTGGAGATGTGTATACGCAGACTCGGGGGGTTTGGCTCTGCCCGTCAAGCGCTTGTCACGCCAATTATTTATGATAATTTGCGCGCGATATGGATGTTTGATTTGCTTTTACCATTCGTCAAGTGGATTTTCGCGACGAGCCTTTGTTTACCATCGACGAACGCCTGTCGGATGCGCGCTGCTTACACGTAAAAATAAATTGCGGGCAGGGCGCGTGTCGCTATTAATACGAAAATTAATCTCCGAAGAAGACGGGCTCAAGCGAGGCAGCTCTCCGTCAATGTGAAGTCGGTGGGACCGCCCATTAAGGAGCTGTCGCTGCCGCTTCTTCCGCTTTTTTGTGACTACACGCGTCGCCGATACTTCCACCCACGCAGCAACAAATAGCGACAAAACCCATCTAAATAAACATCAAAAGAATCGCTGCGCCCATTCGTCATGCTACTGTTTTTCGGCCTTTTGCCAGGGGGACGAACTACTCGTGGCTCGACTGGATTTATTGGTCGATGTGCTTGATGCCTTCCTCGTAACTGCGCGTGTAATTCGTCTCCTACAAATTATAATCGCTTTTTATCCGAAATTCAAGGTACTGCTGTAGGTGTGCCTCATCTTCTCTTGACAATTATGCAAGAGATTATCCAGGTCGAGAGTGTGGTTTAGTTGAGCACCAAATCAAGTGTAATTTTATTATTTTCGTGGCGTCGATATATGAATTATCAGGCCGTTATTCCCGTGAGCCATCTCTAAGTGAGAAGCGGAAAACGTTCGAATCGTGAAAAATTTAAAAGACGCGGTTGGGGGAGAGAGAGAGAGAGAGAGAGAAAAAGAGAGTCACCCTCTTTACGCCTGGTTACTCCGGATCACTTAATACGCCTGTGACTTTGCGCCGCTAGGTATTTAACTTTCAAATGTATTTTACGCCCTCTTACATTACAATGCCATCCTCTCCCCTTACATCCCTTTCGCGTCCGTTGACTTCTCTTCATATTACCATGGTGTATAAATTTCTTTCGCTCTCCGACTTATTGATGATTTTAGCTGAAAATTACAAAAGCTCGTAAATTTCTTTTGCTCTCCAACGGTTTGCGATGATTCTGGTGGGAGAGTTAAGTCGATTTTTATGTTTATTTAAGGCGGCTTAACAGAATGAATTATTCGATAGATTGATGTTAAATCTACTTATCAACCAACGAATTACTACAAAAGTGCAAATTGAAAAATTCAAGCGCAGAAATGAAAAAAAAGAAATGGAAAGTATTGAGCGCACACTGAACAAAGTAAGTAGGATATCTCCGCATGTGGTCGGCGCGACGGTGGCACGCTCGTCCTTCCAAGGAAAAATGCCAAGTGCAGTAGCGGCGACGGTGGCGGCGGCGGTGACCGCCCACGAGCGCGTCACACATGCGTCGGTATCCTTTGGCGGGGCCGATTTGGTATTCGCGATCGAGAGCCGACGGGCGCACGCGCCAAAATCCGTAGCTCCTAAATACTCGGAAACGTCATGGCGCGCATATAATAACGGGGTCGGCAACAAAGAAGTCGTCGACGACGCCACAGTCGCGACACACCAGACCCCACAAATAACGCTCCTGTCGAAGCCCTCACTTCACCCACATAAACGCGCGATCCAGCTGAGCGTGAAAGCTTCTTTGGGCCGTCTCTCTTTACTTCTCGCTTTCCGTCTACTGATCCGCCGGGTAATTTTCGGCGTAGAAAAAAAGTGTTGAAACAGGAGCCACGAGAGCGTTAGTCAATCAAATTCACCTCCTTGAAAAAAAGAAGATCAAACTTCCACGATGTATTTCAATTAGATACATTTCAGCGGCTGTCATCGTAGACACGCCGATGGCATTCCACACAAGCGGAGCTTCAAAGGCGCGCGCATTCGGATGCAGCGCAGTCGCGTCGCGTACGCTCACGCATGCCGCAGCAGCGCTACGCCATGTGCTAACGCTGTGGTTCCTTCTAATTTCGTTCGTTTGCATGCACTACTCAACTGCCTTTTCTTGCCTTTTCAATTCCCCCGTATGGGTGTCGCTGCTGTATCGGCTGTTTTACGGTTTCTCTGCGAAACTTCATTCAAGAATCATCCATGGGACTAACAGCTCTTATTCTCGAAATAGCAAGGATGTAAACCGAGAATCGAAGAAAAATCTGTTCCGTCGAGATCCGCATCGGTCCCGACGGAACTGCATCTGGGTCGATTCGGAAACTAAACAAACGCTACGTGTTAATCAAGTCGGTTCGAGCGCGCGAACGGGCAAACGAAAAAAAGGACAAGAGGGAGAAAGAGAAATAGAGCCGACAAAGCTCGGGACAGCAGCGACAAATTGGGGAGGAAAGCTATTTGCGGCAACGCAGACCTCGGCTACGCCTCGTAAAAAAAGACGTCAGCCTTTTCCTCGCGAGACGCCTTCGAGCAGATTCACGAGTGTCGAGTCGCCTATAGCGTATTTTCGTATGTGCGGCAACGAACTAACTACTCACGAGTGAGCTTCATGGATCGGCATATCGACGTGTCTGATTAGTTGCTCAACTTAAAAATAAACGTTACACTTGAGGATGGCCTAAGCCAGTGGGAAAAGTATTTCGAGTCTGGGCGAATCGCTCATGACTCATTTCCAGGGCTAGTCAATCATCGCGTTAAATGAGCGCACGTGTCGCGCCAATTAGGAAAAATCTGTCGAACCGCAGCTCTCATCCAAAACTTTTCCCATAAATTACGTTCGTACTAACAAGCACCCGATCTTGTACAATTACGAAGAATCTCTGGGTACGCCCAATACAACTTAAAAATAGAGCCCGAGACAAATGGCCGTCGTGTTCCCAAAAGGGTTTTTCGCCAACAGGCTGCTAAATAGCGGAGATAGTTTGTCGCGCGCGCGCCTAAATCAAGTTAACCGCGCGCGGCGCCGCAGCCCGCAGCAATTGCCCGTGAAATGAAGGCGGCAATGCGTGCACGCGTCCTTTCTCTTTTACTCTCGTTGATTTTTCGACGTGTATAAAGAAGGAGATTGATTGTCGCTCGTTAAAAACGGGAAAATAGCTTTCGGGGAAACGTTCGCGCCACTGTAACCCGGACTTTTCTCGTGCGAACATTTTTTTTTCGCAGGGCATTTACGTAATTGCACATTTCCATATACTCTTGCGCTTTCAGGTCTATAAAACGGACGTGATTTGCATGCGGGTTATCGATACATTTTACTAACCGCACATGGAACATTGCGCACAGGGCAAATTGACATCGTCGGGTATGAATATAAGAATTAAAATGCAGCGCTGACGCTCGCGTCGCTCGATTGGAATAACCAGCTTTATCATTCTACATCATTATTACAATTTTTACCGCGCGAGTGCGTGGCGCGTCCAACTTTTCAGATATTTCAGGCTATATGAACAACTTCACGGAAAACTCCATTAATCTGGCGTTTTTTGGTTCAAATGCTCAAAAAGGGCTCTCACTATACCTTTAAAGTTCAAGCTATTAATTTTGCGATTTTATCACTCCATAAAGTGTGACCCGTTCAAAAATATTAGGTTTCATCGAGTAGCATTATCGTGACACTCTTTTGGGCCATAAAAGTGCCGACCTTAATAAAACAAAAAGCTCACTTTTATGAGTTTCTTGTTATATTGTTCTGAAATTTAGTAAAGAACGCAAAAAGATATGTTAAATTTAAATAATTCAAACTCGAGTTTTAAGGTTCACAGTACGTTGAAAGTAATATTTTCGTTTATTGTCAGATCTAAACTTTGACTCTTGCATAGCTTTTATAAGACGAATTACGCTGAAATCTGATAAATCAACAGTTTCAATAGCAATGCGTATTTTACGTAGACTAAGGTATAGTCTTCAATGTATTTTGATCCACAAAATTCATATCTGTAGCTTAAATTCACGCTATCATTTTATTTTTTATCGTATTCCAAAAAATCATGAAAATGACGGTGTTGTTTCATTTTTAAGACATTAAGCTTTTCTATCGACGAAAAAAGAATGTTACGGGCATCATCGACAACGGGCCCCACATTTTTCAGCTGCAAATAAAGAAAGACGAAGTGAAAGAATTAAGAACGTCTATCCTACTTGAAATTATAAAAAAATCGAAGCGAATTAATCGATTGCTTCCGAGGAATGGCTGATATAGCTGTAGTCGTGTATTATTCAGGCATAATATGCACGTTAAGTAAAAACGGGCGCGTATCGAGAGAAAGCGAGCTGTTCTGCACGTATTGCAAATGCACATGAGCGAGTACGTATTCCAGCTAATCCATTACCACATGCGACAAAACGCATGTGCGGTACTATACGCGCAGTAGCGTACAGCCGCCCACCAATTTCCCCCCGGGCAGTCATCAATTTGCGCGACGCACGCGAACCGTTGCACGCACGCGGATCCATACCGTTCTCTGTCTCTTCGTACCAAAATAGTTACTACCTGCGTCCCACGCGACATGTGGCTCCTTCGCATAGGTGCGTGCAACCTTGAAGGACTGCCGATGGCTGCGCAGGATGTACACGCGCTCTTCTTATTTTTGTTTTTTCTTTCTTCCTCGCTCGTGGTACGTTTGACCTGACATGGATATTATTTACCGTACACTTGGAATTTGGATATTGTGTCATTTCGAGCTTTCAAGTTAACGATTATTACGAGCTATACTGACGTACATACCCTGCGTTTGATAGCGTAGGAGATGATATAGGTGTAAAAAAGCGGGCAGCTGTATCGTAAGGATGTGGGTCCGTGTCAGCGTCTTCGGCTCATAAACCAGGCGGTAATTAAACAGCTCGAAGCGCTTCCCCTGTATGCTCACACGTGCGTAACCTTGCCCTGAGAGACGAGCAAAAGTGGTAAGATTTAGAGCCGTCTGAGCATCCAAGCCGTGCCGCCGGTGTCCCGCTACCGCCTCTAGATTTTTTGCGATTTCGTCTTTGCTTTGCGTGTCTCGCAGCGCTGAGTGCTAATGGAAGCTCGATAGTTGCGCCCTCCGTGCCCCCCCCCCCCTCACCCCGCTCCGAAATGGACGTCAGATCTCGGTAGCCCATTGCGATTGATTGTCCAATCGCTTATTACGTCTCGCATCGATGCGCGGGCTTGCAAGTCTAACCGCGGGCAAATTATATCGTATGTTCACGGCTATAGGTAGAAATACAGAAAATGGAAAAATTGCAGATGTATTCATTGTTCGTGGCGCAGCGCGTGATTGAACTCCAGTCTCATTGTTGTCGACACACCACACGCCAGCGTGGCCATACATCACATCGAATAGTCACGTAATAGCTGTGTATCTTCCCGCGCACATACTTGCGATTTAGTATTGAACGAGCTTCTTTGATGTCAACATAGCGCACGCTTCACTAGCACCGAACAAACAAAGCATCCCGAGCGCGCCTCGAGATCGTTTCGCAGTTGTCAAGCTGTTCACGCGTGAGTCTCTTTGTGCCGCATTTTCTGTCGTCGCTCTAATTTGTCTTTCTTTCGATGTGACTTTTGCTCGTTTCATCGTCCAGACAAATAAGAACAGCCCGAAGATTTACGCCTTCTTCTACATAGAACGAGAATTCTAGCCGTTCCTATGAGTTACTTCGAATTAGCAGTCCAGAGAATACTTTTTTCCTTGTTAATTGTCTTAGTCGACGCGTCGTCAGACAGACCCTATGCGCAAGAATATGGCTTAAAAACTTGAACTATAGTAGCCGAAAATATGAAGGAACGAACAAAGCAAGGATGGCTTTACCAAGAAAACTTCATTTGAATTTTTGTATTTCTGTAGACAATATATTTACTTGGGGTGAGATTGAACGTGTGATGCTTACATCCGGAGCTATAGCATGTTCCAATATAGCATGCATGCAATATGAATTGCAAGAGAGAGAGAGAGAGAGAGAGGGTTCACTGACAAACGGCTTCAGTCCGCGACGTACATTGCGCTCTCTCATCGATTAGTTTTATATATTTATGCGAATTTCATCCGCTCCTGGCTTTTGAATAAATTTCTCATCGAGACACGATCGCGGAAGTTATATCTGTTCGTCCCATTGAGCCCGACATCGAAATCACATATAGTAGGATCGGATAATCGGTTTCGATCGAAAACACGAGTGAGCTGCGTCGCAATTAAAAATGACGAGGCGAAAGTTGATCACCACGCCCTACCGTTACTCGGCACCGATCTGGCGATCGATCAGGCAATCGCATCCGAAGCTGACTCGCCGCGCGGTGCGAGCTTGTGCGGCTCGCGCCTAACGTAGCTCCTGCACATATATATTTTTAGCGCCTCGTCTCGCTCGCGGCGTATAGGCAAGGCAATATTTATCGCCAGGCTCGCTAGACATCTCTCAATTGCCCAATGAAGATTCCTGGCAGGCTGCCCCGGCGGACGCGGGCAGCGCCGAGACACGTCCGTTTAACTTTAGACTTTGCGCTGCCGGCTCCACAGGCCCAATTAAAACCGCCTCTCGTACGGCCGCTAACGACCAAATCGGCTCGGCGCTCCATTATCCCACTAATGACAATCCGACCGACGAACTTCGGCCGGTGCGCTCTTGCTCGCGGCAAGAGCTTTTCGCTTGTTCATTTTAAAAGCTCCTACGTAATTTCTTTCCAACATTTTCCAGCCGTCTCGCGCGCAGAGCTGTGACGGCCGGCTAAAGCGCGATATCCTGCTAATTGATATTTAATAAATGCGAGCAACATTGTTTTCTATATTTGTCGAAATGCATACACTACATTAAATTAAAAGACAACAACGCAACATCCCCACTCGTACACTAACTATAATTAATCATCCTTCAATTAGCAATGTCTTCTTTATCCTTGATGACAGTGGCAAATTAAATCAGGCGCGGCTGATTGCCTTTGAAAGAAGCTCGGCTTTGCCAGTGAACATTGTCAGATCTATAAGTTAATTAAAGACATTGATTTGTAGCTGACGTATCTATATAATAATAATAATAATCCTCCGACTGCAACTATAAATAAAGCACTCGATTTGCAATTCCAAAACAATGTGGCATCGTTATTTTAATTATCGAGTCTAGCGATTTAGGCTTAGATCGCAATTTCATTTCGAAATCATATGAAATTTTAAAGGATCATTTGTAATTGAACATTAAATTCAGCAGACAGTTATATACAATTATAAACTTGAGTTTGCATGAATTATTTTCTCGTCTGTCATATTTCTGGATGTAATCGCGTCGTTGTATTCGATCGGTTTATAGGCAATGGAGGAATGGAAGATCTTTTTTAACGTTTCGTTAATCTCCTCAGGAAACAAAAAAAGAAAAAAAAATTCACAATAATCAGTGCTGTAGGTCAGAACAGATACATTTTGTCAACGATCACTACTGTAGGTCAGAACAGACAAAATGTATTTGTTCTGACCTACAGCACAAATTGTTGACAAAATATATTTGTTCTGACCTACAGCACTGATTGTTGTGAATTTTTTACCGGAGAGGTCAATGAATCTATAAACCTGAGGCCATTTTATTATAAATAGCCATCGTAAAATTATATATTGATTATTTATTTACAGATACTTTGATGCGGATTTAAATAACAACAAAATACCTGCATTAGAACTGGATTGGAATTCGTGTTGAATATTAAATGCAGTGCTTTTCTGCTACTATTTTGGATATTTCAATGGGATAAAATATCTGGGATGTAATAGAAATGTAATAGAGACCCCGTTACAGCGGTGCTTTATGAGATACCACTTGACGTTATTTTGGACGTGAATTTATTTGTTTCTGTGAAAAGTGATTGCGGTGATAGAAAGTCGATCTTGGGAGTATAGCGATTAATGACGGATTCGCCGCATTGGGCAAGCGTATACGTGCGGCCGAGGAGGAAAAGAAGCAAGAAGCGAAGTCGGTCCGAAGCGAGGCCAGGCAGGGCTGGATCGAGCGTCGGCTAATTGCGGCCTCGCGAGCATCGACGATCGACTCTGCGTACGCGTGTTGGTGCGCGCGTGTGCGTGCCGGCGGGTGGCGACCCGCGCGCACGCGGGGGCCAAGATGGCGATTTCGCGCTCAAGGGTTTGCCGAGCTCGCCCCATTGGCCCCGCGGCCACCAATGCGCACCGAGCTGCTCGCCGCCACGCCTCCGCCTCGGCCGAGCTCTCGCCGCGAGTCGAAGCTTGCGGAGCCGACAGCCCGACAGTCGGCCAGAGACTCGGCTCCGCTCACCTCCTGCCTGGCTGTCGCTGCGAGCTGCCGCTCGATACGATCCAAGCGACGAGCGCGCCTGGCCGCGTAGAAACTCTTTCGCCGATCGAAGCCTCCTCGCGCTCGATATTGGCGAACGATACAGTGCTGCCGAGAGTGAAAGTGCACCGTCGGTCTTCGCCAGGCGGAAATGTTCTGTCTTGGAAGCGCGGTGACTGGTGCTAAAGTTGTGCCGCGCGATCGTTCGCGGTCGCAGTGTTGGTAATCAGCTGTGCCGGGGACCGAGAGATGAGCGCCGCCTGATCGGGCCGAGCCAGCAAAGTTGGAGCGAGCGTTAGTCAAGTTACCGGCGAGCCGACGATGAAGGAGATGGACTCCGGTGTGGAGGAGACCGACCTGGACGTGGGCTCGGCCAGCGAAGAGACGGAGACGATGGATCTGAAGATCCGCGCCAATCCGAAGCCGTTCAGCATCGAGAGCCTGATAGGCAGCGCCGGCAAGGCCAGCGGGCAGGGGAACGAGGACGAGGAGAAGGGCGGCAGCGCCAGCGAGGAGAGCGCCAACCGACTGCTCTACCAGCAGCACTGCCTCGCGACGGCCAGCGGAGCTCTGCCGGGTAAGTGCTGGTCTTAGCGCGACGACGGCGGCGGCGGCGGCTGCGCTGGCGCTGACAGGTTGGCGAGTTTCGCCGCAGGTTTCGCGATGCCGCTGAGTCTGTACAGCGCGTGGCTGCAGCCCATGCGGATGTACGGCGGCGGCGCGAGCGGCCCCTGCCTGCCGCCGTCGCACCTGGCCAGCTACCCGTCCAGCCAGCCGCACCAGCAGAGCCACCACCTCAGCCAGCTGAGCCTGAACCACCTCCAGGGCGCGGCCTACCCGGCGGCGGCGGCGGCCGCGCGCCTCCTGTCCTCCGCGGCGGCGGCCGCGGCCGCGGCCAACTTCACCGACGACAGCGAGGACGAGGGCAGCCTGTCGCCCTCCTCGCCCTCGGCCCACGACCTGACCAAGTCCCAGCACGGTGAGTGCGCGCTCGCGCTCCACTTTCCCCGCGATCACGCCGGTGATTCAGCGGCGACGCAGGACACGCCTAATTGCTCTCTCTTTTTTTCGCTCGCGAGCGCGGCGGTTCATTCGCCTCGCTGCTGAATAAGGAAACGGCAGAGGTGTGATTTCACTCGGTCGATGCGTCACTTACCAGTTAATGGGCGCCGCCTAATTTATGCGTGTGTTGTAAGGCTCCGCTTATTTGACGAGCGCGTATGCGAGACGCGCGATTGCGTGTTTATGGGCCCAAAATTTCTCCGGGGCAACGGTACGCGGCGCGGCGCAGTCGATACCCACGACGCTCGATTTCTCAGTGACTCACGTCGCCGTCGCGGCTAGCGCCTATAGCGAGCGAGCTCGGCTTTACGGCTTTTCGACGTGGGTGAAATGTATTTGGGCGATCAAAAGGATCGTTCAACCGGCGACGGGTTAATTGGTTCGCCAAAGAGCTTGGCTATTTGACATGCGACACAAACCTCGCCCGCGTTCGATTTCTGGGTCCTCGACGTTTCCCCACAGCGACAGAGAGAGAGAGAGAGAGAGAGAGAGAGCACGTGGGTGAGCAGGTATCCCTCCCCACTCCGAGGAAATTTGATATTAATTATGCAACGTCGCGGCATAATGAGGTGTTGGCGAGGAAATAGAAACGCTTGTCTATTGATTTTGGCGTGATAAATAAAAGCCGATTAGCCGCGTCACTTTCGTTTAACATACAAAAGACACATTACAACTACCAGTCTTCCAGCTTTGTTTTACAAGCGCACGGACACGATATTAGAACGTGATAAATCGCTGTTGTCGGAAATGATCAATTGGAAGGCTGCGCTCGTGCAACTTGAACGAAATCTTCAGGCTTTTCCGGCCGTAAATTTTCGCTGGTTCTCGCGTATAAACAATGCAGACAGTCTGAAAAGTCTCGGCTGTTGAAGCTTTAAGCAAGGCTGAAAGGAGCGCGACGATTGATTATGCAAAAGAGCTACCGTCGAGTGGCTGTTTTAAAGCTGCAGCCAACCCGACATTTCAATGAAACGCTTTAGCCGCGGCGAAGATCACAGGGCCGCGCTGAATTTTCAGCGGCAACTCGCGTGCGCTCGGGCCCGCGATTGTTGCAACGTGGGCTTTGGCAATTGTTATCGGTAGATTGCCAAGGCATTAGTATTGAGAAACGGTTCGCAAAATCAGCGAGAGCGCAAACGAAACTAAGCATTGCTCGATGCCGGTGGAAAAAGGAGGCGAGCCAGTGTATTTTAATTGCCTGGCGTCGCGCGCGCGCGTGTGGCTGCGGGCGGCTCCTGTTCTGGCTAATCGGACGATGTGCCGCGAATGCCCAATGCCGAAGCCGCGCGCGTTAGGAAATCAAATTGACGCAAGGCGAGCAGTAAAAGCGATGACGTCCCGCGTTTTAACAATAGCGCCGGCAGCGCGTTTTGCCGTCGTATCGCGGATCGACGTGCTCTGGCCTCTCAGGAGGCGGCCACGGGTCGCGCAAAACAAAGAAATACGTTTGTCGAGCCAAATCAGAAGTTACACAAGGATTATGGCGGTGGGCACGGGCCGTAAAGTTAACGGCAGCGCCGAGAGGCGCTCGAAGGGCCGGGAGCCGGGGAGACGTTTCCACGCGGGGGAAAGAGGAGAGCAGAGCCACAGCCGAAACTCGCGTCACGTAGGCAGAGCGCGCCGTCCGTGCGCGAGTGAATGGGCGATGAAGCGTATACCTACCACACGCGCGCCTTCCTTCGCCTGCTTATTTCTCATGCGCGACACGAGGGAGCTTCTGGGAATCTATATCTCTCTCTGTCCGTCTGCGTGCTCGCTGCTTATGACATACCTGCGTCTCCGGCTGCTGCTTCCTCTGCCAGGGCTATTCGCGGCTGGCCGCGCCGAACGTAGACACGGCCGAGCGTCTGGCAGCTCGTTATCCGCGCGCCCGACCCGAAAGTCCTGCCGCTACGTGTTGTCGCTCGTTAATAGAATTAATCGCGCATCGATCTCGCGCCGACTGCCGACTGCCGGCGCTGACGTCAAGAGCCTCGGTCTCGCTAACCACCGGTCCGCTGAAAAATTCATGGCTGCAGCAGCCCTACACCCGTTTCATTTACATCTATAGCCCCGCGCGCGCCGCCGAGTATCTCGCTCTCTCGCCAAAGGTAATTGCTTCAGACGGCCAATCGATTTGCCGCCTCTATATAGCATCCGCCAAGCTACACGCTTATATTCTCAAATACAGGTCATCGATTCCTTCTGAACACTCACCTACAGTCTCGGCGAGCTTTTCATCCGGCAACCTCTGATCTGCGTCATTCATAGCGATCGCAACCACCAATATTCGCTCGCGGCTAAGTAAATCACCGAGCTATCCTCATGCTATCCTTAATGAAACACTTCCGTGGCGGATATAGGAAATTAACGGAAGCTGCGAATAATTGTCATCCGCGGATAAATGCTATATATGTATATATATAGCACTTATCCGATAATTATTTATATATATAATTATCGTGCATTCATTACTAATGCATCAAGTTGCACTTTAAAGTTAGATTTACTGCATATAAAAACGATAGCTCGTGGCGACAAATTAAAATTTTACTATAAAATATTTCTCATTGTTAAAAGTGATCGTCAATTAATGCTATAGCCGACTGATTCTTTAACAATAGCTGCATATTGAACGGCTCGTAAGACTCTGTCTATACTATCACAATGTTGAAAATTAATTCGCGCCTCACGTTGCAAATCTGCATGAAACACGCTGAACTGCCAGATGCAATAGATTTGGAAACGTCAGGATCGCGAGTGCAAGATAACCCGAAGCGAATTTGGATTGACAGTGATTTTTCATGGCGAAGTATCGGTCTATTTTAACATGTGTCAGTTGCTAATAGGAGCACATCGAATTATCTTACTGCAGCATGTAGCATCAGAGTATAAAGACAAAGAAAGGCAGCGAAACAAAGAGCAAACACACTCTAAAAATAAAATTAACACTTGCTTGAGAGCTTGAAAATGATGGGCATACAGACGGAGGGTACAGGGTGATCCTTAACGATTGACCTTATTTCCACGCGGAGCACAATTTTCATACATAAATACCCAATAACTCGCGGTATTCCTCCCTTTCTCTCTCCGCAGCGACGCATTTTATAGCCTGCCATTAAATCTACCAACAGCTATAACCCTCTCGCGAAGCAATTAAGTACTATACGCTAACTGCGACTTTTTATCGCTGTTGAATCCAGCTCTTCCGAACGCGAACGCGCGCGTCGCGATGGGTATGCCGTTTTCGTGTTAAACATTCAGAAGATATTTCTCGTACCCAGCATACTTTGAAACAAAGGAACAGCCTTGTGGCTGAAAATCTTGCCGCTGTGGTCTATGCACGCTTGAATTGTTCATGTCGAACCCTCGATTTCGCATCAATCTACAGTCGACGATTTGAGGTTCATTTTTGCTTCGCTAAATCGGAATCTCGATGGGTGTGTGGCGCTGAAATAGCTCGTGCCAGTTCGTATGTCATTTTGATGAGCGAACGCGCTGACGACCGCCGATGCGAATCATCGAACGAGTGTGCCGGGCAAAGTTGCAAGCTTAATCGAGACTGGAATGCAGCTCGCTCCTCCGTCGCATCCGCACGGGTGCTTTTTTTGACGTGGCGCAGGGCGCAACGAGCCGCGGCGACGTGCGTCAGTCGCGCAAAGTACAACGGCCAATCTAGAAAAGCGAAGTCTTCCGCGCGCGCAACTGATAGGGAGGCGATCGATTAGTGTCTTTATATAGCTATCAAATGTTGCAGTGTAAAGACGCAGCGAGCTCGCCGCTCGCGCTCCCATCCGCTTCCGCGCGACGCGGACTTCAGATCGAAATTTATCTCTCGGCTTAATTATTCAGCGCGATATTTAGCGAGGCCGTTTAACTTATGCTAGACTGACGCTGCTCTCCATCTCCTCGTTGGCGCAGCCCAATCTCCCGTCTCTGCACTTCGCGTGACGATAATTGCTTCTTCCAAACTTGCGCGACAGTTGCCGACAATCACTGCCTCGACCCTATAACTTTTACTTTGTCTGGCCAACTTGCAGCATTGCTTTACCCTTCGACTTGCTTACGCGATTGTAGAACACGCGCGCATACGTATATGTACATACATAGTTTACTCACCAAACTCTATTCGTCTTTGCGATTATTGTTTACATGAGATGTAGAAAGCTTGAAACAGCTCTTCTGTATGAAATCGCAAGCATTCTCGAAATCTTTGACACTCGAGATAGGATTAGCTTTGCAGTTTTGAATAAGAAAAATAAACAAGATCTGATATGCGACTAGTGGCCGTAAGAAAGAGCCATTGGATTTCAAGACGCAGCTTGGAGAATAGCGTCGATTACGCGATCGAATCACACCCGTAAGATCTACACTTGTCGCATGTGTAATCAGCTGGCGATCGATAATCCATCAAAAATCGAGGGAAAAAAATGCCTGACTTCCTCCCGTGCCAGGCGCCACCACCTATTGGCGATTCAGCAGGCGCGGCTATCGAGACGCAGAAATTCATCGAGCGGCTGATTTATCGGTGTGGTTTTTCAGGCTCGGAGAACGGGCGTGCCTCGGCGGACAACAGCGAGGACGAGGGCGCGACGACGGGAGGGGCTGCCGGCGACGCCGACTCCGCCGGCCAGGCCGCTTCCTCGGGGTCCGCCGGCGCGGGCAACAAGGCGCGCCGGCGGCGCACCGCCTTCACCTCCGAGCAGCTGCTCGAGCTCGAGAGGGAGTTCCACGCCAAAAAGTATCTCAGCCTGACCGAGAGGTCGCACATCGCCCACGCGCTCAAGCTCTCGGAGGTGCAGGTAAGTCGCTCGGGCGTGGGGGCAAGCGAGGTCGCTGAGTCTCGATTGCCCGGATTGCAGGTGAAAATCTGGTTCCAAAACCGCCGAGCCAAGTGGAAGCGCGTGAAGGCAGGCCTGACGAGCGGCGGCGCGGGCAACCCGGCCGGTCGCGGGGCAGCGGGCTCCGGGGCGCAGTCGGGCGGCGGGCCGCGGATCGTCGTGCCGATCCCGGTGCACGTGAGTCGGCTGGCCGTGCGCTCGCACCATCACCACTTGGAGAAGTGCCCGCAGCCGACGGCGCCCAACGGGAGCAGCGCCGCGGCGGCCGGCCTCAACCTGACGGCGAGGATACCCAGCTCGCCCTGCCCCAGCGGCGGCGGCGGCGGCGGCGGCGGCGCGCTGAGCATAGGATCGCCGGGCGCGCTGAGGGCGTTCTCCGCCCCGCGACCCTCGAGCGCCGGATCGGCCAGGTAGCCGAGCGCCTGAGCGACGCCAAGCGTCTTCGGCCCGGACGCGCTCGTTCGGCGCGGCTTCGAGTGCCAAAGCGAGTAGCGATCGTCGGCGCCGCCGACTTGTCGGAGGTGAGCGCGCGCGAGCGCGAGGCAGCCTACGAGCACTCGAGCATCGCGAACCCTCTGGCAGCCGCGCGTGCACGCCACTCCGCGCTTAATTCGAGCCGCGTATACAAATCGCCATTTCAAATGAATTAATGGACAAATCTTGTACACCTATCCCGCCGAGACTCGCGCCGGGGAGCGAAGGGCGAGAGCACAAAGGGTGAATTATGAATACATATTCGCCGACGGGAGCGAGAGAGCGAGCGCTGCCGCACCCACGATTCGCTTATAGACCATATTTTTCGCTGATCTTTTGCGGGATATACGGCCGATTATTTATGGCTGTACTCGATGTATTTTAAATATTATTTGCTCGATAATTGATCAATTGCACTCTGACTATTTTTTCACTCGACTCAGCCGGACATGTGGGATATTCCTGTTGCATCAATTCACCTCATACATTTAATAATCAGTCTAAATTGAGCCATATACCTATTGTACGTGTGAAGCGCTTCTTCTGCAAATAATTTCAACAGCGCCGTCGTTATTTTCAAACTCGATTGCAATGAGCTTCGACTCGCGTTCTCTAATTATCTTATGATACTGCACACTCGGCTGCACGTGACGGGCCGGCCGCGCCAATATAATGGTTCAAATTAAATTAAAATACTTCATTTTCTCACGACTACACCGTAATCATAAGACACGATAGCGCGAAGCATCGTTTCAGTAGCGGCGGTGCCATAGCCTGATTATCGAGATACCGGCAAACAATCTCGGAGGACTTTTAGTTGGTCAAGATGTAGCGTGAACTACATGTAACGTGTTTAATTGTGAACACAATAACGTCATTGTACATATAGCAGTAACGAGATGTAAATAACCCGATGAATTTTTGCCAAACCGTTTGAATATTTATACGAGTGGCATTAGCTATGAGATGTTCACGATGTATATCACTTACTAGTATTTTTTTACAATAATTTTCGTACGTTTAAAGTATTATTATCGGCCGCGGACCGATGCCGCTATACGCGAAGAGGCAGAGCGAAAAGAAAACTGGCAGTGTCGCGCGTATAGCAAGATCGACCTGTGCGTTTGCCTGTACATAAATATACATATGACTTATACTGTATGATTATGTAACGTATAGACGACCACGCACAATAAGCGATAATCTCTCGTGGTTGGGTAAGTCGAATTACACCTTGATGGTGCACACAAAGGCCAAACCGAGTGGAGGCACCGTTGCCTAAAGGCACCGCGCATTAAGGATCTGTATTAAAAGCGAGCAGGCGACGTCAACCGTCGTCATGTACGAAAGCGCAATAAAACATGTTACCTATACTGCAGACTATCGATCTCCTATCTTTTTTCATATCCCATCAATCAAGGCGGAAGACACTATTTATATTGAGCGCGCTATTTCTAGGCCGAGCTATTTGTGCGCTCGGACACTCATGGGATTCCGGAGATAATGAAACTCACAGCAGAAAGGGACAAGGAAGACAAGAGCGCGCGGTCCGCGGCAGTAGCCAAGGTGAGTGGTGTGAATGTCATGGTAAACAAGATCAGCTGCCGCACACTCGAGAAATCAATAATGGCGCCGATCCCCTATTGGCCCGTGCACAAAGCGACCTTATGAATAAGGATTCCTCGCGCGAGCGCTGACAAACGGCACCGACCCGACTCCTCCGCTCGCGCGCCTCCCGAAATTCACGCCTCTCCAAAAGCACAACACGCACAGCACGCGCGAGGCCTCGGCACAAAGGCAAGATCTATGGCGCGAAAGGCGTGATCGTCGCACTGTGCGCGCTGTCTCGTATTTTGACAATTCGTCGCTGCCGCCACGGCCGACTCTTCCCAGCGGGGCTGCTAAACTGCCGCCGCAATCCGCGGCGCGGCATAAGGACGAGGAGCAAGGTACACGGGTGCGTATCCGCGTACGCTGACATAAGGCCTATATACCTCGTGGGCGTGACGTCCCATATGTGCCTCTGGCGATCGCTTCTCTCTAACTGCTCGTGGCGCGCGGGGATCATCGTCGCCGATGCCGACGCCCGTTTGCCGAGCTGACAAACATCGGCTCCGATCGCGCGCCCGCAGTTTCCCGAAAAATTAGCGGCCCGCGCGTCCGAAGCTCGATTAATTCGCGCGGCTGTCGCGGTTGCGCGCCGCGCGTTGCGACCCCCTAATTACGCGCCGCCGGCCGCGCGCACAATTCGCTCGGAGGCGTTCTCGCGCGCCAGCTGCGAGCGAGCAGCGCGCGAGCCGCGCGCGTAATTCGGTGGGCATGATACGGGCGACGCCCCGAAACTGCTATATACGCGCGCGCCGCAATTACAGTCCCGCGCGCCCGATTGCTTTCGACTCTGTAAACAATTGCCGCGGCCCTCGCGCGACTCTCCAACGACAATTCCCGCCCGAGCGTGCGCCATCTCGTCCATCTTTGTCCATCTCGTCGTCCTCCGTGAGCGCATATTTTCCGTCACCTTTCGCGGACCAATTGCGCCGGCGAACCAGTCGCGAATCGCGTTAGCTTGTTTTTCGTTATCCTTCTCGGCCCTTCGAGCGACCGAGCGAGCAAATGCAAAAGCGTCGTGGCGCACGGAAGCCTCATCGATCAGCTCGAGGTCGATGTCTGTTGACGCGCTCAGCTGCGTAAAGACCGCGCACACATCGAATAGATCGAGCGAAGAGACTGTTCTCGTTCGGGGGAATGTCGCGTGTTTGTTCAAAGCCCCCTAGTCGCGCCGAGGTTTAATCAATTACGACGGCAAAAAAGGAACGAGTCAAATGAAATTAAGGAAGATAATCAGAGAACGAGTGGCGGCCCGATTCGGGGCGGGGAGGGGGGATTTGGGAAGGCTGCTTTCGAAGACTCTCGGAGCCACAATGAGAGCGAGCATCATTACTAGGCAGCAGCAGAGAGCAGGACCTAGCGGCTACAATGAACTAAGTGCATTACGGTTAATAGACGCGGAGCGGGTCGTTTAGCAGTTTAGGTAGCGCGCGCGCGCGCGAGCGAGCGAACGAGCGAGCGACGAGGATAAATCATCGCCCAGAGGCGACACGCCTCCATCCCCGACGAGCGCTGCTATATATAAGCTTCCCCCGTTACGTGTAATGGCTGCCGCTGCCGCCGTCGCTAGCTGCTAGTCTGGGCGGCAGACAGAGCGACAGAGGCGAATTATAATCTTGCACGCGCTATAGCCCGGCGCGCATTATGTACCGCGAGGCTCGTAAATAGAAGAAAGGAAGCCGGCGAGCTCTATGGCTGCGCGCTTCAGTTCTCTGAAATGGGCTCTAGCTGAGACTAACACTCGCGCGCGGAATTCTCTTGTGTTCGCGCGAGCCGCGCTAAGAACAATTTGCCCGCTCGCAGTCCCGTGGCGTCCTTCTTTTACGCACGGACACAGTCGACGACGACCGCTCGTTGTGCCGCGACTGTCGGCGAGGAAGAAGCTAGCGAGAACGCTCGATTTTCGACAATGCGGGCTAATGAACGCGCCGATCAGCGAGCGACAGACTAGACGAGCTTCTCTAATTGCAAGACAATTTTCATCCGTTCCGAGCTTGCCAAACTCGCGCGGGACTTGTCGGTATTGGATAAGCAATATTGACGCCCAACGAGGATATTTCAGCCGCGGCTCGGAAATGCACGTCGCAATCGTCGCGGCCGCGGAGAATAAAAGCGCGACGGCTTGTTCGAGAGCGATACTCTGAATATTGTATAAAAAGGTAGGCGCTGCTTCTGCTGCTACTGCTGCTGCTGCTGCTCCTGCTGTTGTCACTTAAAGCGAACGGTTTATCGACAGAATTCATATCGAAATTGGAGGTTGATTAATTTTCATCAGCAAGCTAAAATCGTTTTAAGCCACGATTTCCGCTCTCGGATCAAACGTCAGATCGATTGACGTTCGTTCAGCGACGAGTTATTGGCGCGCCTCAACAATTCAACAGACTCGCGACGAATGCGCGGAGCAAGGAATGTAATTAACAACGATTGCGCCTCTTTTTGCTTCTTTATCGGCGCCAGCCGAAAATAGACGAGACCGGCAGTATCCTGTAAACAAATTAAACGGCTTATCGGCCAGTGCAAAGGCAAGCCACAGACCGTCGTTAATAAAATAATAATCGTCAGAACGGACACGTACGGGTACTTCCGAAAGCGGCATAATGAGTGGCGCATGCACGAGCGCGCGCACATCGGCAGATTATCGTCCGAGTCGGAAAGCCACAGACCGCAAATGGAGAGGGAGAGAGAGAAGTCATGGCTTCCTGCAGGCACGTGACACGCACACACGCGCGCGCGCGTCCGTATATACACACGGAGCGCGAACAAAAGTCGGCGAGTCGACAATAGCGGGCGGAAAAGTTTCGCGGCGGGGGCTTCGGAAAAAGCGCATCCATTTGTCATCGATGATTTGCAGCCGTGAAGCCGTGCGGTCCCTCAGCGCGGTGCGCGCGCTTTCAGGGCGCCGCTCCTCGACCCGAGGGGCATGTTGACCGTTGTCGCGCGCGGCCGACGACGACGACGACGACGACGACGACGACGGGCTTCTACCACTTTTGTGCGCTGGCGCCTCCTCGGCTTGGCTCCTCTCCTCCTGCGGGCAGGCCGCGAGGCCCCTGGATCGCTCTCCGAGGTTGGTCGTAAATCCAAGTTAACAGCCGTGAGATTGACCGGCGAAGCGACGCAGTCACAACACATCCGCTCGTCCACGCGCTAGCCGAGAAAGAGACACTTAGCCTCCGCAGGCTACGTCCTCCGGGGCGCGCGCGCCCCTTACCCTCCTGCCCGTTAATTCCCATCGGTCCGGGAGCACTTTGGCGCGATTCTTTCCCACAGTCGCAATTTGCCGCGACGCGGTTCCGAAGTGGCCGTGAAATCGCTCGAAGAGAGCGCGACTAATCAGCCAACTGCACGCTCCGCAGCTTTACCGTCGATGCCTAGTCCTGATTGAATGGCGTCACTCGGCGACTGCTGCCGTGATTTCTATACTTGCTTTCATTAGCAGCTGAAAAATTGACATTCCGGACGACTATCGTTTCGACTCTATTTTGAGTTGGATTACATTTTATTCACGTAATTTTAGCTGTCGTGCGGTGAAGACTGCCTCGCGAGAAAGATAAAGATCTCAAGGTCTATTCGCAGCAGGCGAATATTGAAACGAATCAATTTTTAAAGCTTCTACTTCTTTTTGAATGCAGAGAGAGAGAGAGAGAGAGTGTCGGCATGGCACATCAGTCGCCCGTAAAAATAACCAGACTCTCCACTCAACCACTCTTTAAATATGATTTCGCTGTTTGATTAATAAATGCAGCAAATTGTAAAACCTGTTTCGTGTAAAACAATCAGTCCTCGTGCCCGACAATTAAATCGTACCTATGCATTTCAAAGATACAAGCTAATGGATGGAAATTAAATTCTCTTGCCTCATACAATAATAAAACACTTTTACCTATTTTAGGAAGGCAGCGTGTCCTTTTAGTGCAATCTAATCAATTAGACGAGCCCGCCTTCTTGGATGAATAAATGAACTAAAAGCTGCAACTGACATCCTCTGTCAATTTTGCAGGTGTGAATACTAAATATGCACTCTTCTAGTTATGTATCGAATCTCTTGTATCAGTTCTCAAATGCTTTAGAGTCTATTTTACTTTCGAATTCAATTAAATTTAAAAGCAAAGTCGAAATGAAGCTGGAGTGAGAGAAAAAACAAAGAAATCGCAGGACCAAATACGACAGATTAAAGGAGCGTTACTGACAATAATCGCTCGATCGCCCTAAGGCGCCTAATTGAGAAAGAGAAAGAGAGCGACGAAGTGGTCGGAAAAAGGGACGCCAGCGGCGATGGCATGGTGACTCGGGGGAAAAAAGTCCAAAGGGATGGTCGATAAAAAAAGAATCGAGATTCGATAAATTGAGACAGGGTGGATTTCGGTAAAAAAAAAGAAATAAAAAAAAGGAGAGAGTGAGAGAGAATGAACGACGAAGTGATCGCCCGGTGTGTTTCTCGGTAAATTAAACGGGAAAGAGAGATTTATGCAGCAAACAGAAATGGTGTGAAGTGCCACGTGACTCTGATATTTTTTTGACCTTTTTTATGGTGACATTGGGAAGGGATGCCAGCATGACTGCGCAAAATTATGATCACAAAAAAAGCTCATTATAATCAATTAAATGCTGATGGAACTGCATTAATCGAACGAACCACAATAGAAGTATACTTGCAGATTTCTTAGAATAGACGCGCCGACTAAAAATGCCTTGGGTAACTTTGCATACAGCAGCCGGAACAAAGTCCAGCAGTAAGTATGCGAAGAGGAAGATAGCGTCGCGCACAAAAGCGTCTCGGCAAGAAAGGGAAGGAAGGAAGCTCGCGCACACCAACTCTCTCTCTCTCTCTCTCTCTCTCTCTCTCTCCTCTGTGCTAGCGGGGTGTAATTGCTCTCCGGTGGGCGGAACGTTGAGAGAGAGAGAGAAAGAGAGAGAGAGAGAGAGAGAGCTCCGTGACGATGGGCGTGGCTCGCTGATTACACCGCGAGAGACGAGGAGGACGACGATACTGATATCCCCGTCTCTTATGATGCCTTTTTTTAACTCTCATCTGCCTGTACTTTCCTCGACGATGTATTACGTTGGTCCTTGCGGGTTGTTAATCATAGATGAGGTAAGCAGGCTATTGTCGCGAACTGTGCTAAAGATTTTTCATTCAACTCGGTTGAAATACGCGCACAAGCTACTGGAAATAGTCCATTGGGCGATAATCGACTGTACGTTTGTCGTTTATTATGAAAACAACCGAACATCGGAAGCTTACGAAGCACTTTATCTCGGGAACTTTGCAATGGAGAAGGTGAGAATGGATCAATCGAATAAAAACACCATAACATCGAAAGGTCGCCTCGCGTTGCAGGACAAATAAAATAAATTTATCTGTCAAGGGACACACCCTTTTGGCGTAAGCTTGCGATCAAGATCGAGAAGAAGGAAAAAGGAAAATAAAAACGGAGAGGTTTTTGAGAAAAGTGTAGAGCGGCGACGAGGAGAGCGAGAGAAAGAGAGAGTGCGAGCAGTTATCTGCTTTACGGGTCGCTATTTAAATGGCTCTTCCGTTCGCGAGAGTCTTGGATTTGGGGCAATTCGAGTGCTCGCCTCGGGGATATCCCTTCCCATCCACGCCCCGCTGACTGGACTGTTTTTTATTGCTCTCTCTCTTTTCTTTCTCTCGCGTGTGTGCGACTGTGTTTCGCCGGGGATGAAGTGGGTGGAGCGCTCGTGGACACAGACTCGCACGCGCGCACTACTTGACTCAGCATACACTCGCGCCTCGCCTCCGGCTAACCCGTCCTCTCTAGCTTACTTCCGCGACTCTTATTTTCTTGTCGGGGATTTTCCGCCGCGCTGCTGCGATACTATACGTGGCTCCGATTCGATTGCCTGGCTTTTCGTTGAAATGCTCCTTTTCATGCTGTCAATTTGTCTGCGCTGATGTGATGCACGAGATAAAAGCTCTTTGATTGTGTAATTGCGGTAAATACAGAGACAAAGACGTGCCAAGCTGTTAAAATAAGCGCGGAACGGCGACACTCCGCGGCCGCGGCGGCTGATCGCGTAATTGCCAAATAAACACGATGTTGGCGGGCGCCGCGTCGCGGCGTGGCACTCATTAAACAGTTATAAGCGGCAGACATTGCCGAGCAAGGCACCAGTGTGGAATTGCGGTCTATTCTCGGTGTCGCTTACTTCGCTTGTCCGAGGCTGTGACTCGAGCACTCGCGCGTTCTCGCTCGATGGGCGTCACTGCCACGGGTCCATTCAGAAGTCACTGATCACTGATTTATTTAGCCACGCGACTCGCTAATGTACCTCCTTTATCCCCGATTGACCAACTACTCATCGCGTTCCACCACCATCTTCCATTATGCACGCTTACAAGGCGAACGCTCATTTATTCGACTCAGCATTGAGCTATTAACGCGAAATCTGCGACAAACGCGTTACCCGACAGCATTTTCAATAAGCGAAAAACACATACGTAATTTTCGTCAAACATGGCCCGAGCATGAATTCACAACTGAATTAACGTCATCTGGAACGGATAGCGCACGAAAGCAGCGAGAGAGATTCGCTAATCAGCGTCAAATATTAATAGAGTGCAAACAAGCCGCGAGAGGGATTATTATTAATTCAGTCGCTCTCGCCGCGAGCGGTATATCGCTTTGGAATTATATTTACGTCAAAGATGAAAATCGCGCGCGGCATCGGCTGGGTGTGTCGCGTGTATATATAGCCAATTTGCCGAGGCTTCGCTTTATCAGGACCCGATCACTCTCTGCTCTTAATGAACCTCGATGAGTCAGCAGACAAGTCGCTCCGACCACGCAACGACGCCCGCGATGATCTGCGATCCTTACACCACCGCACTCCAAACTTTTCACTCGTATCATTCGTCCGCTTTTGTCATGCTCTTGCTAACTGGATGATCGTGTTGCCACAGCCAAAGTATATTTTTATGCCAGTGGACAGAGCTCAAGCCAAGTCACGTCTGCCCTAAGTATTGTTATTATCGTACTTTTAATTTTACGTTCTATAATTGAAATTAAGCGGAACTTTATAAAAATCTTCAACGAATAAAGACACTTGCGTTTAAGGACGTTTAATCTGATCAAATTGAATTTTGTATAAGTGAACATTAGTATGGTGTACACACACACACACACACACACACACACACACACACACACACATATGCGATTATGAAATTGTTAACTTTTTATTCAATTGAGATCCACCTGAATACTGCTTGCACATCCTCTTAATAATAAATGTAAAATAATAAGTTCAACGTCATTGTGCAAGAAATTCATATAAAATTGCGAGGTGAAACTTTATTACTTCAAAAAACCCTTTATTTCCAAGTGAGAATTAATTCTTTATAAAATTAATTCTCTTACGTGCTTGAAAGATTGGATAAGAAAGAGAGGAACAAATCAAAGCGACTACTTGAGAAGAAGGCTTGTTCAAATTACCATACATATTGAAAATTCTATGCTGACATACAGATACGTAAACGAGTTGCGGTTACGCTACCGTTACTAAGGCACTCCTTTGAAGAGGCAATTTCCATCACTGGTATCTGCATCACCGAGAACGCTTAACACGCTTAATAAGCAGCCGAAATGATATCTGATGCAAGTGTTCATTGATGATTGTTGTTTAGACATGGATCATTGAAACTTTTTATATTCGCGACTATCGACATCTACTAAGCTGAACGCAATAATCATATCGCCTTAAAAAGTGGATGCTAACGATTGCAAGTCGCAAATTTTCACACAGCCCATTACAAACAATTAATTATCTCGACACAAGCCCCTATCCTCAAGTGCTATAGTCACGAGTAGCTTATAGTGCGATAATCCGCTTATACATTATTTATATATCCGTAATGCAGAATAGATTTCTTAGCCGATAGACAAATTCACTCTCTTTTTCCATTTGGTAGTCACGCAGAATTATGTGTCGCGGCGAGGGAAGGACGCGCGCGATTAACTCTCACGTGAATTATGAATGAGCTAGTGTTTTTCGCAGTAACGCAGATCGAAGGGGGCACAAGCCTCCATCCAGCTCTGTCATAAATGCATGATGCGCCATAATACACGAGTTGCTTTCAGGGAGCGCGGGGTGTCTCTCCTAACTCTTCGCTACGTGCGTCGTTTAATCAATCTTGTTACATTGATCTAATTTTAACTGTCAAACGTTGAGCATAAATTTTATAAAATGTTCGCGTGCATTTTGTACCGATGAGTAAAGACCGATTGGATTCGCAGTCGTGCCAATGTGACGGATAGACGGTGGATCATTTTGCGCGATAAAAATAATTGATTATCATGCCGATGTCGACTCGGAGAAAAAAAAAGACGTGAGAGTGCGTGCATTGGTGCAGACGAACTCCGCAGCGATGTAGATTAATATGCAGACGCTGTTACAGCGCTTGGCGCACACCAAAGACCTATAAGAGAAACTCTGCTTTCAATATCTATAGCCGAAACAATCGATAAGCGCTTACCAGCTAAACGCTACAGTCAATGTTAATGAAATGTGTATAATCTATGTATTAGAGCTAATTACAGATAAATTAAATAATTCAAGCTATTTAATTAACCGAACAGATTCGACTCAGTGGGAACTATCAGGATGCTCTTGCTTCTTGCTCGTTAAATAGACTTGCCCATTCAAAGCAACACGAGCGTTTGAGTAAAATTAGACATTCTGTACATTTATATACATGTTTATTATTACATAATAGTTTAGCAGTGATATATATTTATCAATAAATGAGCTTAAATACATTTGATAAATACACGCTAATGCTAACAACAAATACATGACGCTCACAGGCTTTTCTTGTTCTTTTTGTCGTACCCTTACACCTGCATTGGTAATGCGCCATTCCGACTATTTATAATACATTCATTGATAACCCAGTTTCTTGATTGCTTTCAAAGGCAACCGTTCACGAGTATCGCGACATTCTACAAACACATTTCGACTAAAAATTCATCTAGTTTTAAATAAAGTTAATTATTTCGACGTCGCGAAACATCGTATAACATTTGAATTTGATGCAAAAAAACTGATACACCAGTAGCAATGAAGCGTGATTTTAATCCGGAATCAAAGACTCGATGGCTATTAAACCATGCAAATAGTAACAACAAATCACGGTAAAATACTTAATTCACGCAAACACATTTTCCAACGCTGACATAGATGAATGCTCAAGTTTCCGTTAAAATTGCAAAAATTTGTTTATTTTTTACTATTATTCATCTATTATTACTCAATGCATTACTACAGGCATAATAACGTAGTTAATAATTTATACATAAAAAACAAGCTATGGTTTGTCAAGAAATAACATGGCGCAATCATTATGCAAAGTGGATTACATAAAAACAAGGTTTGAACGAAACGCAAATTAAAAATGTATTAATCAAAAAAGCACTCTTTGCTCGCCAGCAAGTCAAAGATCCGGAAAGCATTACATTTCGTGTAATGCGATAAGAGTATGTATTTATTTAGATGCAAGCGTAATACTATTATCAGATTAATTTCACTCCACAAATAACGTTTTGATGCTTTATAGCTTAGAAGGTAACAAGTGGTAAAATTAAACTAGCCATTTTATTGTCACCGCGTTCACATTTTAATGGCGTGAAAACTCAAATGGTAAAAATAAATCATTTTATATTTACGAATGCTACTTGTATTTTTAAACTAGCTGATTAGTAGCAATATCGTTAATACCAATTCTCATTTCTTAACTTTGATAAGATAGAGGAAAATGTACAATTGTATAGAAAATGTTGAAGGTTTACTACAGTTAACCAAAGTTTATTTCAGTACCTCTAAATTCAATAATTCAACGATTCATCAATTTTTCATTAATTTTGAATGTCGAAAAAACGTTTTTTATAAAAATTACAGTTGACACTTTTATTCTGACATTCACTTGTATTTGCGACCGGTTCACAATAAAATTAAGTCATTTATGACCAAATTTGCCATGAAAATTTGCCATGCAGCTATTCGTGTTTTTAAACCAGCTATAGCTGACGATGGTCGCTGTGCAAGATAGAACTCAATTTAAATAAATATATTTTATGTATCTAAAATTTTGTTAATCACGTTCTACAGCGTACAAATGTCATCAATTCGAAAATAGATCGTACAGTACATAAAAGTATTTAATATGCGAGAAGTTATATAAAAAAACTATTTTCATAGGAATGCAGCATTTCATGATAATAACCCATAGATGTTCAACTGTTCTCGTAATAAAAATACCAACAACAATTTCATAACACTTGGTATGTCTTTTGGTTGATTTTAAGGCTGACTTTTCAATACTTTTAAGTTATTACAATATACAGTTGACTCATTTTATTGTTATTTACAAGTTAAGACCCGGGTGGTGTTTAGATAATGTAGTTTCTTTTTCTACTGCTCAGCTTTTGGCAGTTCTCATCGCCGTTAGACGCAGTTCTCACACAGTGCTTTTTCCATGCACACAAGTACAATTTCTATTAAATGACTTCACAAAAGCAACGAAAATACGCTTCATTTTTTTTCAAACGTTTGCGATGACTGAATGAGCTCAATAATTCGAGACAAACAGCATACTTAATATTGACCTATTAACAACATTTTGATACCAAATAAGTTAACCATATATTGATTCATAATCGATGCCATATTCAATCAACAAGGATTTCATTAAATTAAAAGTATATTACTAAAAGCTGATACTACAGCAATATCTACTTTCAACAATCGTTACCAAATCTTTTTCAAAAAAAATTCAAGACTGATCACATGTAACATAGGAAATAAAGAAGATTTCAATACATATTTGGTTAAAGATCACAATTTCTAATAGATATATAAAAAGTCTACGTATAGCAAGTGCGATATTAATTCTTATTTGCCGGTTAAAACTATTTGATAAAACGTCACAAAAATTATTTTCACAAAAATTCAAACGTTAAAGCGAGTTTCAGAGCTATCAGCTAACATAAGGGTCACTGTTCGGTTATTTATCCATATGAGACGAGCTAATTTCATAGGATTCAATCGCGCGACGTCGTTTATTGGCGCAGTGCTATAAGACTTGATACAGCGAATTTGTGAGTTTCCAAGACCAAACATTCCACTGCTTATTTGCTATTACATAAAAAATGGTTTGTTTTTCAACGCTCAACTGAATTCAATTAATATGCAAAAAAACTATAAATAATATGTTCTTACCTGCCAGAAGCATAGTTTATTCTCCGAACAAGAGTAACTAACCAAATACTTCCCTTCTGGTGAAAAAGCTAAAGCAGTTACCGGAGCTTGATGAGCAATGATAGTCTGGCATTTTACGGTGCCACGAAGCTCATAGAGCGCAATATGACCAGTACGGCTTCCAACAGCTATCCTGCGAGTAGCGGGGTAATGGCTTACCTATATAAATAATGTACGCATTATTAAGAGAAACAAACTATTATATACTGTAATTTTACTTGGTTGAATCTGCAAACAGCTGGGAAAACTTCGTTTAATGGCTTGGTCTTTAGATGACCAGGATCCAAACAGTGCAAAATAATGTCCATAACCTGCAATCGCAGTAATATTTAAAAATATCATTCACGCAGATTTAAAGAGATGACTGTATTGTAAAAAAACATACTTCGACTAATAAATCATTCATTTCACTCTGCATTTTGTCAATAAGTTGCTCAACAATTCTCAAAATTTCTGGCTTGGCTCTGGCTAGTACACTCGATGCAGGGTTAACGTTGAGAGCTTGTGCGTTTTGTTGCATTGTGTTGAACCTGGCGACTTCTCTAGCCATCGTCGTAATGAACGCAGCTGGACGAGCAGTGGCAATTAGGGTCAAGGCATGACGGGAGGTTCTGCAACTATCTGCAGCTGGAGTCAATGGAAGACCGTAGGTCATACTAGGTACAAGTTTGTCAGCATCACAGCACATTTCAAGCAGACTTAATAGTACCTTTAAAGCATACAATCATATATAATTAAGCATCAAAATCCTTTTTTAACTCGATATAGTTTTTACTTACCCTGGATACATCTAGATAAGGTTCCCACACAGTGAACCCACGGCCAACGAGATCTATTGCAGCTCGTCTAAGAGAAGTGTGCAGTGGTAACTTTGGTGAATGTGGCGCATATAGTAAATGGGTAAGCGCCATGCTGGTAAGTCTAGAGAGGTTGTTGTTTCCGATTCCAAAACCTTCGACAACTGAACTCTTCCGTCTTTGGTCATTGTCTCTCTTTTGATTATTAGCCGACACGTCTTGTCCAAATTCCGCTCCGATGACTCCCAATAATACTACAGCAGTAGTTTGCTTGCGTTTTAGCTCTGCGGCACTTGACGGCTTTCTCGACACGCTTAATTCTATGAACACGCGCATTATTTATTTCCTTTCTTTTCTCATTGAAAAGGGAAATGTACCTTCCGCAAGTTCTTCTTCTTCGTCATCATCTACTTCTTGTGGGTCATTATTTGGAGGAGGGCTACCCGACGGTGGGCTTTGATTTTGATTTTGAGGCGCAATAGGCTCTTGAGTGCTGTACATTGGTAAATATGGAGCCCAACTGTCAACCAATGTTTTTCTACCTTTAGGTCCCATCCTTCCCAATTCAGCCAGTAAAAGTGCTTGAGCTGCTTCTCTTATCTGCAATAAAATCAAATTTTATAGCTTCATCAGATTCAATTCTTGTAATTGGACAAACCTCAAGGCACTGATGTTGCCAACGCCGAGCCATCATTTCGACTTGCGGTCTTTTGAAAGTTTTTGATCCACCCAAAGTAGCAACTTTATCAGGAAGTAATACACAGTGCAACGTAGCTAGCAAGGACCACCCTTGTTTGATTTGGGCTTGTTGCACCGTGTAAATTTCTTCATTTTCTTCTTCTGCTTTGTTCCAATTGACTGGTCTACTTCCCGGTCTACAAAAATATTAATTTTCATTGGTTTCAAAATCATTCAAAAAATTCATGGTCACCTGTGCATTTTACGACTCCTCTCTTGTTCAGGGACAAACGTTGCGTTATTCATCGACATCAAAGTATTAGACAGAGCTACCACGGCTAACAAGTGATTGCTGGTCAGAGTCGTTGATAACTCCCAATGAGCTCTCGACGTGAAAGCTCGCGTAAGGCGTTCTTGCCTGACTAATTCGACTGGTAAGCGCTGTTCTAACTGCGTTACTGGTTCTCCTAAACATTGCTCCAAGTGGCTCTGCCATGTTGGCAACAGGAACGACATATATCCTGGCACGAGCAAACAGTAGAACGTGTAAATTTAACTAAAGAGTACTTAGCAAACAAAACGTAATAATCACCTCCTTTGGATAAAACTCCAAACGAGACAGGCACCATCGGTCTGAGCAAACCTAATTTTCCTTCGCATACCCGATCCAGATCTGGATCCATTCCCCAAGCATGCAGTAAGCTTAACAAGAGTTGAGCTATTTCCATTGTCGAGTTCGGTTCATTGAAAGCACCATTGCGCTTTAATGAGTTCCTGCCGTCAGCGTTCCAACCATCACCTATAAGTTAGTCAATTTGATTGGTTGATTTTAACAATAATCTTTTCAAATTAAATTTAATCATTACAATAGTAATAGAGAGAAAAATAATTGACAAACGAAAGTTACAGCTAAAGTATAGACTATTGCTATTAAAAAATTACATGACATTGTTACATAAATAACAATTTTGAATGATACCGAAAATAATACAACCCTAATGGATCACTTTGTTCTTCTATCGTATAACAAGCTCATTTTATAATAAATTATATATTAACGATATTATGGATCAATACAAGACATTTACCGTGAATAATGATAATAAATAAACACAAAACAGTGAATATGGAGTATATTGCCCTTTATATTGTCACTGTTATCGAGTACAAACTGAAATGAATGAAATTAATAATGAGGAAGCGAACGTGCATGCCTTCAATAAAAGCACCTACGTTGAACACCAGACGTAGATCTTATGCTAAAAATAGAAAAAATATACGTTTCTTCAAAAAGAAATGCAAGCAGCTCACATTAGATGGAATATTGAAAATGAACTTATGATTCGATGAAATGGCCAATTATTTGAAACGTACATAATAAAATAATAAATTCAATATTAATTAACGAAAAATAAAATAGCACCTTGAATTACTGATTTTCACAAGAGCACAATATAATAAATATTGAATGATGCAGTCATAATAATAAATAAAAGCGAGATGTGGAAATGCAATTCATGCAAAAAACATAATTTGCGACAATTATTTTGTGTCTCATGTATTGCAAAGCAAACATATTTCTAACCTTTGCCATCGAGAGTCGACGGCTTCAAGCCAACACTTTCCACTTTGGCTTGTATTTTAGTATGCACATTTTCTGCGCCCTCCTTCATCTTAGCAATTATACCTATAGAGAAATCCACCCACTAAGCAAATTATGTAACTTCGACATGATATTTTTTTTACAATAAAGCCGGGTAGTAAAAAACAAAACCACAAAATAGCACAGTGCTTCGCAAACAAGACTTGCAGATTTACATCTGGACGAGTTGTCGTCAGATTTTTTATCAGTGGATCACCAAGCTGTAAGTCCTGCCATTGAAAACTTATGTTGATATAACAAGGTACAGGTAATTAAAATAATAATGAAATTAATTGGATTGAAAAATCAATTGAAATTGTTGAATTCATCATTGAGCTTTTTAATTGTAGCGTTTCTCAGTCAAATTTGTATGAAATTCAATTCGATTTTTCAATCGTAAACGTGTATATATACATAATTTGTCAACAAAAATAAGATATCGACAGTGAAACAAAAACATATATAAGGCCAGTTAATGTAACAATGAACAGTAATTAAAAAGCAAATAAAATTGTGGAACAATAGATTAAATAAATAATAAATGTAAGAGTAAACAAATAAAATTTGCAGGTTCTACAATTTGCTATAGCACGGTACCATGACGATCCTTTTCCTTCAATATCCTCTCCATGTCGCCAGCTTTATCCTTGACGCGACCGAAAAAGTCTACAAATGTTGAGATTAGTCAATGTTTACCGGGTTTTACCTTACATGCAGTACCTCAAAAATACATTGATTGCACCCGCATTCTTAACCCTTCAACGACCAATGCGGTCTTTGAAATATATTTTTTAAAAAGCATCTACTTTTATTAGTAATCGTCGAAGCAAGTGGCAAATAACTGATGAGAAGTTGAAAATATTATATAGCAGTCATTGATAATTCTCGATAATATATTAGAAACGGGATATGAATAATTATAGACGACCGACAGTAGACATAGCATTTTTAAAGTTGAAAAATCAAACCAATTTTTCATATAGCTCGAATACTGATAAGAACATGTTTTAAAAGGGCTAAGAGGAGTGCCAGGTACTAAGACTGTGCTCACCTGCAATTTTCTTATGCGCATCAGGGCTTGCTGACTGCGTAAGTGCAGCAACCTTCTGATATTCGGTGGCATTAATCAAACCTTGCGCTTCCAATGTTCCAGGTGACATAGCACCATACTCGTCGCTCAATAATTGTACTATAATAATGGCAGCGAAATAACATTTTTTTATAAAGCAATGTAAGACGTTATCGATAAACACCGTGATTCAAAGAAAATATCGAGCTATCGTGGCTCACTCGAACAGGATACCTGAAAATAAAGTATATGTTAAAGCGAAACAAACTTTACCTATTAAGCCTTCGATGTCGAAAAAGAGTATGTGACTCTCTGGATCTTTAGGATTACTACGGAAGCCTTGGATGGTAAGTGGAGCTCCTTTGGCCCGGATTTGATTGCCGTGCTCATTTCCATGGCCACCGTGGAGCTGCTGCAATTGATGCAGACCTCGTTGCGTTGCATGACGAATGGCCGATAAGTTTCTATGTCTCAAACCTCTGCAATGCAATTCAACGCACGATAGTCAGTAGGAGCAAATATATTGTTCTTGTTGCAGCTCTTTTTTTTAGATTATAGGCGAACTCGTACCTAAAAAAGTGAACAGCTGGATTGGCAAGACCTAAGTCACCACCGTTGCTAGTCGAACTAGATGTAGCTATGATGTTCTCATCGCAAGCATATAATACTTCCTCGGCTATGATACCATGCAGGACGCGATCCAAATGGCCAGTTTCCATTTGCCAAACATAAACTGCTCCGTCAGAGCATCCGACAATCATAAAATCGTCATATGGTCTCCATTTAATGGTAACAACTGGGAACAAGTGGCGTGAGGCCAAGACCACGCACTTGCGCTCGGCTAACGACAACAACGTCACGCTGTGATCCGAGGCCACACTGCACACGCATTTTTGTATTCTTGGCTGTAAATACAATAAGAACAACTTTACTTGCAGTGAAGTCACAATAACGCTGAACGTTTTATCATATAACAATACACTTACACTACAATTATCCGGAGGAACTAAAAGCTGAGTAATTTCCCCAGCATGAACGCAGAAACGATGAATCAATGTTCCAGCGTAGAGATCCCATAGGCAGACTGCAAAGTCAACACCTCCAGACACTAGGTGAGTTTTATCATATCTTGGGGATGCGCCTTGGGGATACAGTAAGCAATTGACACGACCCGAATGACCGTGAAGAGTTTGATGAGGAGGCCAACCTAAGGGATTGCAACGTCAAGTTAGCAACAGTTATCGCTTTGTCATTATTCGGCATTTCCAATTCAACAAATTTTTTGCTTACCGTCGTATTGCTGATGATTTCCATGCAACAGCTGCAACATTACAGTTTGCGTAGCCGGGACGATGATGATGCTTCCATCTTCTCTGCCTACAACTAGCCGACTTTGTTGGGGTAAATAAATGCTAGCCGTGAGCTTGATACCGTGGCCATCTCCAGCATCCAGCTGATCCAAAATGCCAACAGGAGACGGCTTCATTGCTTCCCAAGCATCGGCAATACTGATTTTCAAAGTAGGGGGTAACATTGGCGTGGCCGCATCGTTCATTTGAGGCAGTTGAGCGCCTGGAACCTCTGGGACTGTCCATAGCATTACGACACCTTCGCTGTCGCCGCGCAAAAGATACTTTACAGTTTTGTTGCCACGCTGGGCTGTGACTAGTCGCATTGCTGGCGGGCATGACAGAGGCTATCAAAGTATAATCGTCAGAAATTTACTTTGATCAGTAGGTATCTTCAAATTTTACGACAAGTATACAAACTTTATCGCCCGGTTGCGTCAACGTGCAATACAAATAAGGCTGATCAGATTCGGCCGCAGGTGTTGAATGGAATTCCTTGTTGTCTGCCACGCTGCTGCTCAGTAATTAGTGTTAGTTGTTTAGTTCACTTTAATTCAAGCGATCGTTTTGGCTTTCTCAAAAATTAGTTTGTCGTTAATAAGCTTGCATGAAAATACTTTTGAGAAATCAAAACATGCATACGAAAAATATTAACACTTAAAGAACACACATCTATAGTATTCAGAAGCTATCCCATTTCGTATAAAAGTTATTTAGAGCAATAACAGCCCTCTATTGCTCATTTTTACAATTCTCGGCAACCAATACTTATTTACATTTCCCGCAATATAACGCAATGAACTGCAAATAAAATACCCTTTATATACACCTGCTACCAAGCATTCCACATATCGGTATATTCGTGCACTCATTTAAGCAACAGAAGCAAAAAAGAGCCTGCACAATCATTCTATTAGTTTAAGTAAAATCTCATGATGTACTATACTATTAAAATTAAGAAAAAAGCATGAACATATGGAAACTAGTATTGAACGTTGAAATGGATGAGGGAGAAGCTAGTTGTCGAAATAAAAATCGTAAGGTTATTCGACTTGTCGATTACAAAATAAAGACAGTAAGTTTAGTTTAAAAAACTATAGGACAGTTTTACGTTTTAAGCTATCTCACTTAGTTGATAATAAGTAACTTTTACAGGTTTCTGGAAAAATAAATTAATTCTAACACGTGAAAATACAATGGATAAGCTGTAGGAAGAGAAAAAGTCAATGTCACAATACAGTCGCGAGGTAAGACATAATTTTCACAGTGAAGGTAATAGGAATTGTAAATGACAGTGGCGGGTTACCTGCTGAGAGCCTTGCCCTTCAGCTTGCTATAATAGACCAGGTCCAACGTAGATTATGTCAGATGTTAAACAGTTATTGAAATAACATCATCATCGTGAAAAAAAGACCAGTAAAATGCATTAGATTATTTTAAAGATCAATGAATAGGAAAATTATTATTAATAAAATTAATTTTTTTTAGTTTACAATGTAGTACAATCAACTCAAAACAAAAATATTTTTGTATTATGAAAACATATTTTTTGATCATATGAGTTCTTAAGGTGATGATTAACATTATTAATATTAATAATGAATATTAATAAGGAATAGTAATAAATGTTCTTTCATGATGAACAATGCTTGTAAATGCTTCTTATGTCTGTAGAAAAAATGATGATCAATAATGGAATAATAAAAACTTGTGCATTGCTGGCAAGTGCTTCAATACTACTTAGCTGCCATACTGTCTAAAGTAAAATAGTAACAATTGAATTTTATAAACACTTTATCGAAAAAATTGTTAAGTACTAGATAACTATTGTTAGTTTGTATAATAACAAATTTCTATGAGTTAACATTTGTTAAAGCGTAACTGTAAACGTTTAGTAAAAATTATGTTTAAATACTTTGGTACATCTACCTTTCAAGATGTGTAATAACCCTATAACCAATAAAAAAAATACACAGTTGTAAGTTTTATTGAATGATGTTAATCTTTTTAAATGTGATGGGTGTAATTTTAGAATAAAAAGTAAAATTACAAAACTTTAAGAAATCAATCTTTTTCCTACACCTTTGCTCAATTTAACACAAGTGCATTTTATTTTGTAACATTCTTGCGTGAAAAATTGATTTCTCTAACCACTTAAACCAACACTGTAATATTGAAATAAAGAGTACTTGGATAATTTTATTGAATGGCATTAGTTACTTACTTGGCTGGTAACTTGTATAAGTAGCCATGTCCTTCATCACTCCAAAGAATTACCCGATCAGCAGCTAAAAAGTCACCAGCCATCCACCTTTCTCCTCTAGGTGCTGTTACTGAGCATAATACTGAAAAATCTCCAGCATCATAGATCTGTAACCATACAAAAAAGTACGGTGTAAGTATGTAATATGTTAGTTTTATTGAGAAAGACAACAAAATTGCATTTACCTGCCAATATTTAGAACATACTATCAGTACTGTACGTTGATTGTATGGACAACATGTCATAGCTAGGGCATTCAAACATCTGATTTGCTTGCTTTCATGCTCATACAGAGGTTCACTATTACGATTTTCATGTCCAAGAAGTGTCCAAACTTTAACTGTGCCAGTGGTAGTTAAAGCCAATACCACATCATCTTTAAAAAACATTGATTAGTTAATGTAAACCATAAATGTACTTGTTTTAAACTGCATTTAAATTTTTTCTCATACTATAATAATATATTTCTTCATTTGTAATTGATAAAATCAAAACACTCATTAAAATAATTGGTTATATTTTAATGTCTTATTAACATGCACATTTTGAAGCATTAAAATTCAATTTTGATTATATTTCATGCAAAAAAATGACTGGTATACCTAATTTAAAGCAGTTTAGGAATCAAAGAAAAAAATTTATTCATGCAAAGCATAGCCACTTGCAGGAATGCAATCAATTGAAGAATAAGAAATTAATCCAATGTTGTTATTACTTAAATAATAATATTTAGAAATGACTAAAAATTATATAATTTTTTACCTTATGTACAATTATTTATAAATATTGTCTAAGCTTATATTTAACTCATGTAAGCAATTTAAAAATAAAAAATTATATGAAAAATAAAAATTTGTTACTGCTTAAGTCAGTAGAATTAATATTTCATAAATTTGAAGTTATGAGAGATAGTTGAATTAATATCAGAAGTGAAAGATAAATTAAAAATAATATTATGTAACTAATAATATTAAATTATATGAAGTAATATTATTAATTGCAACTTATAAATAAAATTGATTCTTCAGATAAATATTACAGGCTTCTCATGCTTTACACATATTGTATTGATAAAATATAAACGTCTATTAATTTTTCCAAGAGTAATTATGAAACTACGATACTTACAGATTAAATTGTTTTGTAATTATTGTGTGTAGATGATTAATGATAGCAAGGAAATGAATTTGGCTAGGATTGTGATATGAGAAAAAGAAAATTTGATGCAAAATGAGAATGTTAATAAGAATGTTAGCCCAATGTTTGTTAGTCAGTTAATAAACCAATATTTTTTCATGAATAAATTGAAAAATGTTTGTCTTTAGACACCTTGAAGATTAAACCCATTCGAAATTCTAAAAAAAATAAAAGTACAAAAAACAATTTCTACCAGCACTCAAGTACCAGTTTGAATCCATTTTGATTACATGCTGTAACATTATAATGTACATTAAAATTTTTTATAAGTGTTTTAATGGGGTCTAATATTATGTACAACACTAGAAAATTGATAGACATATTTGTTAGATACTTTAACCACAAATCCTCCTGATTTTTATCGATATTAAAACAGAGCAACCCAACGTTATCCACACTTAACTTTACTTAAAAAAATTGAAGCTTTAATACTTGAAATCAAGAGAGTGCGCTATAGTTTGTTAACTTTACATATTTTTAATTATTTGCAATATAATTATATTCAATTATATAAAAAAAATTACTTTACTCAATAAATATTAAAAATAAAATTATAGGATTATAAAGGAATCAATGTCGAAGAAAAAGATAAAAAGCATAGGTGTGAATGAGTGTAACTAACTTGTGTGCACGTAGAACCGACCTTTCCGTTTGGCCGGCCGTAAGACATGTAAAGCACTGATCCAGTCAGGATTGACTCTAGAGCTTAGTGTAAATAAAACTTCTAAACTGAAGGGATCCATCACCAACACCTCTGGATAGTAACTGCAAGTCCATGATTCAATCATTTTATCTTCCAAATAAAATATTATTTGCTATATTTATAACTTAAAAATGATACCCCGAACAAAATAATCTAACATCTTCTCCTCCAGCAGAGACATAAGGTAACATTTGAGTGTGAATATTATTGAGCTTAACTGTCTCACGACATTTTCCATCAATTAAATCCCAAGTACACATTTCTCCACTTTCACTGCTGCTAACAATATAATTTTGCTCCATGATAACACTGGCTCGACTAAGGCACAAGATTGGAGCTGTATGCCCAACTAATAAACATCTTGGAGTCATCTAAAAGGTGTAAAACTTTTCAATTCTAATACATGAAAATATATTACAGAAGTATCACAATATTTAGTTAAATTCTAAATCGATATTACCTTGAGTGTTTCAGGATCCACTTGCCACAAACAAATTTGTCCATCGTAACAGCCAGTGACCAGTGTTTTTTGGTCTCGAGACAAATATATGCATGAAATACAATGTGTAGGGGCAATACGTCCCCACAACACTATAGGTACAACTAAACTTGTGCCAACTGTCATGATTACTAATCCAATGAAACACAAAAATATTTCTTTTTATAATTGAATATTTAAAATTCTTATTCCACATGCAAGACATCTTAAGACTTATCATAAAATGACCTCGAAATGGATCAATAAGTAAGGTGTCAAAGTAATTTAATGATTATCAAATAAATCTCATAAGCAGCTAAATGTCGCAAAATTTCAAGTTTTGTCTAATATTTAAAAGTTCGTTACGGTACTTTCAAGCAAGATAAAGCGTCTGCTACACTACTTTCGCGGAGATGTCAGATGGCATTGACATTTCAAAGAATATCGTTACTGGATATTCTGCAGCCCGAACGTTATTGTAATTACATAGATACAACCATTAAAATATACCTGTTTAATTTTTGGGCAGTAGAAAGTATTACGTGCCTTCAGACTTGGCGAATTTCCCCGAAAAACCACGACTTCTCACTGTATACCCATGCATGTAGCCATTTTGGATTATTAGTCAGTCAATACGATCAGCAACGATCAGCTGTTTACGCTTGCATACTCACGTTTATTACACACTCCTAAGTTTTTTACTCAGAAAAAATCTCGCAGTGTCAACGAACATTTCAGGGTTTTTTTTAATTGATTATATTTGATAATTTATTTAAACATCAATTATAGGTAGATCATTTAGTAAATTATTTTATATGTACGGATCGAAAATTAAAATAATTATTTTGTTTTGTTCTTACAAGAATATGTATAGTTGATAATAATACAATTAAAATTATTTACAAGAACAAATTTTAATTAAAAAGAAAATTATCCAAAATTTAATTGGAGTTATATCTGGTTTGATCGCTGATTTATGCTATTTTGAAATCGACCATTAGCAATAAATGATAATTACAAAGTTTTGCGAATGAACCTAATTATTTATACGCGGTAGCTTCTATTTTATTCATATAAAACAGCATAAAATTATAGAAATAATATTTTTATGTGAAATAAAAATGATATTTTTATTTTGTGGAATATATTAAATACATTAGACAATAAAAACAAAATCATAATCAATGTAAAGCGTTTTTATAAAAAGTTCGCTACAGAAACCTGATTAAAAATCTCATTAAAAATAATGCTTGTGGGACGTAGGTATGTATATATATATATAGCCACCCCACCCACATTGTTTACTAATTTTCTCCGCACATCTTTTCTTCCACGTGTAGGGTGGCGCTGCAGACGGAAAATTTTTGGTAAGCACGATAAAAATAAGGCTACTTGATTGTTGCTTATATATTTTCCTTGCGTAGTATTTTTGCCAAATTTTCTAAGAGTACATTTCAGCTTTACAATAGTAATTATATTTCAAAATCATCTGTGTATGAACGATAATTATATCAGTATTGTCAGTTAAGTTTAATAAATCTAAAATCATAACCTACAATCAAACTGATGAATTTATTCATTTTCTATATCTGAATTGGTGAAGCAAGATTCATTTTCCTGGGTAAATAGCTATATATTCAAAATTTATCGAAATCTATAGTACAGATACAATCTTCTAAACGTTAAAGTCAATTAAGTTTACAAAAAAATCGAATAATCAAAGGAATTGACAATCAAGCTTTAATGCAACTTAAAAATCAAATACTGACTCTATCTAGTATTACAGTATCTATCTTATTCCATAAGTAAAAGTTGAAGATCTCGTGTATTACAATTTTACTAACAATAAAATGAAATGTCATTATGAAGTATTGGAAGTTCCTCGGAGTGCAACCAATGATGATATTAAGAAAGCATATAGAAAACTGGCATTAAAGTGGCACCCAGATAAAAATATTGACAATCCTGAAGAAGCTAAAGAACAATTTCAGCTTGTACAACAAGCTTATGAGGTGTTGAGTGATTTGCACGAAAGAGCTTGGTATGACAATCATAGAGAAGCAATATTAAAAGGAGGAACTGGAGATAACTACAAAGATGATTCTATTGATTTATTTCAATATTTCTCATCATCTTGTTTCAAAGGTTATGGAGATGATCCTAAAGGATTTTATAGTGTGTATTGCACAGTTTTTGAAAAATTAGCTGCAGAAGATGCAGAGTTCAGCAAAGAAGGTGATTCTGATGAAGAAGTACCTAACTTTGGAAACTCAAATAGTACATATGATGACTTCCATAAGTTTTATAGCTATTGGCAAAGTTACAGTACTAAAAGGTCCTTTGCTTGGCTAGAACAATACAATATAAGAGATGCTCCAAATCGATATGCTTTGCGACAAATGGAAAAAGAGAATAAAAAAATAAGAGATAAGGCTAAAAAGGAGCGAAATGAGCAGGTAAGAAATCTTGTAGCATTTGTGCGTAAAAGAGATAAAAGAGTACAAGCCCATGCAAAAATGCTTGAGGAAAAGGCCAAAGAAAATAAAAAAAAAACTGAAGATCGCAAGAGACAAATGCTTCTAGAACGCCAAAATGAGTTGAAAAAGCACAAAGAATGTGAATGGTCAAAGTTTTCCAATATTCAATCAGAGTTAAAAGATATTGAAGCAACTTTAGCAGCAGAATTTGGTGAAGAATTATCAGATGACGACAGTAAAGAATCAAATTTTGATGAATCAAATACCTTGTACTGTGTTGCATGTACTAAGCTTTTTAAAACTCATAAAGCATTTAGTAACCATGAAAATTCAAAAAAGCATAAAGATAATTTAGCTATAATGAAAGCATCAATGATTCAAGATGATGACCAATACTCAAGTAGTGCAGAAGATAATGAAGACGATGAAATGAAAGATTTCGAAACATCACTGCCATCTGACACAAAATTAGCTACTGGTCCAGAAATGCCTGATTTCATATTGGATCCTATCCAGCATAAAGATGACAATGAAAATGTAAGAACATCTGATGGAGAGAAAATATCTGATTCAGATTCAGATGACCAAGAAAAAGGATCAGACAACAAGAAAAGTTTTATGACAGGAGAATCTTCTATAGGAGTAGGATATATCCTTGGCAAATCCGATGACAAAAATCATGAAGATGGCTATGACAGTGACACTCCCAATGAAGAACTGATATCAGATCAAGAAGGTGAAGCTGTTCCTAAATTAAAAAAACAGAAAAAAAAGAAAAATAAAACGTTAAGAATGTCAATTCTTGAAGATACAGATGATGATGATAAAGAGGTGGACATGTTGATGGGTCTGTCAAAGAAACAACGCAAGAGACAGCAGCAACAGAAGATGTTAATAGAAAAATTTAAACAATCAAATACAGATTCTGTAAATAATGATAAAGATATTGATATAGCAACCAATAGTTTAGATGTAAATCAGGGTAAAGCAGAAGAAAGTGATGATGAATCACCTCAAGAAACTGTTTCTCCATTGCCAGGAAAAAAGAAAGGCAAGAAAGCTAAAGAACTGAGAAAAGCTCAACGACAAGCAGCTGGAGAAGCACGAGAAACTGATCGTTCTAAAAAAGCACCAAAAAGTGCAGATGCTGATCAAGACTTGGAACATATTTGTGCGTTATGTAAACAAGAATTTCCTAGTAAAAATAAGTTATTTGAACATTTAAAAAAGACTGGACATTCTGTGTATTTACCCAGTTCAACAAAAGTCAAAAAAAGTGTTGAAAGGACTGGTAAAGGAAAGGGGAAATCCAATAAAAATAGTGATTAAATGTGCTCAAAGAACTATTTATTGTTAATTCTTCCAATTATGTATTATTATAAAGAGTCTGCGACTTATAGATACTTAAGCAATAAATATGTATAGTAATCTATATGTAGTTCTTTGATAATTCTTTTCTTTCAAACTAATGTAATTCTGCTGATTTGATTAATTATTTTAATCAAGACATAATTTGTGATATTTGCTTCCAGGAAATAAATTTCAAAAATTCTAATATCGAATATGAATATTATTCACTGTGCTGCCACGCACAGGTAATTGAAATGCATTAATTTTTTCATATTCATAGTTATCAATAATTCTTTAAAACATTATTTTTCATTCATTACCATTACGTCATTCGTGAATAATTATGCTTATATACATTAGATTCTTGGATTTAATTTGTAATTTCCTTTAAATCATTTGATTATTGCACAGTATATATTAGACTGTTAAGTTAATTACTATAAAGTCGATTTCAATAGAGATTGCTAGAAAAGACGACTGAATAATAAAAAATTGTGTTCGTCCGATCGTTGCCTATTCCTTTCTGTGATCGCACCTAACACGCTGACTTCGAATTGCAGAAGCAGCTCGATGGCAGCCAAAAAGTTGATCTACCCAGCGGCAGACCGCAACAAGGAGCCAATATTGTCGGTGCTCCACCAATACATTCGACGCGGTTCAGAACAGAGACTGCTAGAGATTTCGTCGGGTTCGGGGCAGCATGTGGCGCATTTTGCACCTTACTTTCCCCAGGTGACGTTCTACCCATCGGAGTGCGAGCCTCACCTTCTCGAAAGCATTGCCGCGCACGCTCACGGCCTGAGCAATGTTGCCGAGCCAGTGCACATCGACATCACCACCGATTACCGAACTTGGCCCGGGGACATCTTTCGTGAGAACAGCTTTGACTACATTTACAGCGCAAACCTCATGCACATCGCACCTTTCCGCTGCTCCGAGGGTCTTTTCCGAAATGCCGGCCAGATCTTGAAGTCCGATGGAATTCTGTTCACTTATGGACCTTATGCCGTCAGTGGCAAGTTGTGGCCAGAGAGTAACGTCAGGTTCGATCAGAACTTGAAATCGCAGAATCCAGAGTGGGGCGTACGGGATATCGAGGACTTGAAGAAACTCGCTGCGATGAACGGCATTCAGCTTTTCGAGACTATTGAGATGCCGGCTAATAATAAGACTTTAATCTGGCAAAAGACCAGTAAAATACCTACGCATTCCAATGTTTTCTGAATCTCTGTATCATTATCCTTCTTTTTAACATCATAAGTTTTCACTCTCGATGTCCAATTGTCTTTGACAACAAACTTCTTACCTATTTTCTAATTTCTTTCGAAAAATTTTTCATACTTGTTAAAAATCAGATCTGATATTATAAATTAAACTTTTATTTAAAATCTCGAGTTTTCTTTTTATACTGCTCTTTATTTGCGTACAGTAATTTTTACTCAAGCGTAAGTCAATACATTCAATAATTCATTATAAATGATCGATCAATATGTATGCATGATTCCAATACTTGCGGAAATAAACGATCTACCTGAAATTATTTTATTATTTCTTATCTTAATTTTTTTCATAGTTAGATATTGCTGATAAGGACTGAGCTGTCACATTGTCCATTCTGAGTCAGTTCTTGTCGTTTTAAAGCTTGCTCTTGAATTATCGAATATCATGAATTTATTCTTGCTGAATCTTTTAATGTACTTTCATTTGTTTTTAATTATTTTGTGCGAATATTTTGATAGCAGGTGTACGGAAGAATTCTGCGAGGTAAATCAATTATTGCAGACTAATGAACAAGCAATACATTTTCAATCGAGAAATTATTTTCATTTTATTAGAAACAAATAGAAAGCGGAAAGTGCATCACATCGAACGCATATTGTAGAAAAAATCTAAATAGCGTACGTTTTCTGCACCCAGATACTTGTAATTGCTGTGAATATTGCTTAAAAAAGCTCGAAAAAGATGACGTATGTGTTTTAGGACAACCTGGTGCCGTATCTCCGTTAGAAATATGCGGTCCAGGTTTGCAATGTATAAGTAATCAAGCGGGGAATAACGCCACATGTGGAAGAAGTGAGATATATTTGTAAATTTTATTAATAAGGTCATAGAAAAGGCTTTAAAAATCAACGTTTTGCAGTAAGAAATACTGATTGTACAAAAGCTCAAAATAATTATGACGAGCGCTTAAATGCAGGAGACGTAGGAATGACGGAAGTTCGGCCTCAATGTGACGACGATGGCTTTTTTAAACCTTATCAATGTATTCCTGGTTCTATGTAAATAATTACTACATTTTTAAATCAGTTGATTAAACTTTTTTTGAACAAAACGCTTTTTTCTAGATGCTACTGCCGTGCTCCTACAGGAGAAAGATTATTTGGAGAAATGCCATATTTGGATTATGAAGATGAGGAAAAAATGAGTTGTGGTGAGTCATTTTATGATATTAATAAGTCAAATTGCAATTTGTAAAAAGCTTTATTTTAATAAGTTAAATCACAATTTATTTGTTTTGGTCTAAAATTTTATTCGAGAAAATTGATTCTAATTAAGATGCAATATATTATGTAAAACTATTTAATAAATAATTTCTTGAGTGTTATATAAATAATAAATTAAATATTATATTTATTAGGTTGTTCAACGAACGCATGGAAAGCACAAAATACATTGGATACTCGTCATCAAATAATCGTGTCCCGCTGCACAGAAATTGGTAGTTTTGATAATTTACAGTGCGTGATAGGTGAAAATGCGGCCTGTCTTTGTGTGGACCCTAAAACAGGTTCACCGATGGCGGATACCGATATAGTTTTGGAAAAGGAAATTAGAGAAAATCATCCAATGTGCTGTGTGTAAAAAAATTAAAGTTTACTATAGATTTAAATTACTATACGGGCAGCAATAAATTATAATTTACCTTTCAATGCTTTATAGTTGATCCATCAAAACACACGCCTGGAAAATATAGTACCGATTGTGAAACCAATTATAACTTTTATGCAATGAGCGTCGAAGCAAACGAAAATCAAACTACTGAAATGAAGGAACCATTCTGTCAACCAGATGGAAAATTTTTGAGAATTCAATTAGCAGGTTCTAAGTAAGGCTTTTTTCCTTAACTAAGTTGGTTCGACGTTTTGATGTCTTGAAATAGATGTTACATTTTTATAGAAAAATCTGCGTCGATCCAGATGGTAAACAAATTGACGATTACGAAGCGGAAATCGATGAACCCGAAGAGAAAAATATGGATTGCAGTATGCGCAATGCTCAAAAGAAAGTTCCACTGATGTAATTGATGATTTTTAACGAGATTAAAAATTTTTAGATTGTGCAAGAGCTCGTCAGCTATTGGCAAATGCTGGAGTAGTCGAATTGCCAGATTGCTGTCCTAACGGGAATTTTCAAGCTTGGCAGTGTCGCAGAAACGATTGCTTTTGTGTCGATAACAACGGAAATCAACAAGGCATGGAAGTGAATATCGAGAAACTACAAAAGCTAAAGTGTTACAATGAAGGAAAGCCTTGTCATAAAATTACTGCAACGGGCTAGCTATCATTTTAAATATTACCTATCGCAAAAAAATTTGTACATGTTTCTATTTACATATAAGTTATTATTTACATAGAACGCTATGACTCTTATATCTGCATAGTTATCTTTCCATTTAGAAAATACGGTAAAGCGTTAGAAGTAGTATTATTGGTAAAATCACTGTTAAGGAGGTAATACTGGCGGTACCTCCGAGATACCAATGGGCGAACAAAGCTGTAAATGAATATGGAAGATCTAATTTTACAAGGTAATTACAATTTAGTTTATGTTATAGTTTAGGCTTACCTGTATCCTCCTGGTTTGTCACCCATCCGATCACAGGCTCCATTTGGTTATGTCGCCTTAGAAATTCCGTCAACGGCTTAAAATATCTTAACATGGCACCTGCATCTATTCGGTTCGTTCGGCCTCTCGTCATCTGTCTGATAATATTCGGCCAGCTCATCGAAGAACCCAATGACAGTATATCCCTGTAATTAAATTTTATCACATTGTTTTTTTTGTTCTAAGGCGATTTTTTCAAATATAATTATTCAAGATTAACTTACGATAATAAGCGCCCAGCTTCTCGCGATCGGTATAGGTCGCAGTTATGTAGGTCGCCCGTGTGACCAGAAGTATCGCAAAGCGATTCAAACAATTGAAATTGCAGGACTACTGATACAAAATAACTGAAAATTATATTTAGCTCGTGATAAATTCGCAAAAATACAAGAGAATAATAATTCAAGAAAGATAAATTTGCAACGAACTTGGAATAAGGAAGATCTGCCGGAACGTGATATTTTGATGCAGGATCAAAGTCTCTTTCTGTTCGAGGAACAGGAGGAAGTATACCTTGATACTGTAATCGCAATTCCCACCATCGAGTGGTCATGTCGACTACACCATCGCTGAACACACGCCATCTCCACTGATACGAATAAACATTCATAATTTAAATTATTTGGTTTTTAAGTTCATCTTTAAAAGTTAGTATAATTTACCTGATCTACAATGTAAGCAAATGGCAAGTAGGCTACTTTTTGCAAAGCCATCAGCATGAGAAAATTCATGTTACTCTCGTAATCATCTGTAGAATTGTTGTAGAGGCCGATTCTATGCAAATGTTGAGGATTAAAAACGGATAAACTTATGGCATTGCTCACTGCCTCATGGAATCCTTGTAAGGGAAGCAAGAAACAATGCTGTATTGCTGTATTTATTCTCGTAATGTAAAAATATTCAGTTTGCTGTTTACCGGGTAAAGCTTCACTTCGAAAGATAAACGGCTGGTCTTTGTACTGCAAATAATACTGAATGTGGGTCATTTCGTGATGCGTAGACACCAAATCTTCGGTAGTTATTTTCGTACATTGTTTTATTCTGAAAAAAGTGAAATATGAGTAGACCTTAAATGGTTTTTAGTACGCCAAAGATACCTGAAGTCCATTCTATTGCAAAAATCCCAAGCACTAGCACTGCATTTGACATCCCTATCTATCGGTTTCTCAAACATTGAATATCTCCAGAACTCAGGATGCATGGGTTTCATTCCCATAGACGTGAAAAATTCTTCTGCCATTTGAAACATCCTGAAGCAAAATAATGAGTATGCATGTAAAGGAAACCGCATTATTCATTTTCCATAGAAGCACGATTCGTGGGAAAACATACCGGAGAGAAGTGTAGCCTTGAATCATCATATCGAGAGTGACGTCGAATCTCTTGACCGCTGGGAAAGGTTGCACAAGATTAAAAATACCTTCCCAGTTCTGTGCCCACATATTGCCGAGAACGTGTGCAGGCAGGGGCCCATCGCTGCGTATCCTGTCGCCGTATCTCTCGATCAGTCGACTCCTCACGTACGTAAACAGATGCTTGTACAAAGGTGTTATCGCTGATATTACTTCGGCAATGTTTTGCTGAAAGTAATCATCTTCGTAGATCTCACGCATTTGATCGCCCGCGTCAGCGAAACCTTGAGTCAGAGTGAACAAATAATGGCTAAAAATTGTTGTCTGTATTAATGCACGTTCAGTTCGAACAGAATTGCTTTGACAGTTAACCAAGCATTGCATATGTTCAGAGATTTTTTCAACCATTTGTCGCAATATCACATTCTATACCTAATGAGTAACGCTCATAAAACATAAAATTCGTACCGTTGAGTTTTGCAGCTTGATTAGCTAATTGGACATATCTGATATACTTGTTTCGAAGCGGCGGTCCTACAGCTTCGTGCCATGCTTGCCAATAATGCAGCAACTCATCATAATCTCTGGATTGCGACATTAGTCTAGCAATATCTGAAAATGTATTCACTATTAATCGGTTCGATGAATTGTTTGAAAATAGATTTGCGATGTTTTACTGTACCTTCGTCAAATGATAGATCACACGGTACTCCTATTTTTCTGTAAGGACATAGCCTTGCTCTGTTGTACAACTCTTTCATTTCCATGATGAGGTGATGCATCTATAACATTGTATCGCATGACAATGACACGAAACTTAGTTTGCAATGATAAAAATTTATAATGCTTTAACAATACGCACTTCATTGAATTTATCGTCCGTTAGTGAGTTGCGCCCCTTAATTGCAATTAATTTAAGCTGTCTCCTCGCCAATGGATCAGGTACACGACTCCAAGCGAAACTCACAGTTTTGCGCCAAGAAGCTCGATCAAATTTCAATTTCATCGTTTGTTCTTCGAGCTGCACGCAATAAAATCGTCATAGTTAATTTTCTAAATAGAGTAAGAATGAGTAATCTAGCAATTGAAAGTAGTCAATCGCGTACCATCTTTCGACGATTATGATCAGTAATATTGGTGGCAAAGTTCCATTGTGCCGTCATGAGTTTGTTACAAACGGTTGATCCCTCCTGATCATATTCTCTTAGAAACTGAAGCGCCTCGCCTAGATTAACGTTCAAGCCCTGAAACCAGCAGGTCATTCTATTTGATCGCATCCAGATCACACACGCACATAAATCGGCCATTCAATTAAGGACAATCTTTCGTCGTTCGAATGACATTTGGCAAGCGGAGAATGGAAGTTTTTCGAATAGAAGATAATAGTCGATTAGACGTTTAGCAACGCCGGTTATGGGCGCGGACTCGTAAAAAGAAAACTTAATGGGCTATTTTAAACGAGAGTGACTCAAGCTCAAGACACGCGGATCCAAGAACAATAAGCGTTTTGCCATGCATGTCCGAGAATAGCGGAAAGGCTATTTATCGAAGAGTATCATCTTGAATGTACCGTTGATATCGCACTACTCGGCATCAAAGCTTGACCCTAGCTAAACTGTTCATCTCACAATAGAATTGAGGCAATTTTTGTGTTCTATCTACAATCAGTGAATAATTTTCTTTGAAATAATCATAATGTTTATGAATTTGAAAAAAGCAGTGCAAATTTTCGCAACTTTCGCAAAATAACGTTGCAAAAACTGGAGCCGCTGGTGAAGTTTGGAGTAACTTGGAAACTCTTACCTCGAGATAACGCGCGATCGAGTATCCGGCAAGCAGCTGAACAACTAGAGCGATGCACAGTGTCTTCATTTTCAATAGAGAGCGAACTCACCGCAAAGAGCAAAAGACTTTCTTGCACACCTCATATGAGAGCACGCGGGCGTCTTTCCCCTCTTGGCAGTTTACTAATAAACAGCGAGCGACACCCTTCGCTCCTCGCGCTGTTACCTTAGGAACGACAAGCAAAGCGCGCGAAGAAACATTGACTGGCGCTTTTTCCAGGGCGCGCAAAAGTGTACTGGTGCTGCGGCTGTGGACTCGCCAGTGCAACTTGCTTCGCTTGCTAAGGCGGAGGAAGGGACAGGCGTCGCCGGTGCGTGAAGCGTGAAGACCGCTCGTGCGCCGCACACGCCGAAATCTTAGGCACGCACGTCCTACTCTAACAGCAGATTTACCTGATACGGACGACTCTGCTGAGTTCTCGCTTGGCTCCTCCGTCGGTCTGCGCGTTTTCCTTCTGCCTCTGGCCTTTCCGTGCGATTTTTTAAATCAGATTGTTATTGTGTCTTTGTAACACTTCTGATTCTCGCAAAGATTTAAAAACGTTGAACCTTCGAATACATTTTTACTTTCGTACGTGACATCGCATGTCTGACCGAATTGCCCTCTTACTACGTATCAACCAAAAAGCTCTGCATGAGAGACTATTAGCGGCCATTTTTATTTATACATATTTATTCAATTGCGGCAATCTTGTAAGGAAAAGTAGAAGGACAATTTTACTATTTTGGCGAATTAAACATTCTGCAACGTTTCAACTGTAATACTTGAAGTTTTCGCTGCCGGCTTAATCTTTTGATGTTTTTTCTTGCTTCCTGCAATTGTCTTTGAGTCTCGAGGAAGTCGAGGACATCCGGTATTTCGTATTCTTCCTGAAGCTCCTTAATATTGTTGAACTGAGCCAGCGCTTTTTCCAGTTCTAGGCCTGTTCTTATTTGGGTGCGATGCAGGTCAAAATTTTCACGCTGTTTCACTATCAATTCTTTCTCGATCGACTGCAATTGTAACTTTCGCTCGATTAGATTTTGTTTGCGATACTTTGACATGAGATTGAAATGACCTGCAAATTCCGTTTTTCCAAATTTAGTAAAACAGCTTATTTGATTCGTAATTATTTAATTATTACCATTGATTCGCTTTAAAGCCCTCAGAATAATACTATTTTTCTCGTTCTCCTCAATGAGATAGTCATTTTCAATAGACAATTGTTCGAAATCTACAGGACGCAGTGTGTTACCAACGTCTACTCTCCGTGCAATATGTTTTCTAGTTTCCCTAATTAAGCGATTACTGGTGACTATTCCCAAGTTACACTTGTCAATTATAGCCCCGGCTATTTTTAACTGCTCTTCCATGAACCTTTGCGATATATTGCGTAGTTTTTTTTTTCAATTCCATGGTACTGTAAGCTATAATTATTACCTTACAAGTTTTTCTGCAGGAACTTTGTTCGTTACTGGATCGACATGACCTAGTACCTCAGTCTCAAATTGTGCAACGGCCTCCTTGCTTTCCGTCATCCGACACTTCATTACCTCCAGTTGCGTTTTTATGTCTTCCTTCTTTCTCGTCAAATCTCTTTCGAATTTCTTGAACTGTTTTTTCATGTCTTCGACCTCTTTGTCAATCAATTCGATACGATGCCTCACTGTAATCCTAAATATTTTTGAGCTCGAGCATAATTGCAACGCTCTTATAATTGTGTAGAAGGCAACTCGTTTAGACTCAACGGTGCTTCTTGGGCTTTGTCCGCGCTTACTTGGGCCCCTTGGTGCTCTGCTTGGGTAATGATACCGACACGCCGAAAGACGAACGATGACTTCCGGAACTGGTGCGAGTGATCATGCTAACCATCGACGCTGTTTTCTCGTAACCCATGCTGCTGGCGAAGCTGGCCGTGGAACTGACTCGGCTACTTCGTAGCAGTGACACGCGCAAGCCGGCGATTCTTTGTGCTTGCCGTGCTGATTCGGTTATCTGCGGCAATTCTGAACGAATGGCATAATAACCGACAATTTTCTCTCATAAGAGATAAACTCAACTAAAAAACGGAATATCTTATGCAGTGGTGGCCGAAATCAGTGAGACGTGCGGGGATCGAGCATTGACCTAATTAAGCACAAACGTGACAGTTTTATTTAATTGTTATAGAAATAATAATAATGCACGTTCAATTCCGCCAACGCCGGCAATCGTGTATTCGAAAAATCACAAACAATGGTCGAGTGCCGTTGAAGCGTGCAAGAGGCACATCGTTTACTTTGTAAGTACAGCGGATATCGGCGACGTAGGTAATGCTCGAATACTTCGTTCTCTAGGGTCAATGTTCTACTTGTACGCATCGCTTCTTCCAAAGTCATTCGTAGCTGTTCGTCCGACATTTCTGCATTTATTTCAGCGTTATTCGCGCATTAATCAAATTCGTTACGAGTCTCACCTTCGTAGTTGCCTTCGTCTTTGACGGAGGTTATGACCCTTGCAGCAAAGCTCTGGGAGCTTGCACGTGGCGATAGCATTATGAGATGTCAAGAAGCTTTGAAATTTCTTCAATCTCATCAGTTTCTGGGTAATAACGATTTTACTAATGTATTTGGATTCGCATAATTTTATATCGCGCTATTCACAACGACAGCAGGTTATTAAAATAAGTTACAATTGACAGAAGTTGTTTATTCAACAATCTTTCATTTCATCATTTCTTTGTTTTTTGCAAAATTTGAATTTTTCTTCTAAATTCTTATAAAATATAGTAAACGTTACATTTGTAAATAAATAATGAAATTGATAAACAACAGCATACAATATATCAATATCGTTGTCCTTGATCTGTGTAGACAAAAAAAGGAATTAGAACGTTTCATCGACAATATATATTCGTTCAGACCATCGGCACTGACTGCTATCAGTTTTTTTCTGAAGTTGATATAACAGCTATAACAGTAAAGACTGTTTTAAATCCTCTATTGTCTATACTAACGATATTGATTTTACAAAAAATGGCAGGCGAGAATAAAATTCAAACTAAAGTGTATGATATAATCGCAATATCAATATTAATAATACACGCACACAAATATATTGTATGTATATATATACAATAAATATCAACACACCAATTATAAAGAGTTACTAAGAAAAATAAGAAAGTATAAACATTTACATAGGTAAAAGTATACTTTCTCTAAGTGATAGTCATTCTGATACATTATTTTCTAAGCTTTGCTCTGAAATCTTAATGTCATTGATGAATAAAGAATAAATAATACCGATATCTTTCTGTCCTGAACTGCAAGATCTTATAACAGCTGGCAATTCCGCGATCGTAAAAAGTATTTCTGCGCCGCCATCGATGAACTCAGACTGCAATTAATTTTTTGTCTTTATATGGTAACAAGCTTGGACTAATTGAGATAAAACTAATAGATACTCACTTCAACCTCGACTTGTTCGCCATTTACCCATACTGCTTGACTGTTTTTATCTGGAAAAAAATGCAGTGACTATGCGAATGCTTCCAACTTTACGAGCAATAATAAAAATCTATCGATGCATACCTAAAATAATTCTATATTCGTTTTGACCTATTTGAGTGGACCAAGTCTCTAGAATTTTCGACTGCGATTGAATAAAATTTTTAAAGCTCTTGCCGTTTACCCACAGCGTGTAAGAGTATTTCAGACCTGCAAATTCGAGAGAGATTAATATTGTCGAAAAGCCATTGCGTATAGTGATTGTGATTCTCAGAAAAGATGGGATGAAGCAAACCAGGAATTGGGTCAACTCTGATGACGAATCGAACGCCCTCAAATTGAAAAATCTCGTCGCCAACTAGCCGGAACATCCATTCGCGATTGACCAACACCTTGCCGTCTATCTTGACGATGCGCCGGCCGGTCGCCGTGCCGTGCTCGAATTCGATTACATGCACGCCATCGCTAAGGGGAACTTCCCAGCGCGCCGTGGGTTGATTCCCTAGCGACTCCAGTGCCTGCAAGCTCCTGCATCGCGCAATTTACTTCGTTTAGTGCTGCACAGGCGGCTCTCTTGGCCTCGCCAGAAAAATATATTCGATTTGCCACGCAGGCCTCGCGGTGCTCGTGTATATTGAGAATAAAGGGTGCAATATATGTTAAAACCAGCATTTCTCCTAACCTTAAATTATTACCATTACTGCGTGTTATATGACAAGGCAAAGCTCAAACTATAGCCAAAAAATCTTGCGCTTAAATTGTCAGTGCGGTTGCTGAAAGAACTCGGTGAATTGGCAAGACAGTGCGGTCTACTGAAAACACCGACAAGTGTTCAAATAAATGTTCTATTACAATGGCATGGGATTGTACAGCCACATATTTACCGCAGAATCGAATTGGTCATGATCACTGGCAGGTGGACGGAACACTGTACACTTTATTGATCGCGCACGTGCGACTATAAGCTCATGAATACAGTCAGGATCAATATTTTGGTCATTTCTGCGCTGTCGCTTTTTTAATAATTTAAATGAGATTGCATAAACAGATAACTTTTTTCAAGGCTTCTTTGTATCTTGTTTATATTCAACCTGTATTCACATTTGATGCTTACAATCTATTTAAATATTTTCTTCATTTTTTATAATCAAATAGAGGCCTTGGAAAGAAGATAGCAATACTTGTAAATTAATAAATGTAAATAAATACATGAATAAGAGCTGTGATGATTCAATGAATAGAGTACAAGATTGCCATGTGGTAAGTCTGGGTTCGGTTTTCGATAGGTATCTATAGCTTTTTTTTCAAAATAAGTGTATATACCAAAAACACCGTGATTTTTGTGGCTTAGAACCTACGTAAATTTCTAGATTTAGTAGCGGGAGAGAGATTGGGTTATCCTTAGGGGAGTTTTTGCTATAGGAACAAAGAAGATACAAATTAATGACTATTTTGGAACGCAAATCCGATGTATTTCTATGTTTCAAGAAAAAATATACATAGAGCAAAAAGAGAGAATAATCATCATACTATCATCTTACTATCATATATTATCCAAATCTCGAGAAATGTTTAGAAAGAATAAAAAATAAAATAAATAATGTTTATCAATACAAAATTTTTTACAAATCTTCTATAATTTTTACTTATTTAATATATCTTATTCTGGTTTTAATAGCAGTAACTTTCCAGTACGTGATCCAAAACCTATCAAGCATCCTTCACGGTCGCAAAAATCTGTTCGAAAAATTAAAAAACAAACAAATAAATTATTATTGTATTTAACAAATTTTACAATGCTAATACTCATTTACGAATGACAACTTCGTTGTCATCCAGCAAAAAAAATTTGTATGGTATAAGGAGTACTTTCCCTACTAAGGTCGAGTATCGAACCGTAAAAATTAGGAATCCAAGTTAAAAAACAAACATAAAAAAACACGTACAAGAAACCAACTGCTACCTCTGCTAAACTATTTACTCACCTCTCTGTTGATAGTTCCAAAAGCCATCAACTCGCCGGGATTAACGTTGCAGTCAGTCACAGTTTGATAAGCTAATTGCTGTTGCATTGTCCAGTATATGCACTTATAATTACATCGCCTGACTGTTGTGTTCATTCCGCTGGGAACTAGCCCTCATGTGAAAAAAAAAGTTTGGTACTTTGTTTGGGACTTTATAAAAAAATGATTTTGTTCAATTTTACATGATTTTACAAAACTATGTCAAATTTGTGAAAAATTTTATAAAATTTTATATTCAACTTGTATTATAAATATTTATTTATTTAAATAAATTATATATTTAAATAAATATTTATATAATTATATATATTTATTTATATATTTATTTAAATATTTATATATAATTATATAATAAATATTTATTTATTTAAAATGTATAAAATTTTATAAAATCATGTAAAATTGAACAAAATCATTTTTTTATAAAGTCCTAAACAAAGTTCCAAACTGTTTTTTCCACGTGGGTACTACAATTTTTTCTCACGAATGAATCGCATAAAAAATAGCGAAGTCAATGCTTATCTTTGATGTCGACCTTTAAATTAATGCCGTAGCTGCAGTGATTGTTATGATCCAGCGCATTTTGGGCGCAATAAACGATGGTAGTGGCACATACTCTCATTTTTGAACATCTCTAGCTGTAACTAGTTAGTCGTACAATTTTGCTTGGCGTGGTAATTGCGACTAACGAGGATTTGGCTTACCGCTCCAGTCGTCCGAAGATGTGGTTACGCGCGGCAAGCGTGTCGCCGAGATTCGTGGGGGGGGGGGGGGGGGCTTCCGACGAAGAAAGCCACTTTGTACTCAAAGTCCACGAGGGCTCGTAAATCGGCGGGGGGCCCTCCGCCGGAAGCGTTTGACCACGCGTACGCCTTATGTCTACCGCCACCAAGCTCACTCTACCATGGTAGCCCACCGGTAGGTACTTCCTTTAACCAGAGTAACGGCATTACTCACGCACATCGCACTCTTTTTTCGCGTGTTTTTTTTCTTTACGTATATCAATGAGGTGATGTAATCATTCCAACATTTTTCGCACGGGTGAACGGAAGAATAGAAGTTTATATTGTAATTGTCTAGTCTTGCCGACAAATGTATCGTCGCCTTTTCTTAAGGAAATATTAATACGGTGATAAGCAAAAGGAATGAAAAAAACTAGTTTATAAAAAAATAGCGAGAGTGACTTTTACTTCGATCAAATATCCGATTATTGCAAAGTTGCATTGTCAATGGAGAGCAAGCTCTGTAAGGTTTATCTAGCCTTCATTCACGATGAATTATCAAGTGAAATTAAGACCGCCTTGGTGGAAAACATGCTGCTGTGTTGTCAATAAAGGATCGATGAATTAATCGGCTATAACAAATAAATCTAAAATTTGATTTCCAATTGCGACGCTTATTTTTAACTTTGGCTATAAGAAAACGCAAATAGCTAATATCAAATTAAATGTCGTATTTGCTTATATATCAATAACGATGAAATTATCTTATAAATTAAAATTTGATTCAACACCATCTATTAAAGTTTCGAATAACGATAGTATAACGTGCTCCATGGTACTTTGATTCAGTAGATAAGTTGGTACGCTAGTGTATAGTAGAAACCTGTTATATCGAGCTACTTGAACTCGCAATAGTTTGTGTTCTTGAACTTTAGATGTCACGTGAAGAGAAATATTCCGTGATTAAAAGGATTTATAAGAAGTTGTATTTATAATCTGACAAATTGCAGATTATTAATTCGTCGAAACCTTTTGTAGAATCAAGATACTGTCAAATAATAACAATGCTTTTATTTTTCAAACGCTTATTTATATATAATCCTTATGTACAATAGTATATACTTACATTATCAGTAGTAATGAAAATGCCGTATGGCAAATCTGAATAGAAATTTCGCATGCGAAAAACATTTGATGAAAGATTTCATTTTCAGTTTTAAGGAAAGCTACGACTGTGGCGATTGTCTGATGAATTGCGCGAGACTATCATACTGAAGTTTTATCTTTCGAGTCCAATAGGCTCGCCTCGTATAATTTACTCACATGTTTACGGTGACCAAACAAGTGACACTAGTTATAAATTAGAGGAACTACTTTGAATTTTATATGATAAAGTTAGAATGCATTGACTAGTTCTTGCGTTCATTTATAGACGAAGGAATAACGTTAAAAATAAAATTTACATAGTGTTAACATTTTTCTCAATACTGGTGTTATTTAGCCCACCTTGCACTTTTTTGGTTTTTCTGTTATTTATTGCATTATTTGTATCACGCAACAATAAAGTTGCTCAATAGGTTTTCTACGGTTCCAGTGTTATATTATTATTAGCAATACGTTTCAAAATTATATGTTCTTTTGTTACCTCTTTGAATGTTAGTTATTTATAGATTGAATTTACTGCTAAAATGTAAATATCACACTTCTGGACATATAATAAGGCTATTTCAAAGTATACGGAAATTCAAAATTTTGCATCAATCAATCACAACACTGCATGTCGTCGACTTATTATTTTTTTAAAGTAGGAGGAAAAAATAGAAGTCTTATTTTACATCTTCGTTGATTGGAGAATTTGGGACGAAGAAGCTAGGGTGAAAAATAATTGATAAAGAAACATCAAATAACAGTGTTTTATTGTATTAGACATTGATATACACAAGGTAATTAATCAGGAATGAGTAAGTTTGTGTAGGTAAGACTGTGTGGTTCGCAAGCTTACTTTTTGAAGAGCATTCAAGTTTTCTAGCTCATCACTGTCGCAGAAGACAAAGCTTTTTACTAATTAATTATCTCTTTTTTTACACATAAAACCAAATTTGAAAGCAGAACTATATCAAGCCATTAAACAAAAATTTCAGATAAAATATACATACACGCGTATTTATTTTAATATTTTTCCTACGTTTGTCCTTTTGGAAGACGTTTGATTTTGTTGTTGTATTTATTTTCTTAAAATTACTTTTTATCTTACAATTCGTATAATTAAACATGTGTAATAAACAACAATAGATTAAGATCAACAAAACGATCTGAATTATATTTTTTTCTGTTTTCTCTTTCAATTAAAGCCATGAGCTTCTTATACTTCTTTCATTGTCCCATTCAAGAACTTGAGTAACGAAACAATAAATTTGCATAAATTTATAAATACTACGTTATGTTCCTTGTATTATACATCAAGGTTGCTTTTCACTACGAAATATTTACAATGTATGCTTTTTAAAATGTAGAATTGACAATTCATAATTACGTGAACAAAGTTACTTGTAGAGTTATCTACCCAATCAACGCATGTCAGAAGTCTATCACAGATAAGTGCATATAAAACAATTTGCATCAGATCATAACAGAAATAAACTCATGTTGGTAATATTTATTAAAAATACATAGTGTTTTTGCTTTGCTACATGTCTTACTGAAAAGTAAATTTTGCAATTTACTAAATTCGTTTTGATAAAGCACAGTGGAAGATTGACGATTCAATGCCTGCGGAATCGCGAATATAACAAGATTAAAATTCTCATTGTTAATTATGATATCGTACAAGTGATTATTATTAAAAAAAATTGCTCACTGCTAATAAAAATATTTATGCTCTTTTTTTGTTGTACGCATACTTTATACAGTAGATTGACTTGCTCATATAATTTTTCTTTTATAGTTAGATAGCCGTTGTTAAATGAACATTGTTTCAAAGGGTTTTACAGCTTTCATTGCAATTTTGAAGGTTCATTATAATTATAACAGAGATAGTAATGTAAATTTCTACAACTTTTTTTGTGATTTTTATTTTTTTTTTGAATTTTGCAAACAATGAACATCATATTCAGAGAATAACACAGTTGAACAGGTTCACCAAAGTTCAAACTTTGAAAAATACATATGTAGTTGGGATAACATTGGTTTTGCTTACAGGCATATTATAATTCTTTACATTGATGATTGCGTTGTGACATTTTTCATATAGTTATTTTTCGACTTCTCTCACGCCATTTACTATATGTTACTGGACTGACGTTATTATCTGGTTTCTTAAAAACTGCCTAAGGCAACTTCAACGGCGTTAGCATTTATGTACATTTATGAGATAACATTATCATAATTTGAGTATTTGGCCGTGACTTTAAAACAATCGACTTCAAGTGGATTTCGGAAAAAATTGATGGCTTTTACAATTTTATGTTAAGTCCTGTCTATTCAAATCATCTGTAGATAATTGATAAATTTATCTGACAAATATTTTGCATTTTATTTATTTTACATAAAATCAATATCCAATTCTTTCCAAACTGTTCGCGCAAGTAAAATAGTGTTAATTTGCAGACTAGAAGTTAACCATTTCTTCGGGAGCTCGACTAGAATGTATAGTCATGCAATCACCTCTCTCAAACAAAAAGTTTACTCTAACAACTTGACAACAATTATTGTCGATGTCTCTGTGATAGTAACAGCCATCCATGTACGCAGAATTACATTTACTCTGATTTTTTCTCTCTTTATTATTATTTTGTCTATATAGACGTGATTGAAATGCTTGTTACATACGGTTTTGTGAATCATTACTTTGCGCGTAAAATAACTGTTTAAACATATTTTAATAGATTGGCTAAGTCTGGAAAATCAAGCTTACTCGTATTTAACAAAAATCGTTCAAACATGCTTGAACTCTTCCATCAATGAAGATATTATTGTGTTATTTCATGAGCAACAATTTAATCTACGCAATAATGGCGGGCGATCCGACAGCTTGCTTCCATTTTTCTTCAGGGCTGTGGCACACTTACACAGAAAGGAGTTTTACATGTTCACGCATGCAAATAATTCTCACGTAAAGGCTCGGCTTGGTCACAAATTTGCGATGAAGAAAAATGATTATGCAGCGAATAAAACTGATTCTATTACCTCGATAACCTACATGCTGTCTTCTTTTTATAAACAATTAATTATTGTTTATAATAGAACAACCTTGTAGATAGATAGAAAGTTTTCATTGTTTAGTTTGCAATTGTGTGATACAGGCCAAGAGTCTGCGAGAGTTTTGTCAATAAAAGCACGTACTTTCATGGGTTTGTTTTTTTTCTTTTGTTCAATCTCTGCTCTAAATATATGTATATTTGTATATGTGTATATATGTATAAGTATATTCGCGTTGACTGATACATATTTATTTTAATTCAATGATTAGATTACAATAACAGAGGATCTATGAATATTAAGCTGTTCAACAGCGGAATAAAAAATAAATCTTTACAGTTTTACATGTTTTACGAAGTTAAATCTAAAATATTACTTGTATTGGCATTGGCAGAAATGTTCAAAGAAGCAATTAATTAACTATTCTTAAAACCCAACAACTAATTCGTAAATTAACCAATTATAGTACCATTCTTGATAACAATCAATCTTCTTTTTAAAATCGTATGTTCGATGAAGTTACTCCTTTAAAATTATTCGTGTGAAGTGAATGAACGAAATATGAACAGTTTCATTGCACCTCGAACAATTCGCTGCAGCCTCTGAACAGGTTTTGGTTACATGAAAGATTTTAATATGTCCGTATTCCCAGTTTTATATCTTATCGTTACACTATGAAAAATCTCGTACGAGCTATCGATTAAAAAACTCTGAACGCAATTTGAATTTTTTAGGCAAAATCCTCATTGAAAAATATGTCGTGAAAAATATAATCTGTATGAAAAAAACATATCTTTGTACAGACATCTGCATATTTATACTTTATAACATCGGAATCGTTTTAAATAATAAAATATAGTGATCTGCGCTGCAGACATTTGTAACAAAAACGGTTCGCCTGCACCGTGTGATATTTTCATTAATCCGTGCACGTCACAATATTTCATAAACCAAAACTTGCTGGTTCACGGCCAGATCATCATATTATAGCTTCTTTCTTCATTTCTGACGATATTACATAGATTTGCTATGCTCTTTTGCTTACATTTAGTTAATCTTAAGACTATGAATTTTTGTTTCATTGACATTAAACTTTATCATGGCCAGGTCTTTTACGTTGTTTCTGAACTTTTTATAACAATACTACAGTCTCATGCCGGCTTAAACTGTAGATTATCATTGCCTATGTATACTCTTCGTACTTTCTTTGATAGTTTTCTACATTTTTCTAAATATCTGGCATTAACTTTATCATAAATTTTCAACTCATATACAACATTTATATTATTTTGCTTTGTATATTAGCCACAAAAAATGGTTGTTATAAATAATTAAAAATTTGTTTAATCAAGTAGGAAAGTGAGCCGTTGAGATAAATCTACGAGCACTGAAAGATTAGAATAATACTTTGAGAGTTACTTATAAAATCTGTTAACTAATGCAATAAATTCTTATAAATCGAGCTAATTGATAACATCATATAATATTCCTGATTTTCATATACGCGAGTCCACGGTGGAATGGATAACTGGAATGCAAGTACGGCTCTATGGGACTTTGTACATTATATCACGTGGCAATCTCAAAGAGTGAAGACAATATCGATTGTTCAATAAATCGCGAAGGAAGCACCAATATGAATAAGACAATCTGAGAGGAACGGAAGATCGAGCGACAGTGTCGCGAGGGGCGTCGAAACAGAAGTGAAAAAAAATAGGACAGCGAATAAGTGAAAGGTCGCGATATACCTTCAGTCGCCAGCTGCTCTTAATGCGATAGGATTACGGGATTTAAAGATCATGGCCCAGCCGATCCATTTCCGCGAGCAAGAAGTCAATGTCGGCCTCTGTGACTGCCGCGCTTGATATAATGTTCCTGAAGAAATTGGGTCTTCGATCGTCCGGCTGATAGCCCACCATCAGAGTGCCGGCTTCCATCATTCGTCCTTTGAGAATCGGGCAGATCTGGCGACAAACCACGCGACCGATTAACTGTGTGTCGTCGCGAGCGATCGCAGACCGCCGCTAGCGAATCGTGATCGGATCCTACCTGGCCCAGCGCGTTCTCCTTCTCGGGCGTGTGGGGCTTGTTGCGCAGTCGCGTCGGCAGGTACCAGAAGCAGCAGTTGACCAGCTCGGGCTCGAGGATCAAGTGGAATCTGTCGGGCATCTGTTTGATCCTGCGCACCATGTACTGATTCAACTCCATCAGCCGGTCCATGTGCTGCTCGAAGCCTTCGTTTCCCTGCGACGCAACAACACAAGCGCCAGGCTTAAAGATTGGCCCTGCCCGTCTCCCCGTCCCTCCGACTCCCGCTCTTGTGTGAAATGGCGCGTTATATTGATTGTTCGTGCCTACCTTTGCGCGCCACTGAAGCCAAAGTTTGAAAATGTCGTTATGCCGTCCGCATTGAATAACTTTGTCTCCCGTATCGTACTTAACGTCATAAAGCTTGTCCGTCATGAATAGGTACTCGGCTGACATTTGATTGCAGCTAATCAGCAGACCCTGTTTACCAACAATAGAACAGCGCAGTTTCGTGATATTTTTCTAACGCCCAGGCGTGAATATCCGGAGGAAACGCGGCGGGCGGGAGGACGGAAGTCCTTCTCCTTCGCAGCAGCGACAACGGCGTCGGCGTTTTCGAGGCTATCCGCGAAACGCTTGGCGCGCTGCCGGTCAATAAGCGGGCTCAACACATGCGCAGCAAGCGCAAGTCGAGCTTGCCATCGAGCTTTCCAAAATGGCGGCGCGCGAGCCTCGTCAACTTGGATATGTACTTTGGCATTTTGGCAATATCGGCCAGGCTTCTTGGCGTCCGCGAGGACGAACGCGCGGGTGCATACCGAAGCGCGCTCGCTATGTGGGGAACGAGCTCGGGCTAATTTTGCGACGCGATCGGTGGCCGTGGTCGGCCCCCTTGCTCGGCCGTGAGCCCCGCGTCGCCTGGAAAAAAGAAAATCATGCCGAGTGTCGCCGAAACGAGCTTGCGTCACGGAAAATCAGAGCGCGCGGGGGCCGATGGGGCGCGCGGCGACACAGTTCGGCGGCGTACGCGCGTGGAAAAACAATCGGCCGGCTTCGGGTGGCGCGCAGCCGGTGCACGGAATTTTAATATCCCGCGAGGGCGAGAGGAGGGGCGGCCAGAAGTTAGCAATAACCGGAGCCCGCGCCCAAGGGGAGAGCCCAGCGCCAGCACCCTTCGGCAGCTCGGCAACATATGTTATCTCTTAGTTTAATTAAATTCCTCCGCGAGAGCGCCGGAATGCCGAGCGCCGTGCGCGCGCCGCGAGGCCGAGACGCGCGAGCCGCGCGTAGCCGAGCACATCGCGCGCGAAATTCTGCCCGCGCGGCCCGCTCCTATTTTTCGCAGACCGCCCACGGTAGGATGATCTGGGCCGCTCCGTTATTTTTCCTTGAGACGCGTAGCCGCCCGTTTTTGTCAGATTCTCAGCTTTGCATTCACAGAAAATTGATAGCTCGGAGCACGGCCTCGTCATCGCTTCGCTCGACTGTCATAAATCTTTGCGAACGTGACTTACGTCTTCCTTGAAGTGGATGGTCGAGCACTGCAGGAGAGCACCCATCAGCTTGTGAGGATTCCAGGTTACAGAGTCAGCCCTTCAAAAAGAGAATCGAACATTAAACGAGATATTTATTAGATGGATCTGCGGCACTCGAGTCATTCACGCCAAATCCTCATCGTGCGAGCGATGCTCCCCAGATGCAGCCCCTCCACTCGGGGCTGGCTGGAAAAAGGAGCGCGAAGCCTCGGCTGGTCGTCAAAGTCTCTGATATTCGCGCGGAGAGAGTCGAGCTCCGGTGTATCCCAGGAGAGGTAACCGGCTATAAGATACGAAGCCAGCTAAGCAGTTCGCTGGGTCTTTCTATCGGCGTTGCTGGCGGATCCATCGATCGGAACTATTAATACACCGGCCGACACTCCCGCAGGGCACGTCTAACCCCTTGAATCTCTCAACGCGATCCGCAAGAGTCATCAATTAGCAGCTCTCGCAGTTCTTGCGGCAGAAGCTATGGAGCATTCGGCGCATGTTCCATCAACTGCAGGCAAATAAAGGCACGCGCCGAGATTCATAAGAGACCGAGAGAGCGACGCGTGCCTGCGCATGACGCGAATCACTTCAGCACGAGGACCCTCGACGCGCGCGCGCGCGCGCCAGCTGCACGCCGTGTAGGATATTCGCGCGACACTTGGCCACTGTCACTCGCCATGTATCGATAACATTTGTCACGCGAGCATCGCGCGCAATATCATTGTGCCGAATGCGAGAGCCGAAAGACCGTTGCTCCTGCTCACGGGCCATACGGAGCAGCTCCTGCGTCCGAGTGACGCGCCTCCGACGTTGCTTTTCCTCCGGTCGTCTGCTTGCACTCCGCGTGCTCGCGGTGCGTCGCCGGAGAGCGGCTCGACGAAGTCTAACCGCTGTCAGCGAGGCGACGTACTGCAACAGTTGCGGGCGAAAGCTATATATGTATACACGTATATACGTGTTCTCCGGTCGATGGGCGTTCGGGCTGCAGGCAGTCGTCTTGTGCACGGCCCGCGCGCCTTTATAAAGCCGCCTGTGATTAATGCGATTCGCAGCTGGGGCTGAGCCGCCGTCCGCCGCCGCCGCCGCCGCCACCGCCGCCAGTCCCTACAGCCGAAGATTATATACGAGACGAGAGCGATGCTAATTAACCGAGACCCCCGTAAGCGTCCGCGCGCTATAATTCCCCACTCATATTGTTGACGCCTAGCGAGATTTCTTTCTTCCGCCAACTTATTACCGAATTAATGACGCACGCGCCAGCCATACGGATTAGCCGGGCCTACCAGCAACTTACGACTCGAGTGCGTAATCACTGGATTCTCGTAGATACGCGCTAATTTCTACCGGCACAACCGCATTGCTTGCAGTCGGACTGTAGACGAGGCATTTTTCACTGTAGCAGCGTCCCATCGGCCCCTCGTTGCGTAGACGATCGTCTGCGATTGCGTCTGACTTGCGCTTTCACTTTCCGTTTCTCTCTCTCTCTCTCTCTCTCTTTCTCTCTCGCTATCTTTCTTTTGTTTTTCTGTTACTTTTGACAAAACAATCTCGTAGCGCGCTCACGGGGAGAGAAAGAGAGAGTTCCCTTTGTAGCCGAGTTTAATCCGACATTGTCGGGCGAGCAAGCGAGCGAGCGAGGCGCAGAGAATAAGAGAAAAAGAGCGCGCGCGCGAGCCCGCGCGTCAATACGAGGAAGCGAGTCAGTGCTAAATGCGCTCCGGGGAACGGATCCAGCTGTTGCTTGCGCCTGCGAATCTCCCGTTGTCCTTCGCCCTCCCTGCCGGTGCTGCTTGCCATTTTAATCAAGACTTTCGCCGCGAGAACAACTTCCCGTGCGCCGAGATCTCGTATGCGTCCTGATTTTACGCTTCGGTACGCCGAGCTTGCCATCGACTTTTGGCTGCCTGCAAGTAGAGAAGAAAAACAGAGCGGAAAGTATCGCGTCCATTCCCGGGATTGTAAATGGTTTTTCACTCGCTGCATTTCTCTTTATTCGTACGAAAGAATTAATATCGTGACAGTTATACTCGCGCTTGCTGTCGGCTATCGCTTTAACATGTTTTATGATCTAGAAGTAGATCTTAGAACCGAAAATATCAAGAAGGAACGCAATTCTTAATATTTTTCAATCATAGATAAATTTTTTCACTTCTAATTTTGATTTATAATTTTAGATGATTAATAATATTGCAATCGAAGATAGCCAACGTCCTTTGCCGACAATAAAGCAGATTGAAAAGATGTTGAGATTACGTTATCAATAAAGAAATGTATCAATTTTCAAGGGACACTGGCGAAGCGGAAGCTCGCCGAGGGCTACAGGTCCCGCGGCGGAAGCCAGCGGAGAAGGAGACTAGAAGACGCGCTCGTGTCGGTAATCTGCGAGGTTGAGGAAGGGGATGCCGCGAGTCGAGCGCGCCTTGAAAGGAGTGACTGCTGTTATCCGGACTGGAAGCTGCTGTCTGCAGTCTGACCGACTAGGGGGATGGAACAGGCGCTGCATGTGGGGCTTCTGGCGAGATTAATTCACGATTTGCATCTCGACGCATCTGCGTGTACACCCACCCCTGCGTACGCGTACATCGTGCCGCGATTGTTATTTTCGTCCTGTTTTTGCGTACACGCAGCCGTGACCTCGATGTCGATGTGTCGGGATATTTTTTCGTTTTTTGTCACGTACCCGGTGTGTGACTATGAAAAGCGTCCATTCAGTTAGTTTGCCTGTCTGCATTAATGTCTATATGAATTATCGCTCGAAATAGTCAACGCAAACTTCTCTAAAATTTCAAAATACGTGTACTTCAAAATTAATAAAAGTGTTTAAAATTTTATAAAAATAAATCTGTACGCTTTGACGATCTTCTGAAGTTACAGTTAGACGATATATTAGAATACGAAAGAGCTTTATAATCCGGCTATAAAAAAAATGTAAGAAAACAATTTAATTTACATTTATTATAATTCCCTTTCACATGGGGTACCTGTACGAAGTTCACGTCAAAGTAAGAAAAGTACAGCTGTAAAAGCCATGAGAGTGCGAAATCCGATTATTTATGGAAGCTGCACTTGTTCCCGTGTATATACAAACTTCCATTTCCGTCGCTTTCCAAAGTATATTTAAAAGAGCAACACGCCGGGACTGAGAGAGAGCGAGAGAGAGGGACTCAATGACGGCGTAATTCCCTGGCGCAGACTGCACAACTGGGATTTACGCTGTCTCTCTCTCTTATTCTATACGTAGGAAAACAGAACGGGCCAAACACACATGATAGATAGAGATGTAGGCAGTGGCTGCGGAGAGAAAAAGAGCGAGAGACGCTTAATCCTTAGTTTTATAGTTTATTGGGAGCTTAGTTTGATGGAGTCCTTCGAAAAACAGTCGCAGCTGAGTGCGGCCGCGAGGGGCGTCAAAATCAATACGGGCCCTCGACACCATTGTGGCAAAATAGCTTCGCCGGAGGGATGACGAAGCTCAGCGGAGAGAAAAAGAGAGAAAGGAAAAAAGCCGAGATAGTTTGCTGGTAATGGATCGCTCGTGTCGAGAGTCTACGCTCGAAGAAATGCTAATTTTACGTTGTATTTCAAGCTGGCTTTTTCTCGAATTAACTTTGGAATGAACAATTGAATTCTTAAAGCATTGACCTTTTTATAATTGCTGTCAACGTTGCAAATGTTACGTGGCTGCGGTCTAATTACTGTGCAAGTAGTGAGCAGTCGATTTGGTCAGACAGCGACATTTTTCATCGTTGAACAAGGATCAACAATAAAACTCACCGTTCTATGCCAGTCAATCTTGGGTGTCGGTATTTCTTAGACAGTAGCAGTCCACCACCCCAAGCTGCCTGTAACACGAAGAAAATCGAATGTGAGCTTGAGAAAAGGAGCAAACATAGTTGGCGTTTTATTGCAATGTTTGGTGATCGCAGTGACGGCCCATCGACGAATTGCAGAAATAGTCGGACAGCAAAAGCCGAAAGCGACCAGAGAGTCATTTCGACTGTCGCATCAATAATTTACGTTAAAGCGCTCGTCGATACACTCAACCGTTTACGCCCTCGGATTAGCGTCGCTGACACAGATTCTCGCTTAAGGGGCAAACTTTAAGAGCGATTCACTGTCACTTGAAGCACCACTCAATTACGAACAAAGATGATAATTTCGAAAAATATAAGTGATACGTCGTCTGTTAAACGTCTGCTACACACAGTAAAGACGTGTCCATTCCGCGCGAACGTTTCCATTACGACGGCCGATATAACAGGCTGGCGGCGAGTTTCCGTTCAATCATCCGAGGCTCTGGAGGGTGAAAAGGACAAGAAAGAAGAAAGAGAGTAGAACTCACGTCGATGTGCAGCCAGCAGTTGTATTTCTGGCAGATATCGGCAATTTCCGAAATGGGATCGAAGGCACCGATGACCGTGGTGCCCGCAGTGGCGTTCACGAAGAACGGTATGTGTCCCTTGGCCTTGCGCTCCAAAATCAGCTCCTCCAGGCGCTGTGGAATCATACGTCCACGCTCGTCGCTCGGCACCATCACGCAGTTGTCGGTGCCCAAGCCGCACACCGAGGCGCACGACTTGACCGAGTAGTGACACTGCAAATCGACGGGCCAGGTTAATCTCGACGACTCGCTTCGTCGCGTGCGCGCGAGATTTACCTGGTCGGATGTAAACATGCAGAGCTGTCCACCAATGGCTGCCAGGCCCCGCTCCTTGTACTCTGGGAACATCTTGTGGCGAGCGGCCAGGAAAGCGTAGAGGTTGCTGATCGATCCGCCCGGAGCGAGAATCGAGTCGCCCATGCCATTGGGCCAGCCGATAATCTCGCGCATCTTGTGCAGCACCACGTGTTCCATTAAGATGAACACGGGCGCAATCTCGTAGGTGAACATATTGGTATTGGCCGTAGCAGTGAGCCATTCGCCAGCCATGGAGACCAGGTCCAGGCCGCACGATAGCTGATTGAAGAAGTGCGGATGACCTGCAAATGGCCATTGCAACTTTCAACTTGTAAACGATCGTCGGTACGCTCTGCAAATATAAATCAAAGTCCAGCTCGAAGATTGACAAACCCGCTCTGATTCGGACAATTCTCGCGGTCATTAATGACGCGGGCGCGGTATAATTAATAGTCCAGGCGCAGGAGTAGTTGGCCATGTGAGAAGGGGGTTGAAAAGCGCCCCGTGCCGTGACTGCGCTTTCAGCGGCAGACGGTTAAAGTGCGCGTCGGGAGAGCGGCAGGGGAAAAGCTTTAAGCTGCGCCGGTGTTGTCATCCGCTTGGCTGAGCATCGCGCGCCGGATCAAGCCTAATGCTTCTGTTTGATGGGCGGCTCTCGCTCTCGCTGCTCAGCTTTCGCTTCGATGACGCCGCTCTCAGCTGCACGCACGCAAACGCGTCCACGACTCTCCGCTCGCTCGCTCTTATGTCTTCGCTTTTATAGCGCGAATCCACGCCCGTGCCGATACTTGCAATATATCCTACCCGCGTTCTCATCACACGTAATCGGGAAATTGGCGGTGCAATTTGATTCTGGCAAGTTTGTTTTCCTCGAGGCCAAGCTCGACATAAATTTCGTTCCCGCGATCCATTCTCTGAAGCAAACTAGAATCGACCGTCGAGGCAATATCAAAGAGTCAATGCTTATCTTTGTCCTTCGGCAATGCAGAGATGATTGAGAGCAACGGCAAGCAACGGAGGTGTTGGTTTACTTTCGTTAGAAAAGAGAAGCCGCAGTACTTGACCAAGAGAAAGAGTGAGAGGGAAAAAGAGAGACGGAGAGCGAGAGATAGAAAGTGCTGGAGAGCGGAGCTAATTTCCCGTGACGTAAGCTCTGAGCTTTTAATAAGTAGCGCTGGCCGAAAGGAGAGAGAAAGAGCAAGCGAGAGAGATTAATCAAGGGTTCTGGCACGAGGAACGAGCATTTTAATCTTGCGGAATTACGGGGCGGCTGATTGACGTGTGACGTCTGGCCGACGTGCCCCTAGCCGAGGATTTTCACGCGCGTACTTGTGCAGAAGCAAAGACCGAGACGATTCCTTATCCTTGTATTTATTCTTTATCTTGGATTAAACAAATTGCATCCACTGTTCCACGCGTTCTATTCTTTATGGTACTCACGGACGGCTCAACTACGAGTCATTGGACAGGTACGTGCTGTCTCGATCGGCGTAACTCGAGCGCAAGTGAAACAATCGTTTGCAGACCTTGGCTATGGCAGCTAACGAGAAAGAACTACGGCCCCAATACAGCAATAACGAGCATAGCCCCGTACAGCCCATTAATCACAATATCGGCTATATCATAGACAAATCTACAATCTCTCGGTGCCTGCAGCTAAGTTATAGATACATTTGCTCCACGCATCACTGTGGATTGAGAAAGAAGGGAAAAGTAGGAGGAGAGGGGGCAGCAGGGGCAGCGATGCACCGAAGCATTCCGCAATCGGTAAATCCCCTATAGACGTCGATCTCAGGCTCAGTGGCGGCTGGGCCGGCCGCGGCCGTTTGTCGCGCTGTTATTCGCAATTATCTCGCGCGACTTGGGGTGGCCCGCATTTTGCGCGTCACACGCGTCGCTGCCCGACTAGATTGTTTGCCCAGCGGCTCTCAAACGGAGGACCTTTCGAGCGTCCGCATATTGTATGCACATTCGGACCGCGCCTAAGAGAATTTTCCAGATGGCCGCCACCGCTGTCCTCCATACTGCGGGCACTCAGCATGGCTTCTAATCAGGGACGCTTAATTCTCACCTAACATATCTGCCAAGCGAAATTGGCGCAATCAGTCTCGATTTTATCTCCGAAACGATATTCGCAAATACATGGAGATTTATGAGAGCGACTTCAATGTTAGTACTTTGGTACCAATAAAATGCTTGATCTGCCGAGGACGCTGCCATGGCTTTCGATCAGCCGACGTTGATAAAGAGAAATGAACTCGATTCGAATGATATTATACAAACTTACGCAGCGAGGGATAGAGAGAAAAGAAAAAAAAAAGTCGGCGATTGGCGGCGACAAACCTGCTTGCTGCAGAGTCCTCGATGATAAATTAGGGGGCTTTAGATTCGCATGAAGAGAAGTGTGCAGCCGGGGTTCCTACAATCAATCATGCACGTACCCGGGAACAATTCAAATCCCGCGTAGGAGGGAGTTGCGCGAGCCCGCTCTCTCTCTCTCTCGTTTATCCGGTAAATACTCACGTCTTGCTCCGCGTTTTTCCCGGCCGCGTGAAAGATCGACTGCCTCTCAGATAATTTTCGCACGAACGACTGCGAGCTATTGAAATTCTTCGAATGCATCGCGCTTTTCTACATTCGAATTCCTCGCTCTCGACGCGCTTTTTTTTCAAATTTAATCAACGGCCACTAATCGCGCCCAGCTTTCTTTTTTCGCTTTCATCAGGCCAGTAGATTACACTTCATTCGTCCAAGTCATGGATACCCCGCGAGCAATTCAATTTTACACTGGTTGCCTCGGTTTGGAAAAAGAAGTGAAATCAATAGCTGGCAAGGTTGCTCTATCGGAAAGAAGTACGCACGAGCGTTGCACCGGCCCGCAGCGATTGAAATTCCGGAGACGCATCGCTTTTAAAAGCGGCCTCGAGGGAGAGAGAGAGAGAGAGAGAGAGAATCGCGTAGAAATGGCTCTTAATTACAGCGATCCCATTGAATTTGGCCGTCGCCGGCTCCCTTCTCGTGGCGCACGTGGCCCCGCTCGTACGCGTAGCGCCGCAAGAGTGTTTCTCGCTCGACCCCCCTCGCCTCGCGCTTGCACCCGCGCACTTGGATCTTGGATACATACAAACACAACCCTCCTCCCCCCCGTCGCTCGCGTAGCATCCACTCTGGGATTTTGCCGCAAATTCCTCCGTGTTCTGTGAATAATTGGCCAGTTCGACCCCCCCCCCCCCCCCTCACAACAGAAATACACAGAGTAATTGTGGGCTTTTGCGATTTTCCGTCTCGTCGAGCGAGTCATCTTCCTATTTTTCCGAGACATTCGATACGTCGGGCGTGCTCTGCTTGACTTGTCAACTTTAGATGCGGGGCGCAACGCCGAGTCCAAATCAAAAGTCCCCGTGAAATTCTCTTATATTGAATAGCTTGATATATTGCCTCGGAAAGTGCGGCGTAATTGCTTTTCCAACTGCAATCGCGTACAGGGGATTTAAAAATTGGTCCCTTTTTTCGCATTCATTCATTTTCATCGGTCTTTTGCGAATTATATTCAGACATTGTCAGTCAACAGCGTAGCTAATTCAAAAAATATCAATTGCCAACAACCGATGAAGATTTCCTCGCACTTATAAAGTATGAGTCTGCAACTGAGAAGAGTGAAAAAAGATATACTCGTAAATTAGGACCGTTATTATCGATTGAAATTCAGCTCTTTACATGCTGATAATCCTTATCGACGATAAGTCTGCAATCTCGGCGCGTTTTTACGACAGCAGCACACTGCGGAAGTACCCCCTCGAGATGGCAGCTAGCAAGCGGGCGCAGGATGTTGAAATATCTCATCGCGGCGATTGTAATATCGAGCGATCGATAAACCGCTGGTGGGCGTATGAGCGAGCTTTGTGCCGACAGAGATGAGCATCGCGATGACAAAAGCCTACGCGAAAAAGAACCACAGGAATATAGATCCAAAAGAAGGAATCAGCAGAGGGTGAAAAAACCAATCCGTAGGGCGTATTGCTGCGTGATTTCTGGGGCTAGGAATTGATTCCCTTTTTTTTTAGGTCGCGTCATTTATATAACGTTATCGGAAAATACACAAACATCAATCACATTCTTGCTGAGCAAAATGAAATACCGAAAATAGATAAATTGTTGTCAAAATTTGAAATCAATAGAAAAAAATATATATCTGCTGGACGCAACGTTGGATAAGTGCGGGATTACATTACCGCCAAAAGGTCGATCTGTAGATCGCGAGAGAAATGTTTTGGGCTTACACTACGTACTCTAAAGTAGCAGCGATGCTTTACTGCATCACTACTGTGACGGAATGCGAGCGAAGTGAGTAGACAGGCACAGCTAGTAAGAAACAGCTCAACCAATGCGTCGGCTATTCCTTTTGCCCTTGTTCTATTGTTCTAAATCCTTATGATAGCGTATCAATGAGTTATGGTCATAGCAGCAGTCGAAGGAAAGAAGACCGTTTCTTCATAAAACTATAAACGCAGATGCGCCTTGACCACTGGCGAAAACCCCTAATTTTCCTTACATTGTACACCTATGTTAGAAACGGATCCAAATGAACGTAGCAGTAATTAGACAGAAAGACGTCCTCGTGTAACAGTCAAAACAACAAAAAGCGTGTGTACGAAAAACATGAGTAACTCAGTGAACAAAATCTCATTACCTCGATAAGCAATATCCAATCCAGTATTCTCATCTATTAAACGTTGTACTGCATATACGTGATCGATAGAATTTATTGTACTGGCATTTACGTTGTGAGAAAATGAGGAAAGTATATCATCGTCACCATCCGCTTTCATTTTAGGTAGGAAATAAAAAAATTTGAATGCCACATCCTCCTCCGTGGCTTCACTCGTTATCATGCAGCAAAGCTGCGAGAGTAAAGAAAAAAGTAGCGAGCGGAAATAGCGAGGCGGATAGCGGAACGTACCGACGACACACTGACCTCGGATGTTTGGCCGAAAAAGTCCTCAGTAGTACGCGCACGAAACAATCCTTAAATTAACAAAGCCATTACGACAATGCGCTTGATATATTTTAACCACGTTATATTTTGTGAACCTTCACTTTGTATTTAGCATCATTAATTTCCAAGCTTTCGACATAAGCAAGCTTAAAATTGGACATTTGCTCTTCAACGAAATTCGAATTTATCATTATTCTTGTTCGCCTGTTCCCGACAACGACTATCTAAAAAATGTCAGGCCAGTAAAGCCGTTACGGCCCTTCACTGGCTCAACGTATATAGATACAGGTACTATTCTGAAAATTAGACTAGGAAGTTGCTTGAATTTCAAATGACGTTTTTTAGTTACACGTCACGTACGTGAGTTTCATTCTTCGAATATGCACATCACGAAGATTTATTCTGACACGCAACTCATTGTCCGTTTACTCCCACTGTTTGGCGTGAAACTTTTTCAAATGCAATAACCTCATTTGAACCCGTTGCGCACATTATTAATTGCGCCGTAGTGCAATAATAGGTCGAAATTTCGTTGCCAACAGTAGAACGGGGACATTTGTATGTACAGCACAGATTGCAGGTTGAAAGGAAAAACGCACGTACAAAAGTCAGAAGCCACGAGAGAAAAGGCAAGCAGCCTTGTCGGGTGCAAGGAGGGAGGGAAGGGGCGCGCGCGTAATCTAATAACGAGTTTTTGTTGGTCTATGGACGTCGCTGGGCTTGCCTGCGTATCGCTCGGGCACGCGTCCCGTGAATAGCGAGAGCGAGTTGAAGGGTGTCGCCCCATAGTATCGCCGTGTATCCACGAGTCGCGCGAGCTTGGCTATTGTGCATTAGCATCCCATTCAGGCCCGGTAATCGAATCCCGCGAGAGATAGCCGAGTTCCGCGGGGGATTTGCGGTCGACTTCCGTCCTTGCCGGCTCACCCCCTCCCTTCCCATAACATTTCCATTTCCGTTCCCAAGGATGCATGTACTTATTGCCTTTTAGCCGGGCACAGATCAGCTGGATTTTATGCACAATCAGAAGGCCGGTAGAGCACTGACCAAAGAAAAAACAAAACTCCACGATTCTTGCTAAGTAGATGTATGCTATAGAAGATCGATCGATACTCGATAATATAGAGAGATATTTTATGTTTGGTGGCTTTTTTTTTCTCTTTGCAAAGCTCTCGCCACCCCAAGCTATTTATCACGATACGCGTGTGTATATTCGGGGGCTCGCCCGACGGCTATGTAGAGTATCTTTAACCGCCTTATCTCCACCTCCACTGCTACTGCCAGCGTATGCTAAATTGAATATGAAATTATGCAGCTTATCGAGCCGCCATACGGATGACTGCCGAGATAATGCAGCCGTTATGACAGGTTTAACCCTCGATGGCATTACAGTTTTTTTAGCATTCTCAATCCATTTATTGCCGATTGATTTTAAATCTGCATTTTAATAAAGCCGTCACTCACCTGTCTTTACTTGATACTTGAGTGTCGTCGAGCAGTCGACGAGCAGCTGCTGCAATGTTACGCCGGTGTCCGGGATCTCGAGGTCCAACAGTCGCACCATCTCGTCAGGATGGTGAAACTCGAGCACCTTCGAGTTTCGGTCGTTCTGATTCTTAATGTAGTCGACGAGTATGTCGACTACCTTCATGAGGAACTCTTTGGTGGCCGGGAATCCCTCTGCATTTTGCGGCAGGATATCTAAGCCAATCGGAAGAGAGAAAAAAAAAGTAAGCTCAACAAGTTATCGCGACAGAATGGGAGCTGGTCAAGCTACCAAAATGTCATTATTAGAAATAGGAAGCTAGTAGGCAAACAATAGGCGCCATTTCAAACTTTCGTGCCCAATATGAAATGAATGCGCTACGATTGCTCGGCTCACCGTGTTTGTTTCTGATGCGATGCTATCGCTGGCTTTCAGAATGGCATCACCTCATCAAACAATTGAAAGTATAGACCTCAATTGACACACTCTCACTTGTTTGGTGGTATGAGGCCATCTTTTACTCCTCAGCCTGGCCGTTGACCTTCCAACCTGGTGTTCGATTCCCACTAACTACAACTATTCTACGGCTCGCTTTGAAAGAAGAATGGCACCGATAATAAAAATCTGTTCGCCAGCACGTTTCTTCCAGAGGAAGCCAAAAGTACGTCAAATGCAGAGAATCACTTTAATGCGCAGGCAAACAAGTATGATGCAGTAATTATTTGGCGAGGTCGTTTCAATATAGCGGAAGAGAGACGAGTACGAGTACGAGAGAAAAGGGCAGGGAACAAAATAGGAGGGTATTTATTTGTAAGATGGGGCTTGATCGGTCGGTCGGACGAGGAAAATCCCTGGGCTTCTTTGCCGGAGATCCGGCTAATCTCGCCCCATCAATCTAACGTCTGGAGGATCGCGCGCGCTCATGTTTCCCAGCGCTTATATAGTTTTAACGAAAAGGCAGATAAAGAGAGAACCTTATTTAATGCTGCTTTTTCCTCGGAGTGACAGTCACTTATTTAATAGGCCCTCGAGCGTCGTGATTCTCAATTGAAATTCATACGGAGAGCGCGGAATAACGTCACTTTACGCATGATCAATATTTACCGATAGCCGTAAAGCAGCCCGCCCGCGGCAAAGCTAGAGTCAACTATAAACCGGATGTAATGCGCGCGCGCAACAAATTTGCACTAAATCTTGGAGAGTCTGGCGCTAGAATGCCAGCTGCGGCGCGCGATCCAACTTAAATCAGAGCCGTGTCGGGGGAGCAGTAGCGTTCGCTGTAGCAATTAGCCGAGCCGATTTATGCGAGCGCGAGATTACAGCCGATCAGCTGATTATGCGGAGCAGACTTGGTCGAAAAGAACGCGCGAGCTCGAGGGCTCGCGAATGTACTCGTAATAGAGGCGCGCAGTCGGGCGCCGGATAAGAATGCGCGCCCGAAGATACAGTGCCACTTTTATCGGCGTTCCAACACGCGCCCGAGTGTCAATATGTACGCGCAAAGTAAAGCGAGCTAAGTGTGCGCGAGGCGAGAACCCTTCGGTGCCCGTGTGGTGATGTAATCTGTCGTCTCTGAGCTCTCGAACTCTTCAGACTAATTCTAAATCCTCGATTATTATGCACCCCTTCGGGTCGCGTTCGCTCTCTCTCTCTCTCTCTCTCTCTCTCTCTCTCTCTCTCTCTCTCTCTCTCTCTCTTCTGTCAAAACTCACGGAATCTGTGTCGACACGCCAGCACGTCGCTTATTGATTTCGATCGGGACACTGGTTTATTTCGACTGGCCAAACACTGATAAAGAAGCCCCCGGCTGTTTTAAATTGCATTCAAAAGTATCGTCGAAGGAAGGCTAAAAGTACATTCGCGTGGTGTGCAGTATTGTGAAGCACGCACATATAATACGGCTAGGCACGTCTAGCGAGTTGTCAAGCAGAAAGGCATTCCGTGAGAGCTGGATAAATCCCAAGAAATAGTTTCTCACCCGAATACTTGAGGTTGCAGTGCTCTTTGGAGAGCGAATATGTGTTTTCGGAGCCCATGAGTCTGGTGGGTGAATGTGTTCTGGCAAAGTTCTGAAATTCACACAAGCAATATACGTTAAGCTGGAAAAATAAAGTTTCGCTCGATATATTATGTACTCATGTATCCGCCGCCATATATATTTGACAACTTACAAAAAAATGCATAAAAATCAAATGTAAATTGAAGGTAAATCCAAGAGGCAAATAGTACAGTGTATACAGCAAGGCTCAGGCAACAATAGAAGCAAGGGAAAAGGGTAAATGCGAAAAAATTTTGAGTAATGTGGCGAGATAGAAGAAATGCGAAAGAAAGACAGAGATGGATAATGCGTGGGTCTTACATATAAGTATGCCTTGATCGCTGTTACTTTAATGCCGAGCATTTGCACATTGATATTGTCCATGACTCTGCAGTGCCCCTGGACTCAGATCCCTACAACAGTCAACAACAGATTTCGTCTACAGTCTCTTGGTTCCGAGCGCTAGCTAAGATTTTGCGCGTTTCACAATTGCTTGTTCCACATCTCAAAGTGCCAGAGGCAATATAGAGCACCGTTGGAGCACAATAGACCGAGCGACCAAGGAAACGTTAAAATCGTTCTCTGTCTTTTTTATTGCTCGAAGATCTCGACAGAGCTTAATCGGTTAATGCATAATCGATAGTTGAGAGCAATGAGGCGTGCTCTTCAAATGGATTTATGTTGATGGATACGATCAATAGTAATTAGACAGCTATACGGAATGTTCCTGTCCTCTTGCTAATTAATGCGGAATGCAAACCGTAACTTCTTTTATTCCGCAAACTGGCTATTTTCCACTGCACAAGTCGCCGAGCTATATGTGCAAGGCATTTTGCACTATATACGTATGTAGTCTCGCAGTCGAGTATCGAAATCCAAAATGGCGCGCGCAACGTATAGCGGTAGAAATGTAGTGTGACGTGACTCAGGCATCGCCCAAACAATTATCTCATTTTTTAACCGAGCTAATCCAACTATCGTGCGAATTCGAGAGTCAATGTTCGTCCGTGTTCGATGTTCAATGAGGCACGCCGAACAATTGTATTACGTTCTCAGCGCTAACGTGCGCAGCAACCGATATCAGTTGAAGGACGCACTATCGACTGGGTATTCAGGGTTTGCTGAAAAATTACGCCGCGCGGATTATTTGGCTCGAGGACAGCGCTAAAATAGTGAACCAACAAAAGTTGATGGCTTCAACTACTAAACGGTAGATTTCATGCGCAATCATACTCCGAGTGATACGGTTCCTCTTTAGAGAATAGAATACATCATAAGTTTGTGTGCAAATGTGGCATTGGAAAGAAATACGTTTGATTTTTAATGACCAATAAGAAGCGACAGGATTTAACGATTAACTAGGATAAGGTGTAACTTCGAATTGCTAATGTGAAATCGTAAATTTGAGGAGATTTGAAGGCTTTGTGGTTGGAGTGCAGTTGGTAAATTCCTTTCCAGGGATAGCCATTAACTGATTAAATTGTCATTTTTTGTTCGAGGGAAAACTCTTGAAATAAAATTACTATCTAAGAGATTAGCGACGGGCTACTAACGTTATGAACTCGACAGTTAACTAAAAGTTACTACACAACTGACTGTACAAATTTACACTGGTGATAGTATGTGAAACTGAAGGTTGTGGCAAAACAAAAGCTCTGTAGATGATGAAGTTGTCATTGTAAAATGTACGAAATCTCTGAGGGAGGGTTGAAAAAGTGGTATTTGATAGAGGTCATAGAAATAGGATAAGTGGCGGGTTAGAACGAACCTGTCCTGCCTTCCGTCCTTTCGAGCGGCTGCGTAGGTGCTCCTCCACTGGACTGGCCGCAGTCTCTCGTTCTAACCAGTATCTATATGTAGCGTCAGGTACACGGGTTAGCGAGAAGGGATGGTAAGAGAAAGAGAGAGTAGAATCGACTCGGGGTCGGAAAAAGCGAGAGAGAGAAAGAGAGAGAGAGAGACAGACAGACAGACAGATAGAGCGGCAGCGGTGGCGGTAGCAGCGGCGGCGACGACAGCGTCGACGGCGAACGGGCTTTGGGGTGGGCTCGCGCGGGACTGAAAGCTCGAAGGGAAGGAAGCCGCGAGCAAGAGCCGGGGTGGCGCTCCGGCGGCTGACCCACTTTCGGGTAGGCGTGGCTCCCACGACGCCTACGAGCCAATGGCGTCAGCACTCATCCCCCGCGTCCAGCCGCCAGCACCCATCCCCGGTGATCCTCGAGCACGTGTACTCTCTATCCGTGCTGTCCACGCCGCTGAGATATCGCCACAGCGATTTCACTACTTCGAACGAGATGTGTGTATGCCTATGTACAGCGCCGAATGACGTGTGCCCCACCACCAATCCTCCCGATACTTTTACTGTTGCGTCACTCTCCCCTCGCTCGCGATTGTCCGATCATGCACTTTGTGCTAGTATGCGGCTTATAATGACGTTTTTAGATACTATAATATGCCGATTGCGTACTCCACATGCGAGCAACGAGCACCGATCTATTTTCCGAGCCACGCCAGAGTCGACGACTGACAGCGAGGAGCTTGCGAGCAGCTATTACCTCTTTCGCTTCGTTCGTCCCTCGTAATTTATGCTCTCTACTTTTTACACCGCCATTTTCACTTGCGTAACTTGCACCTGCGAACTCCTGACTTTTAGTACAGTGTTATATCTCTCCGCCATTCCCTCTGTGCCTGATCAGAGCGTATTTTCAAAATAACAATCATTTCTCTAAATCTCCCATGAAGCGTTGCATCACAAATCTTCGATTCATTATCCGACGGAAATTACAAAGTACTTTTCGCGTTAGTAGGCAATAATTTTGAAAATAATCTTCTCTTTTACCTTGCGACTTATATAGCCATTAGTCCCCAAATCAAATACAGCAATTATGTCATCTTCAACGTACGTCGCAAATATAAAGTTTTGCAAAAATTAAACGCCACATCTGAACAACCGACCCACGTGCAACTGCCCTCGAAAGTTTATAAGCCTGTAAAATCGAGGCCAACTCAAAAACTTTTTCGTAAGCGCTTTACGAGAGTGAACTTTACTGTTTCACGTCCAAGTTTCGCAAGCATCTTTGACACGTAGAAAGTAACCTCTCGAGCTTTCGCATATTTTTTTTTTACTCAGACTGAAAATAAATAAATCTGGAAAATAATGCTGGTATCTGTTGGTGCTGTAACATTACATTTTAAATGATATTCGATAAGGGTGAATGGAAAATAATCTCACGGTGAAAGAAAAGAATAGAGTTAGCGAAGGAAAAAATTGGTATCCTCGACGACGAGTGACGGATAGTCTCATTAGGCAATAGCGTGAAGAAGCCAGCAGAGCGTATGTGGGCCAGCGTGATTTATCCGGCGACTTCGTACACAGTCACCCACGTCAGTCTTGGCACAGAGCCGTGCAACAGCGAGGCAGAAAAAAACGCGAGTAAGGAAAGGGGAGGAAGGTAAACGTCGCCAGCGATGCGTTCTCTCATCTTGCTGCCGACTCTTTCTTTTTCTCACTCGCAACTTAGCGGGGGTTGGGGTTGCTGGAGGAGGGCCTCGCGCAAAATGGACGTCAGCCAATGAGGTGGCGCCGCGAGCAGCATGGCCGCCGGAGAGGATTTGATCAATACGAGCGCGCGCGGCCTTCGCACGGGTGAGGGACGCGAGCGGCAGAGACCTCGAGCGCGCACGAGACCCGAAAACTTTTGCAAACGCGCCCACCCGCGGCACTCGTTTCCTTGCCACTATCCCTTCGCCCGTGTACCCGTTTTTTCTCGTCCTCTTTCTGCTAGCCTCCGTCGGAAAATGTGCTCGAGTGATAGCTTGCTGGCTCTCGTTTTCATTAGGAGTGCTAATGTCGGACGCTGCTTGGCAAAAAGCCTGTTTACTCTATCTCTTTACCAACGAAATTTCGTCATTTTCTTTTTTATCGTGTGCAGCTGCTCGAGCGCTTTTTTAAAGATTGAATTGCTGGCGTTTAATTGCCGATGTCGCAGATGCCAGGGAAACTAATATTCCAGCGAGGCGAAATCTCTCGTAAAAAGTTTACCTTCATTATTTCACGAGAAACTTCTCCCTAACAACGATCTAACGAACTTTCTGATAAGTAGAGAAAAAGATCTTCCTCTCTTGGCCCTGGAGCCACGCGCGAACCGAAAAGTTTTATCATCCCAGGATGAAAAACAAGCAGCAGAAAGTGAGGCAGCGGTTTTCTCCTGCGATTCGACGAAAGTTCGAGGCCGCCTGCCAAGTCACAGAGAATGATTTAATGGTCTCGACAATGCTCGTTAATTTTTTCATTGTTTATGAAGGGTTTTCAATTGAAAAAAAGCACACATTTATTCAAGCATTTTATTGGGAAAACGCTACACGTCTTCGCTTTAGAATCCGCTGTTGTGCCGCTAAGAAGTAAAGCTTCCCTGAGCTCATTATCATTTTAAATGAAGCCTGAAATCCTTATGAGCGTTACACTAACGCTGTTAAAACTTGAATACGCCTATAAAAATGTAACGACGTTGAACGCACTTTGTTTTTGTAAATATGTACTTTTTCAGTTATGCTAAGCTGACAACAAGATAGAGAAATTATATAAAAAAGCTTTCCCAAGATCCATATTCCGGCTCGATTTGATTGAAATCGCGAATAAACAATAGAAATCATTCGTGATGGGCGATAAAAAAAATATTCTTGACTACCCTGTTTTGGAAAACTTTCGTGCATTAAAACCAACATTTATGTTGAATTTGCCTTAAATAGCATAATAATTTTCATTTATGTCATCGGTTCCTCACTATTGTGACAGAGATTTGATATCTATAATACAATCCGTCAATGCAGGTACCTAAATATTGCAACCTCACTTGAATGTATTGTTGGAACTGTCTATCTGACTTAACTTATTACATTTATTCGCCGCTACATGTTTTTATCCTTTTTATCCATCGTGCATAACTTGCAATATCTACAATGTAAGTACTTATGTTCATTTTTTGGATACTTCTAACTCTTTTAAAAATTTGATTACCAAGTTCAGTCAGAATTTGTTTTTGAATAGTAGAATATTGTTAATTTTTTAAAGTATTTTAGCTATTATATATAAGGGATTGTGGTGTGCGATAATATTATGATTAAATATGTATAGACCTCTAAAATTATAGCTTTCTATTAGACAAATGCAATCAATTTTGTGAAATTCAGCTGTGACACTCATTTTGTAAAAGACATATACATACACAAACACACACCCGTGTGTGTTTTTCAATAATATGTGAATTATTACTAAATACTTTATAGAAACTCAGCGAGGATTCAGGTTATATACCACCAAACTTAATCGTTTTATCTATGATTGTAGAGTTTTAATTCACTTAATTTGTAAAAAAATTTTAATTATATAGTACTTAATATTATGTAAATGACACCAGAAAAACTTACCAATTTTGAGCTTTGAAGAAAAAACAATTATTAATCAAAATGAATAATTGAAATAATGGTAGAATCTCTTGGTTCAATAGATGCTACGTATGATTTCGAAGAAAATAGCTAACTTCTTTTTACAAATATAGCTTTGTTTTACATTGCTCATAATTTGTTTTTGCGCCAGTAAGTGGTAAGTTGTATTATCTCTATTGTTCTCAATTATTTTTTATCAAAGTTCTGTCAATTATTTTGTATTCTTATTACGTCATATTACAAACGCTTGAAAATTCAGTTAAATTCTATTAATTTTTATAAAAATTTATTTAGAAAACTTTTAATAGAGTATATCATATAATAAAATAATTTATTTCTACAACTTTTAAGTCTCAAATCATAGTGCAAATAAGTGACTTGATAGAGTGAGTTCAAAGTTTTCATAGCTCAGTTAACTCAAATGATAATTCATATAACTGATTTGCGGATGATAAAGAGTGTATTTATTGTATTATCTTTGCATTCTTCTTGTTAACTAGAAGGCAAGATGAAAAATTTATATAATTAATTTTAAAAATTTAGTATAAGATGGATTTTTTTATGTTTTTTACATAAAACATATAGTATCATTGCATTTCGTTATTGTGAACAACTGTAATTTAAAAACATAACAATGCTATAGTATTATAAGCTTATGAAGTTCATATATTGCAATAGTTTTAATCTTTTAATTTTAGTTTAGATAACAAAATACCAGACAAACTTTATTTATCAAGAAAAAGGGATTACTTAAAAAATATACTAGAAAGTGTGAAATCTTTGATAATATTGCATTACTATATGTGACACAACTATATGAAAGTGTTATGAAACCAAATCTCTAAAACTATTAAAATATATTAGAACCTTTTTTCAAAACGTAAATTTATAAACCCTTGATAATTTTTACACTACTATAGAAAAGTTTGTACTCAGTATCATAATATACAGTAAATTGTTTATAGGTGTTATTGTAAGATTTCAATTTCGTCTTTTGTCTAAGACTGAATAAGAAGTTATCTTGGTTTCAAATAAAACTAAAAATATTTATATACGTTAAATTGAATTAATCTTTTCAAAATGATTGAAACTTTGTCTGTAATTTCTTTTTACAAAGCCTATGAATATAATTTTGTTACAACCAGTCAATGAACATGCCATTATTATCCTACATGAGAGCTTACAGATGTACCACAAGACATGTATGGATTATGACATTGTCGCATTGTCTATAGTAGTTACAGGGAGATATGTAAACCGGAAATACCTTAGCGCTACCGGCTATTTTCGCGGTATCATGGATGCAAGCAGTGGCAATGGTAGTGGATACTGGTGCTGCCTGGTATTGATTTGCCATCACTTTCAGATGACGCCGAAAGAGGGAGGACGAGATAGTAGTGGGTGTGGGCTACACGAGGCCTCTCCCTTCTCCTTAACCAAGGGTGTCCTTCTACGGACAGGGTGCTCAGGCCACGCGCCGAGCATGCGCGATGCCATTACCGTTTGCTTCAAACAACGCGCTTAGCCTTTATTCTGCTCAGTTTTGCCGAAGCTCCCTCAGGGGTAAGATATACTGCATACTTTACTGACTCTACTTCAATTGAATATTGACAGTGTATTATCGTCGGATAATTCCCTGAAAAGTGACGAGGTTGGCTTTCAGAATTATATATTTATAAGGAAAGAGCAATTGCAATCCAGTTCAAGCACCAAATATTGACTTTGGGTAAGCCTTATAATTTATCTTTACACTGAAAAATACAGGACATATGAATTTGTTATGGTATTATTCATTTATTGGCTATGAAAATTTTGAAACGAATGAATGTACGAATAAAGTACATACATCATTATACTGGTTATTTTCTTTTTTCTTTCTTTCTTTTTTTAAAAAATTTTCTGATTATCCAGTTCTTTCGACAACTTATATTTTCGCCATTTATCGTAATTAATGAATAAGGTTTTCTAAAACAATAATAGATTATTTTTAATTTTGATGTGCAGAATAGCTGATTTAACAGAAGAATAATCATCATGGTATCGTTACCCAGATTCAACATTGAGCCTCCAAGACATTCGAGAAATAGAAATGGAAAGAATCTGTATATTAACAGACATTGCATATTCCAAATTACTTAAAGTCCAGATCGTTTATTTTTATTAATGCGTTTATGTTTATTGTGAAAATTTGTAATATTATAACTAACGTATTTTAGGACTTGTTATAAAAATTAAAAAGAAGAAGTATACTTATCTGTACAAACAAAATGTGTGTTATGCACAGATAAAAATAATATGATAGCATATGAATTAACATATCCTATAGAGTTAGTAAAATTTATCTAGATAATTTTATCTGGGTAAAATAGTTTACTTTTTCTATTAAATACTTTAAACTATAGGTATATAGAATAATAATCGATATTACCTCATACTAAAAATTTATATTCAAGAGTTTTGATTTGACATAGTATATAATTAACTTTAGATTAATGTTCAAGTTATAGAATATGTATAAACATGTGCCATACAACTATATGTATCGAGAATCTATCAACATTTAATCAATATACTAATATTGCTGGCGTTTTTGTAGTTATTTTTAGGCTTAAGAATGTCCACTTTTGCCTAGTTCATACGACGTAATCATCAAATGTGATTTCAAAATTTGTTTAGTATTTAAAAATTGCAATTTGAAAAGTTAAAAAAAATTTATTAATTCAGTGATAATTTTCACAGTATATAACATTTTTAATTTTACGACGGATGAACTCGGCAAGTGAGAACTATGTGTGTATTATTATGCAATAATCTATTTCGAAACCGGGCGCGATGTGCAAAATCGGCGGTTATTCCATATTGTTTATCGTGTAGTTGCCGTGTAACATAATAGTGAATGATTGTTTAAAACGTATGAAATCGTAATTTTTACATGTAATTATCAGCAAAATCAACGTCTTCCGACTTGTACATAAAAAATTAAATATAAGATAACGGAATAGATCATTTATTGTAGTAACTGTCGAACTTCTATATAAGATAAATTATGACAGTATAAAAGATTCTGCAACATTTTTTTTCAGAAGATTGTTTGCTAGTGATAGATAAGATAAACTAAAGTTATGATAAACAAGTTTTTTAACCATTTATTTATAAAAATGTTGTGTAAGGACAATAAATCATAGATGATACATACTCTAAGAATGGTATTCATTTGCATTTAAAGTAGGAGTACACGCAGATATTTAAAAATGCATATTTTATACATAATAATATAAGACTATTGAAATAACTTTCAATTTTAGATGCTGTCTCTGACAATAATTAGAGTAAGTCAAAGAATCGAATTAAGTGAAAATAATTGTGGTAACTTTAAGATTAGCTTGCTTCTAATTAAAAGTTATTGAATAATTTTGTATCAGATCACTGATACTGAAGCTGCATATGTACAAGGCGATTTTTCTTCAACACTTTACATTATTTACTTGCTTGTTACAGATGTACCGCTGCTTGTGAATGTACATTAAAGAATAAAGAAATAATAAAATAGTATTGTAAAAAGTCATAGTTATAAACTCTTTATTGTTAATAATGATTCTAAACCTTTAATATTTACCCCAATTAATCTATAATAAATCTATCGTTAATAAATGAAATATAATAGTTCCTTTTTTAATCGATATTAGAAGATGTGACTACTCTTTAATGTTTTTATTCTTATAAATAACAAAAAGATTTTATTTTCAATGCTCTTTACCTGACTTATTATTTTTGTTATTTATGAAAACATTCAATTTAATGCACTACTGACAGTCAGCAAATGCAGTTTACTAATTTTTTGTGCAATTTTACATTCGAAATGATGTAAAATTTACATGTCTTACTGAATAAGATTATCAGAACTTTATTAGTAATACCAAATTGATTAATTTCTTATTCCAAATCATGGTCAATTATATACAAACATCATCGTAAAATTAGTTATCTAAAAAATTCAATTTATGTTGAGAATTAAACAAATAATCTAATATAGAAACTTATTTCTTTATTATAAGCTATAATACATGTGAAGTTATCAAAAATATAAATTAGCCTAAAGTATCTTTATTCGTAAAGTTATTAAGCTTTCTGCTACACACAAATAGATGCAACTACTTGGTGAAAACAAGTAATTATCTCCATGATTTATGGTGACTTTTATGTTACTGCTGATGTTTTTGCAATAGATAACTAATTATTTTAGAAGCTATAACTAGTTTTTCTGTGATAACTTTTTTTGCTTTATAAGGATCATTAAGTTGTTATAATTTATAATCAATCATGAATAAATAATGTAATAACTTACATTATAAAATTTTTATAAGTACCTAGTAAATCAATTCTTACATAAATTTTACAACAGTTGTCAGTTAATATGATAAGCTTGTGATTATTAGTCTTTTAGACTATCTTTTTAGAATTAGAGATGTCCAGTCAATTATTTAATAATGCTAATTCCTGTAGTTTTTTTATTACTACGTACAATAGATTTTCTAGTTATGATTTAAAATATTTTTAATTATATAGAAATATGTAGACTTTTAATCCACACTCAAATACACGAATTATGCAAAGATATGCGAGCTAGGCTCAACAATAGAAAGTGAGCCATCTTGCGATTTCGATGGCTAAATAGTAGTCGTTTTCCAAGTATCTAGAGTAATGAGGTGTACTTGTATAATATCTTGACAATGTGATAAAATTCTATATAAACATTTGGACAATTATATTTGTAAAGTAATACAGATTTTCGCAAAAAAAAATTCAGGAAGCGAATAGCAGTGAAATCAAAACATTCGGAACCATACTTCATTCAAGTGTAATATCGACGAATAAAGAAAATAAATTCATAATAACATTATCGATTATTTGATCAAACAAACAAATTTTGAAGGAATAATTCAGGCTGCAATGGGTACTACGTTTAATCGTTTGGAAAAATGGTGTAAAATATAATTTTTTGTGTGTAAGTGGTAGGTAGCTAGTGTATGCTGCTGTGATATTACTTCCTAATATCATCCAAATCAATTATCGTGACAATACTTATTAAAAGAATACACAAGTTTTCAAGTATAAAGCGAGAAGAGTACATTTTTAAACAATTATTACATTATCTACAATTTATTATATATTGTAATTATAAGTAACAGCCATTCTTTTTCTCAACAGAATAAAGAATTGTATAAATTTCCATCCAGTTAAACTTAAAACCTGCAATATATTATGTTTATTTTATATTTCTATTTTGTTATAGTTGCGGAAATATTATATTTATATATACTATGATAAACGTCTTATCGACTGATGGAAATGAACAAGAATTGATAGATCGCATCGACGAGCGAGTTTTATGATACGCCGGTAAATTACCATTGAAGAGTAAGATAAAAAATAGATAATTATTTGTTTTTGTCTAAGAAAGTTAATTAATGTTAGAAATTTATCGTTGAAATAATTATTTATATAATCAGAAAATTGGTCATTTCAAGAATATGTTTCTTTCTTTGCTAACGTCAATTGTCAAAATCAGCGAATATTGATTTCAATTTATTAGACTTTAAATAAATAATGGTAAAATAAAACGTTTATGTTTTTTCATTTATATATTTCTACAGGATACTATTCTATTTTGTATCATTAAAAAAAAGGACTGTATTTAGTTTTTCTCAGTAAATACGGATATAAGGGTACAGATGTAATGTAATGTTGAAAGTGGAACAAACGTGCAGAGAATCAATCGAAACCAGTAAATTATTTTTAAATAAACTGTCACAACAGTTGCGATATTATCTGTGAAAATATTTTAAACAATGATCTTTAATCGTGATGCTTTTCATTAAAGTAACCAAGCTGATTACATTATTAAATAAATTCTTAATTGTAATTTTGGAGGATAAGTAATAAATTTTCAATTTGTTTCTCACGAACGATATCGAATATTTATATATTTAGAATTTTATTATACAATGAAGTAACTTAATTATTGACTACTGAATATCATTGAATGTTCTACACATAATATTTACTATAGCTATAAAGAGACTTGTGAAAAAATTCTGAAGACAGAATTTCCCTTGAGGTTTCGTATTCCATCAAGAAAACGCAAAATTGTATTAATGTCACTGATGGCTTCACAACACACAAGCCCTAATCGAGTTAGCTGCACAATGTATTATCCTTACAATGATATCGCCAATAAGTCAGCCGCAATATAAGGAGTGGAGTCTCGATTCTTTGCCGCAGTTTGTCAGTATCCGTTGTCCAGAAGCCATCCACAGGTGTCATCTACTAAGTAAAGTAACAATCACTTTATTAAACCTTTAACTTGAAAGTTGAATGATTGTCAAAAAATCTTTCCACGGTAAACCCATGTATTTAAATTTAAACGTTTAATATGACGTCACCCATAAGAAATACATTGTCCTCAATTTTAAACACTTCTAAACGTTTAAATTCAGCGACAATGTATTTCTTATGGGTGACGTCACAATTACACACTTAAAACGTTAAAATTTAAACTCATAGGATTTTAAGATTTTGCCGTGTTCGAGTTGAATTTTTTTAAAGATGACTTTGTTTGATTTTCATTGTTTCAATTGAAAATTCTATCAGTATTCGATTATATATTTTCAATATTTCAAGTAAAAACAATCTCGGGTTCTAATCTTATTCGATATTTATAATGAAATGAATCCTGTGTGTTTGGCAGGGCTATTTGTCACTGGTCATATTCAGAGTATAAAAGCGAAAGCTCGCTCGATCAGCCAGCATTCTAGCAGTTGCTTCTGTAGAAGGCGGTAAGTTTTTTCTAATGACAATACGTTGATGAGAGCGTCATTTTATAATTGAATAATATATTTTTGTTATTACAAAAATTGATAAAATATGAGAATGTAATGTAAACTTCCGTGATGTTTTATTATAAGCTTTTTAATAAAATTTATTGATCATTGTCTTCTCTGTTTCAGAAAACATAAGCACTCGAAAATGTTTACTACTCGATTTGCAATTCTTTTAATTGTGGCATTGATTATTACAATCATCAATGTTGATGCTGCATATCGTAAACCACCTTTCAACGGCAGCATTTTTGGCAAACGTGCCAATTCCATTTCTGGTAATCGTCATGTACTGATTTTAGAGATAAATGTCTTGTATATTTAAATAATCAATATAACTTTCGTTTGTTGTACAGATTATGATATGGCGACCCGAGCTATGGATGCTATATGTGAAATAGCAAGAGACAACTGCAATTCATGGTACTCGCATCAAGATTCTAACTAATACAATATCGTCGAAAAATTTAGTAGATTGAAAATAGTAGGTCGAGCGCTTGAAGTTGAGCATCAAGAAAATGTCGGTTTAGTTATGAATAATTAAATATCTAATATTTTAAAGAAAAATCATAAAAAAATATCAATTTCTTTGCTATAATTTCAAAGTAATTTAGTTCTATGATCCTTCGTCACTATGTATAAGCTATTATTTATTCAATAAAGATGTGATTCAAAAAAGTTCTTCATTTATCTTTCATCTTACATCGTCCTGAAATAATTCTCTCTGGCACCATTCATTATAATATTTTAAGTTGTGTTATTATTAAAAAGTTTTCTATGAACAGAAAGAACGATTACATGTTTAACTATAAACTTAAAAACGATCTTTTTCCAATAATTTTTATTCAGTATGAATACGTAAGAAAAATTAGTGATAATTACTATTTACTTCAATTGTAAAATATTTTTAATATATTGAAGAAAATTTTCGAAGAAAAAGAGAAGTTTTTTCTGACTGATAGCGCAATGTCAGATTATATCGATATAGAGACATATGGCTAGAACAGGGGCACTGACTTGCGGTACTTGTTAAAATAGAGTTTGAGATAAATTTACTCGATGTTTCATTTAAGGATTAATAAATAATAAAAAATTAAACTAAAATATATTAAATATTCGTAGTAATATAAATTGAAATAACATTTTTTTTCCGCTGAAATATAATGTTGATTGTTGTTTGTCTATCGAAGATACCTATGGCTCTCAACAGTTTTATAAATATTATACTTTATTCTTTCATGTTTAAATCAACAAAGACGTTAAACAAAATGCAAATGAACTATTTTATTGAGGTCGTATATATTCTACCTATAAAGATCAATGAACTAAAAAGAATATAAGGGCTCTGACCTGTATGATGTTTTACAAAAGTTACATGTAGCCGATATACGTTTTTTGAATAGGTAAAAAAGTTTTGTCCGCACCGTACAAATAATATCGGTAACTTTTGAAGTAACGTATGTGAAAATTAACTTTATTAATTAAATCAATTTTGTAATGATTTCACCACTTTTACCAAGGCCGTATTTGAATAATTTCAATTGATAATCTTCATAATTGGAATAAAAACTACAGGTATTGAATGTGTAAAGTGACTGGCAATATTTACTTGGGTTAAACGTGATAGCAATAAAATGGAAGTAAATTTGCCAATTCAAATTAAAGACGTGGATAAAATAAAGAGGGCATAATTTAGCACGTATATATGAGACATTTTAGTTTCATCAAGTTCAGTAGTTGTCAAACTTTGAACAAAATGGCAAAATTTGAAACTCTACATTTTCGGAAAGGTTCTTTTTTTAAAGGTAATGTATGAGTGTAATTTTTACAAAACTATGCAAGTCAGTTTCGTCTTTTAACTATATTTCTTTTACAATAGTTGTAGTAGTGGCAGCTATATTAGCTAAACTTGGAGTTTATGATGCAAATGCTGATGAAGTACCAGCTTTCTTTTTAAAGATTGCAAAACATGTTCCTCGTATTGGGAGAAGTGAATTAAATGAACATTCTTTCGATACAACTGTAAGATTTTATGATTGATCTATAACCATACTACTCTTTGTATATACTAAACAATTGTCATGTTCATGTATGAAATATAGGCTGATGATTACCATGCGAGTCAAATTTCAAAAAGAAAAATTGGTTTCCAATCAGGTCTGCTATTTAGATGGATATGTATCGATAGTTTATAAATGCTTCTGAATAAATTGTATATTTTTTCCTGTTGATGATAGAATTTGATACTCAAGCCTGGCAAAATTTTCCGCTAACAATTGAGGGTCCACCAGAATTATGGAGAACCTTGGCTGGATACAGTAAAGATTCACTGCATAAAGCATCGGTCGAGTGAGTTCAATGAAAATTAGAAAATTGACATGACTTTAAAGTGCAATTTTATTGTGTTGTCTAGTTTCAACAACGAATTATGGATGCGAGACAAAAGGACAAAAGTTCCACAAGTATGAAATAAATAATTATAGGTCAATAAAACTTTTAAAGTAATATTATTTTAATATTTACACACTATACGAGGTGATGGAAAAAATTGAATCAAAAATAAAATCAATATAACAAGAATATTGCAGATACTTTTTAGAAATGCATGGAGAGTTTCTTTCAACCTGAATAATGTTCCTCCGGTATTCACATCTCTGTTGTATACATTTGAATTACTTTCGTACCAACCGTAAGTAAATGAAGGCGGCTCGTTCCGACTAGTAGAATTAGTCGATAATAGAGTCCGACGAAAAATATGCGCGTCTGGCGTGAGATGGCGCCAGCGGCCCGAACGATTTTCTCCTCGTCTCCCTCTTCGCCACTCGTTTCACGAGCTCGAGAGCGCACTCTCTGCGAAACAATAAATTGTTGTAATTACAATAATTCTGGTGTTTAAGGCACAAACCCTTTGTGTTTATGTCGTCGCCTCGACGTCGCGAGCTGGCAATTTAAATTCATTACCAAGGGCTCTAAAACACCGGCATCGTGCCTCACTCTGCTGCTACCACGCTGACCTAAATACCGCAAGACGCAATCGAAGATTGTTTCGCGTTTGACACAAGCACCGTTAACTTGTCTATCGAAGCGTTTCAATTTGCACCGCGACGTACGCGCGCATCTAGTCGGTTCCTACACACTCCTCGACTCTTTTTAGCGGCTGCCATTACGATCGCCGAAAGCGCGCTCAAAATCTCTTATCATTAGCCGCGACGCTTTCGCAAACGCGGCGCTGTCGAAAGTTCGCGAGGTTGCGAATTTGCCGCGGCTTTCTCCTCGGCAAAGACAAATTTTATAGGCATACATAAAATTTGCCAATCGGTCGAAGCGTTGCCACTGCAGGTCGCATCTAAAATTCAAAGCGCAGCGTGGCTGCGGCGCGCGCGCGCGCGCGAGATAGCGAACGGCGATTCCCCGAAAAATCGTAAAGAGAAAAAAGGCTACGGCAGCCGGGCCGCTGTGCAGAAGACAATAAAAAGCCTCGCCGATAATGATTGCGTCGGGGAAAACGCGCACGCGAGCGCGGATTTTCCAACGGCGCGTTTTCGCGTCGGGCTGCCGTTACAGATGTTTTTTTTTTGTTTTGCTTTGTTTTTTTTTCCGTTCTTTGATCGTTGCTCGCGTGCGCACTGCAGCGCGTAGCATAATGAAACGAAACTCTATGGGTGAGAGACATTTAAATGTTGCTATTGGATTTGAAAGCACAGTCATATATACGATCGCGTTCGACATGTCTGCGCTTATATCTCTTGCAATTCCAAATGAACTTCTGGGAATTCTTTGCGCAGTGATCGACTGATTTTTTGTTATCGTTGTAGCTGCATGTAAGCCAGACTGAACTGCGGATAATAACCGTATACATGGTTGGTTCACGCCGAAGAAAGCATGATTGATTGAATAACGACTTATCGGAAACGTCATTGAAAAACTGCTCCACCGCAACCCTAATTTATTCAGCAAGTACAGAGACATTGTAATGACGAATGCGAATGACTCTTATAGTTGAATAACTGAATTGTGCGGTAGAATTGCGGGGTCGCGCGGCACCCTGAAAAATTGCAAGTGCGGCTCGGTTCTTTTAGCGGCAGGCTCGCGCGCTCCCGTGTATATCTATATATGTGCGTGTAACGTGCATGTGGGCACTTGGCAAGTGCATATAGAGTAACGATCGCCTCGCGGCCAGAGGCTCGCTCGAGCGGTCGTTAAAATTTTCCGGGAACCATTCGCTCTGTCCCTTACTGCACTCTCCTCTGGACGCTCGCGCGCACCTCGTACGTAGACACGAACATTTACGTATACGTATAGCCACACACACCGCGGCTAATTATTATTCCTTTCGCGTGGGGGACGCGCGCGAATTTTGTCCCGTAACTCTCTCTCCCTTGCTCTCCTTCACGCGCGCGCCCGCGCGTCATTTCGAGAATTCGCAAAAGTCCGTCGCACGTCACAAAAGCGAGCCGAGAAACCCGCTGGCGAGGCTTTCCGCGCGGCGACTCTCGCACCTAGCAATTTTACGGAAACCGCACGTAACGCCTCCTGTCTATGTCTCTATCTCGCTCGCTTCTCTTGTCTATGCGTTGCGCAACGCATCGCCACGCGAGAGCCGTGCACCAATTTATGGATTTTCTCGTGGCGACCCCGCGACACTTTTTCCGCAATGCCCGCACCGAATTGCCCCTCGCACGCGCACAGCTCGAGCAATTAACGCCGGAAAAAAAAAATCCGACTACGGCTGCGTGTAGAAAAACCGTGTTCGCATGAATTTTCCGTTCCTTTACGTGTCGGCGTCACAGAAAATACGTCCACGAGCTGAGAGGCACTTGACAGAGCTACATCATTAAATTTTTTTTCTACCGGTAAAATTACTTTATCCAATCTTGATTTGTTCTTTACTACATTGAAAAGCTGAATAAGAGTCTTCCTGAATAATTTGCTAGCAATAGTAAAACTTTTATGTCAAATACCATTTCGCCGTCGTTAAAAAAAGAAAATAAAGAAACATTTCAAAATTGCCGCTTGTCGACTGTGAATGCCAAATGTCGCAATTTTGTAGGAAAAATTTTCAAAAGACACTTCTGATACGACCGCGAGCTAACGATAAACATCAGTGTTAGTTTTATGGATTTGCGTTTTGTCGCGTTCGACAATATGTACTCCGTGTAGCTATTCGTAAAAACGTGTTTTATTAACATTGGGAAAATAGGTCGTACGAGTCGCTCCAGATCTGAGATAACAAAGGTGAAATGTAAAATGCTCGAGAACAAAAAAACTTGCGCGACCGAAGAAAAAAAAATTCATCGGTATTTGTCATAATTTTAGCAGCTGTTTTTATTTCAAATTTTTTCCCGAACAACGCGACTGGCAGTTAACAATTTTTTGCTCACCCTTCATCATCAACTCGCATGCACGAAATAGAGACTATCAATCTCGCACGGCGCGCTCGCTCGTATGTATCGGCAATCGCCCGCTCCGCGCGACACAGATTCCAAAAAAGAGAGGGAAAAATACGTCGCTGATGAAAACGGCCAAGGCCGATATATAGAAAAAAAAAGCTCGCTCGCTTGGCCGGAAGTGTCATATAGACTCGCTTGCAACAATGCACCTATAGAGAGAGAGAGAGAGAGACATAGTGCGTATATGCTATGGAGTACGGGGCCGCAGAGAGTCGCTTAATAACCCTGATTCGCCGTTTACCCGGACGCAGGGTGAGCGCGCACATAACGAGCGCACATAATCACGTAATGTGGTTATCATCATGCCAATTGCGTAAATATTTGCGCCAATTTGCGGCATGCGATACGAATGCAAGCGCACATAATATTGTGTGCGGCGTTGCAGTCCTATCCGCAGGCAGCCGTCGTATACCGTTTAATTCGACACGCGATAAGGCACACAACCAGTTGCGATCTCTTGTCGCGAGCGAAAACCATAGAGACTCTCTGATCCGCATCTATCGGCCGTGCATTCTCTAATTGCCAGTTTCGCGCACGCCTCCATTGCCACGCGGCTCTAGCCGCCTCGTTTCGGCGATTAATTACTGCCCCGTCAAAATCAATATTTCTGTTGCGCCGCTAATGTATACGAAATCTTTGTGATCAAGCTTAGACCGATTGAAACCTTAATGGTGTTGATGCAATTAAGGGAGTCGGCTAGTCATTTTAATAGTTAACTGTGACGCCGCGCGCGTTCCAATTTATTAAAACATTTTCGTGTGTAACCTACAATAACTATATACTATTATAAAATTTAATTGACGTTGTTGTTACAGTGATGAGTTATAATTGAAGACCACGCAATTTAATTTGTTGCGCGCGAGAGGAGCGGAAACAAGACTGTACGTGCGCGCAGTAAAGTGTAGGTATTAATTATTGATAAATCGATTAATTCGCATTAAAACAAAGAAGCTCGCGCTCCGAGACAGTTATGAATTAACAATTACATAAAACTCCGTGGTAGCGCGCCCGGATCAACTCGTTAAAGTTAAATGTGAGACTATCCTAATGGGGTGCTATATTCACGTCAGCTGTCGAACTATTCCACATTGGCAAAATTGAGTTGATTGTTGTACCAACGTGTCATCGTTCGATCGAACATTGCCCTGCTTCGCACGGAATTCAATTAAGCACCGCTTCTAACTAAAGACAAGATTTTTTTTTCTCTTTCTCATGAAAGCTTCAAGATTAATTTAATGTCAGAGGCACATGCAAAGAAAGACCGGAAAGGAAAAAAGGGATGCGACTGGCGCCTGTCTCCTCGCCTTCCTCATCTCTGCGGCAGGTAGAAGAGGATCAATTAGGCAAGAGCATAAATGCTCACGGCTAACGTTCTTTTTTATCCCTCTCTCTCTCTCTCTCTCTCTCTCTCTCTCTCTCTCTCTCTCTCTCTCTCTTTAGAAAGAACCTGCCACGTGAGCTTGTCAGGAAGAGAGAGAGAGCTGCACTCGGCACTGATGGCGGCGGTTATTTTTTTTGTTTAACTAGACCGAGGAAAAGTACTTTCCCGCTCATCCATTGAGGAACGATGCCGCAGGTCATTCATGATGAGGCCTCGTGTGCCTAATCGATGAATATAGTTTTTGTTCCAATTCAGATTATTCGAAGTAGTCGATTTACCGTTCGATGGAGTAATTAACCGAGTATGCGTGGACAGATAAATCAATGTTGATTGACTGTCATATTTTATTTCATCACCTAGTTGTACGGGCAGAGTACGAGTGCTCCAAACAGCGAAAAGACATTGGAATCAGGGGAAAAAAACAATTGAAGAAATAGAATGTAATGGAAACAACTCGCGCGGGGCAGGTCCAGTCAAAGCCATGATGATGAAAGCAGCGGTGACGACGGCGGCATCAGTCAACAGTCAGTCGCGGTGGCGTCGGCGGTGAGTTACATATCGGCAAGTCACCTCTGCCATTGGAAGACTCTTGTAGCGTGTGAAAAATAGGTGTAAGAATATAGGCGGTGACCAAAGA